GACTGCAAATTTCATATTTGTAACATTAGAATATATCACCCATCACGGGCCCACCTCTAGTCATCCTCATCTACTTCAGCACTATCAGCAAAGATCTCTTTACTGTTTAACCACACTGGCATGAAATAGAATGCATACTTGGCAAATGCAGCCATGTTATGTCGAATGGCAACCTGGCGATAGGCATATGCAATAAGCCCCTTCTGTTCCTTCACAGTTATCATGACTTGCCTTGCCACCTGCTCCTCTCACTAGTGGGCATGCCATTCATAAAACTTGAAGATGTGGTGCACCTCTTCTTTGACCTGTTTGCATTTTTTAGTTCATTGATGCGCTGATGAGTGCACACTTAACACAAACACCTAAACCCAACTAAAACAAGAGGGATCTGTGTGAGAGAGAGAAGGGTGATGCAATGCTGTAAATAATGCAAGTGGGTCCCAGAACCTCAATCAAAGCCTAGAGTGATGCTATCTGTAAAAAAATAAGGACTCATAATGAGAACACAAAGTTGAGTGACAACTTACAATGAAGTTGCATAAGTCGGTGATGAGAAGCTAAGGTCATAATGCAATCACCAAACTCATAGACAAAGATAAACTAAATTTTAAAGAGAAGAGGAACTATCTGTGAGGGGAGAACACTACAGAGAAATGCAGTATTCACCATCTCAACAAGGTTACAGTCAATCTAATGCAAAAGTTGGAGTAAGACTAATGTAGGTATATCACAGTTTGAAGTGTCACTATGTCACTATCGCAGTCACTGTCACAGTCTCTAAACGCAGTATGCAGTCTTGCTATATCACAGTCTCACTATGTCGCAGTGTCACAGTAAGGTATATCACAGTTCGAAGTTGCTAAAATGGATAAGTGGTATCCGACAAAGGGAGAGATGCAAGAGTCATGTATAAGTGACGAAGCAATGTTGAATGTTAGAAAAAAGTTATAAGAAGTCAAGCAAAGTCACAAAAGTTCACAGAATGTTACAAAAGAGTCAGACACATCTTGGAGACTAAGACATAAAGTGGTGAGGTCTAAGTGATCAATAAAAAACACATTTTTCAGAGGCCAGGAGGTTTGGGAGTGTATGAAAGTTGATCTGAGTATATTATTATACTATTTTGCTATCACTCGCACATAGTGGGACTGACTTTTATTATCATATTATTGGCTTATTCACAGTCAATAAAGCAAGGGCAGATATAAACAATGGTCAACTGTCCAATGGGGTATCAGATACCAGTTAGTGAGTGCAGGTCAAGATTGAGCATGGAGGCATCAATGTAATCACAGTCTTGGGGAGGTCTCCATGCTCCAAGCTGAAGGTGAATGCTCATGCCCATTATTTTACTGGCACAGGACCTTCCATAATTTTTCTAACAGCTCTGATGTAAAAAATGGGCCTGCTGCAGATGTAAACTTCAATCTTTGGAGCAAAGACACCTGGGATCTTGATAAACAGTATTCTGAGAGTGTTAAATGTGAAGCAGCATTGGAGGAAGCATGCCTTATCATAGAGGTATCTCAAATGGAACACCTGGAGTATGACAATTTGTGAGCAGAGTGAATATCTGATTAGCTCAATTGGGATAAGCATTGGCACTGTCTGTGTGTGCTGTTGATCTCTTATCTTGCTGGAGTTTTGGCAGAAGATGTAATGTCTAATGTTCTTTGCACATTCCTTGCTGAGAAGAAGAAGCCTGCTCTGCATGTATGCATTTATATATGCAGAGCCACTGTATTCTGTTCTCAGGCTATCTTTCTCCAGCCCTTCTCTAGTCCTCTGTGTGAGGGCCAGTCTCATCCATGTGTAAGTGCACATAGAGCTTTGTGCTATACTGTTCTCTTTAGTTCTGAATGTTACTGACCAATCTGTATTTCTATTCATTCTATAATTTCAGTATAAACTAAATACAAACACAGGTGTATTAACCACCCTGGAGAATAAACTGTATATGTTGAGAATCATGAGCAGTGATAGAAATCTCTACTATTAATAACAACAGTAACTTGAGTAACAGAAACTAAAGTCAGAATTACAAGAGGATCAGCACCTACCTATTCACAGATAGCTTTCTTATCCATCTGTCAGGTAGCAGTGATTATTTCCATTCCAAGTGGCTCCAAAGATGCTTTCTGAACCTCAACAAGCTCAATTCCACCTGTCACCCTCTCCTCATCAATATCTGAGGCATCAAGGTCATCCTCCTGAAGGTTTGAACTATATAAGTTATCAACTTCTGAGACAGAGCCAAAACTTAGTGATCCACCCATGTTCTCAATAATCCTTGAGATGAATTGCAAGCTCCATGCAGATGTGCACACAAATGAGAGATTAGAAGTAATATGATTTTGCATATGGTGTGTCTCATGTAGGTCCAAGAAGAAATGAGAGACAATGACACATATAAATCTGCAAAGTGTGTCAGTTAAGTGAGTCCTGGAGAAGGAGTGAGCATACGGGCTGTTAAAGTAGACCAGATACCCACAGACCTAATGTGAGAAGGTGTCAGGGGTAAACTGGTGAAAAATAATAAAAGCAGAATGGCACATCATAGTAAGTTACCAGCAGTTGCATGAGGTTCAGAAGGAGACGTATCCTATAAGGCATTGTTAATTTGAACAGCTGTCACACTTTGTACTTACATAAAGTGCAAAGTGCCTTAAAAATTAACAAAGAGATGAGTCTAAAACTGAGATTTGGCAAAGAATATATGCACTAACCATCTCGTAGCAGAAGAGTTGCCAGAGGAGCCTCCATATGCACTAAGTCTGCATGTCTCTTGATGCTATAAGTCTGCCTCCAGGTTACTGCAAGAACAATGATGTCGGCCATGATGGCACTAGCTCGTGTTATAATGTTAACTGCCAAGAGATATGTTTAGTATTGTGCATAGGAGGTTCATTGCATAAGATAAGTAAGAATGCATACATCTGCCTGCCTGTTAGCAGAGGACTCAATAGAATAAGAGAACACTTACATCTTAAGTTGCCCTGCCTTGAAACTTTGTATGCAGATGGGACCAAAGCCAGGAACAACTATGAAATAATACAAGCTCATGATATTGTCATACTGAAATGTCATAAGTTAGTACACACCACCTCCAAGTCTGCTCTAATATGATTGGCAGTACCAGATTAGTTGCAAAGGACACCATGTTCAATATGAATATAACTGTAGCAGGGAGCCATGCCTGACCCCCTACTGCATACACCCGAAGAGCTGAGAACACTGAAAAGTGATGATGACTATGAACATTGAATTACCATTGAGATGCATAGTGACCTATCAGCCCATTCAATGAAAAGCAACTCTTCACAAGCTTCAGTTATTATCATTACAGCATCATAACTAGAACATAATGAGCTGGTTTCTACTTTCTATTTAAAAAAAACCAGACCTCTAAGAAAGCGGTGATCTCATGAGCATCATTCACAATGTGTGAGTAGCATCAGATACAACTGTGGCAAATTACCAGATTTGTACTCCACGGAGGTATTCCCATCACCATGCTGAAGGCCAATACTAGTCCAAGGAAACGGTTGGAAATAAATAAGACTGTAGCTCCAGTTTTTTTGCATCTCCATATGTAGTTGATTTCATTAGTAAGGGTTATTGCATGCTCGAAAATGAGCAAAGCTACCAAGCATCCACATTAGCTTCAGGTCAACTTTTGAACAGAAACTCACCTGCAGCTGCTATACTACAGTAGGTCCCTGTTAAGCTGACAACGGTGATCCCATCAGCCCACGGGCATTACGAAACAATTATGTCAAGACACGAATGCCATCTCAGCCAGTTGGACCAGCTCTGCTTCACGGTCAATGCCCAATGACATTGGGGAATCTGGAGGGACACTTCAGCTGATGAAGACTGCTACAAGATGTTTGTTTTGCAGGGTGCGAGCAAACTGGGCATTCGGATGAGGAGATTGTGGTGCTACTTATGTCGCTGTATTGACAGGAACCATCTGCTGCATTATCACCTGCAGGCCCATCATCACGATGACGGAGATAAAGTTGAGAAGATCGGGCAGGGCTCCGGCGTGTGAGAGGTTTATGCGCTCTGGTCTCTGATCGAACTCAAAAGTTCATTCGAGCAATTTCAATTAAAGCAAACACAATCAACAAACATTTAGGCATCGGCACTGACTTCACAAGACCACCCTCGCAACTCCCACTACAGACTTAATGAATCTAGATGAACTTAACTTCCAGCATCTACGGCTGTCTGTAAAGGTATGCCATAGCTAGAAGGACAAGTAAAATGTCTCACTGCACCGATCCGTGGCATATGACTCGGATGAGCAAGGATATGAAAATCGAGGAAGTTGGGCAGCTCTCAAACTCGGCTCGAAAGCCGAAGCGAGGATTTGGGAAGTGCCGGGTGGTCTGCAGAACGAAAACACGGCGACCACAGAGACGACCAGTCTGCCGGGAGGAATCACATCGAACTGATTCAACGTGGCACTGTAACTGTGAGTTCAAGTCAGCATACTCGAGAGAAGACCCTAAGATAGCCTCTCACAGGTGCTGATGGTCCCGGAACGACGAGCAACCCAGCTCAATGGCCTGAGGGCTGTAGAAGATGATGAGGTTTGCCTGTTCTTCTATCTCCGCAGATTGGGACCTGCTCACTCACGGTTTTTAGATTATCATGCATCCAGAAGTGCTGAAAACGGCATGAAGTTCAGGTGAAGGCTATGTGAGCCTTTGGTCGGAACACTGTATACTCTTGTTTCCATCCGATTACTATCACAAACAGGTATCTATTTGCAATGGAGCACACACATTTGAAATACTAGCATGGTAGCTGCGATGCCTGCGCGGCTCACCAGATCTATACGGCGGGACGGTCGTGCACGGGAGATGTAAAAGACAACGATGCTGTCGTGGAAGTAGGCTCCGCACCGCTGGAATATACGACGAGCTCGATCTCAACCAGCACCCACCATCCGCGCCGGACGGCGGTGAGCTGCTGTTCGTGTCCGCCTTGCTTTATCGACCGCCGAGGACGAGCCAATCATGATGAAGGTAAGTCCCATCCCAAGCTAAAAGCCCCTGCTCGCTCCCGAGGTTTACCGTGTCCCTGTTCGTTGTGGATGTGATGCAACGCCTCTCGGCATCGAAGCCCTTCTCACCGTTGTCCGCGCCAGCCGTGCCCTCGCCGTTCTCCATCTGGTCCAGCGCACTGCACGACTGCCTGCCTGCATCATGCGCATGCCTCCCTTCCATCTCGCCTAACCCGGATCCGCGTCCAGTCTAAGTTCATGGAGAGACCGTGCGGCAGCGGGGAGGTGTCATGAGGGCGTCGATGGAGAATGGCATTGGGGGTCCCTGTGGAGCAGATAAGGCCGAACACCTTGACAAACTACGCGGCCAGGGGTGTCAAATGTCAAGCAATGCTAGAGGAAGTAGGCCTTACTGTGGAGGGGTTACGAGTGGTGCTCGGAACGAAGCGTTTCAAGTCACGCTCGAAAGATGAACGTGTGGAGAGTAATACGAGTACGACGATTTGTGAGCGGACGTGTACCTGGTTAGCTGAATGGGGGGTCGCGTTGGCGCTGTCTGTGTGTGCCGTTGATCACGTACGTTGAAGTTTTAGTAGAAGTCAGGGCAAGGCGTGATCTCTGCCGTCCTCTGCGCATTCCTCGCTGAGGAGGGGAAGCCTTATCTGCATGCATGCGTTTGTGCGTGCACAGGCTCTGAACGTGACGGACGAACCTGCGTTCCTCCAACCTTCGATGCCTTGGTACCCTCCCAACCGCGACTCTTCTGGTGCTCGAGCATATTTTCTTGGGTCCAACTCCGCTCTCCTCTGGCGAAGGCGCGCCCCATTCTGCCAAGTGTCAAGTATCAAGTGTTCCCCTCGGTCCGAGTAGCTGGTCGTGATCTCCCTCTTGGCCCATAGTCCCGTCGTGCAGTCTGACTCTCTCCCGCTCCATCCGATTCAGACTCGGATGAGCGAGTGAACGGGGATGGGTCGACGAAGTGGTGTTGTAACCGGCGATCTCCCCTTTGCACCCGCTTGTGGGTTATGAATATATACGAATCGTCGTCGGGGGTAAGCGCTTAGAGTCTGGATTTCGGCTTTCTGCCAGGGGACGTGTCGAGATCGGTGCGCATCGTTGCTCGGTGTTGCTGAATAGGGTGTAAACGAGGTGAACTACGTAGTACGAAGAGTCGTCACCCTCTCAATCAAGAGCGCGAGGCGGTTTGAGTGGACACGTGCCTACTAGCATGGTGGGTTCTACCGATACCGATACTGAACTACATCTAGGATGGTCGAACGCTGCCTTCTCCCTGCCATCGTATTATATAACTAGCAGTTCCGAACTAGAGACAGCCTAACCGCGCCGTACATCCCTCATAACTAGGATATGAGTATATGTAGTATTCTCCGTCGGCTGCGGTGCCCTCGCGATCCCGTGCTCCAAAAGCTCGCGCAGACACAAAACTCTCTTCAATTTCGCGCGACGCAGGCCAGGTCCAGACCCAGAGATGGGGAACGCGCTCCGAAGTAGAAGCAGATTCCACACCGACACGTACCCGCACGAATGTACCAGCGAGTTAGAACGACCCGTCGTCGATCGACTGGGGGCGACAATCATGCACGACGCCGTATGTGACGTCTGACTGCGCTTCGCAGGTAGCACTACCTTTACCCTTTTGACGAAGGGTGGGAACGACGATGAGGGCATTGTACACTGTGCGGATGGTGTTGATATATGATCGTGGTGGATACGGGTGCACGAGGAAGACACCGAGACACCTCCGAAGAGCTTGGACGTACGAAGTGAACCCCAAGCGGACAATTGCAACGCATGGCGCCTGGAGCGACGCTCGCCGCGGTACGATTCCTTCAAAGTATAGGTTCTAGACAGGACAAAATTATGAAGATTGCTGCGGTTGAGCAAAAAGAGCTGCATAAGATGTCGACTGGTGAGAACGCCAACGTGAGCGTTTGGAGAGGCTATCGCGGTGGTTAAGGCTTCGCACTTGATGATGAGGCGAGGACGATGCGGGTGCTAGGTTGGAGCAAGAACAGCTCTGGAGCCGCAGGACGTAAGAATGACAATCCTAGTTTTCTGCCTCTTGGCAGGCGCGTATCAGGATCGCACGTCGCTTGGAAAGAATCCCGAGCTCATAGTGCAAACGACAATGTTGCGAGCACAACAGCAGCTCGAGCTGTGTTTGACCCACTGCTCGCCGAAGTGGAAGCCAACAATATAAGGCACGCTCGACTCACAGAGTACTTCGAGATCTCGTTCTTCTCTATAATTATAAGTGCGTCCTTCTATGACCAAAGTCTGTGCTGGTCGTAAGCATTGTTATTTAAGGACCTGGGAGATCGCTGTGCGTGCAAGGAATGCGGTTCCCTGTTCCGGACAGATTAAGTGCTCTGCGGGTAACATGACCTGGAGGGAGATCAGCGACAAAAAGCTCGTTGCAGAGGAAGATCCCGTGTGGATCTCCCCTGTGAGCTAGTAACGTGCTTCAGAAACGTACGCCATGATTTTCTACAATTGATGCGACTCTAAAACTGATAGCCAGATATGCTGTGCAGGAAGGAGTCGAAACATTCAGACATTCGTGACGAGGATTATACGCGTATCCCTAAACGAAAAGACATGAGTTTGCCTCTGTTCGGTTATTCCACACATGAGAACGACTGAATCCTCAGCATTCGCCACGTCGATAGGAAGTAAGGCAGAATGCTCACCATCATCAATCCACCGCTCTCGCTATTCACGTGCCATCTCCACTTGCCGGCGTATATGTAGTGCGCCCCCTTCTTACCCTTTCCTCCACGCTGGTGGTGGATAGGCTGAGAAGAGGGCACATTACATCATGGCTGGGTGAGATGGGAAGGGAAGGGCAGTGAGTGGGTGGATGGTCGGCGTTCTCGGGCGATGGTGTCGTGAGTCATTTTTTGCGGTTGGGAGTGCTACACCCACTGGGGTTTTGTAGGAGGCATCCGCGTTGAAAGTAGAGGACGAGACGAGACGGCGGACGTCTGTAGAAGACGACAACAACGATAAGGATCCATATCGCTGACAGTGAAACGCGCGCACCTCGGGTGAGTGTTATGGCGTACGTGTGCTCGTGTGCGTTGGCTAAACTCGCTGAGCGCTCCCTGCATCTTGTACCATCGCCTCGCCGAAAGCGCTAGCGACCAACATCCGAGCATCCGGGCATTCCCAGTGTTCACCCCGACAAATGACTTTTCCTCGACTCTTCCTCGCAGCAGGCGCTGTTGGAGATGGTCCCTCATGGGACCGCAGCCATTCGAGTACGCGGCCCTTGCACACGGCCCTTCCGCACGAGATGGATCCCCATCTTCGTCCACTGTGTCCACGTCCTCTATGCCCCGACATTTGAAACATTTGAATTCGAATTCCGTACTTCCGATCGTCTTCATCGTCCCACTGACGCTACTCACCTCCGCCCCGCCTTCCTCCGTCACACGCCAGCGCACGCCCGCGAGGTATTGCAGTCTCATAGACGAGCATCTCTGAAATGGGTCGCCGTTACATTGGGTACGAGTGCAGTTAGGTATACACAGTGACAAGAACGACTTAGTATGCTGCCAAGTCAAGAAAAGACTGGTACTGATGTATTGCCATATTCAATGCTGCAACGATACTGCCACGGTGAAAATAGTTGACAGTAGGTGGGTGGGAAGGCGGCTGAGGAACGGGTATGGGTGAATGCTGAGGCAAAGCGATTGGAGCCGTGAGCGATAACAACAAGTACACTGGAGCCGCTACTAGTCGAACTTCAGTGTAGCCGGTCGCGCCACAGTCCAAACAACCGTACATAAACACGTGTCCGTTACGGCACGCGTCCCATCACGCGAAGTGTGACTCAGCGTGCCAACTTTCTGGCGTTAACCGTTCTACATTTTAAAAGACGTTCAATACTAATGACAATCGCTCCTCTCAGTGCAATCTCACCATATTTTAGTGTCTTGTCACGTCAGCGTGCTCCTCTCATAGTCACCGTCTTCCTCCAAAACTGGACTGGTTCCCCAACCATCTTTTCAGGATATAAAGCGGACGTCGCACTGTTGATTTTTGGAGATTGCACAGCGAGGACAAAACCTCCGTGCGGCGCCATCGAGCTGCATTGACAAGTGCGCGTTCTGCAATGAAGAGCTATTCGAGAGCTGCGCCAGACAAGGGTGCCCTCAGGAGCTCTGGAACCAGCTTGGCGCGAATGAGCGTGAGGCTTCGCTCGCGTATGCAGCTCTAATCCGGCATGTTCTCTGCGTGCCGTATGATTTGCTAGCACGATTTTCTCGCTGCTGTTCGCTTCTATCACCGTGTCCAGCTAGCCGAACGTCACAGCCATTTCAGCCAAAGCGGGGGAAATGAACGAGACTCACCTACGCGCATATATGATCATATAGTTGCGAAAATACGACCATGGGGGGCTGAATCCTGATGCTTGTGCAAGCCAAGGTTGATACGATCTTGGCAAGTACAGACTTCGGTCGGGAACTTCGATCTCGCTTCTGCACACACAGGAAGCCAACGAGAGCTATCACACATCGTAGAAGCTGATGGTTGACAAGACGGACCAGCGTCATCGAGCAGTCCCCGCAGAGATTACTATGCCTGACCGTGACGGTTCAGTCGGCGCACCCTCCTAATCGGCGGTCATACATGTGTCACCCATAGTAACAACACCCCAAAAGGCAGGAGCCCCGCCAAAGTCCATCACGGCGGGAGGCCGAGGGTGACTTGAGCGTGACGCGTACCAAAATGATGGACTCAACCAATACTCATCCATTCACCATCGTTCAAGCTCAAAAAGGGTACAAATATACTACGTAGGATACCTATGAGGTAGTTAAACAAACGGAGCAAAGTGGACGGAGGTATAGCAAGGCGCCGATTAGGGGGGTGCGCCGACTGAACGTAGTACAATAGGCTCTCTGCAGCCTGGAATCGGGGAATATGAGCACTAAAACATTGGTGAACTCTCCAAACCTCACTTTTCATTGAAATATTCAAACATACGAAAATGCAGTAAGTGCTACCAATTCTGTCCCAGCAGACAACGAAAATAGATCCGCAAAGGCAAGAGACCAGATCATACATGGCACGGTCCACAGTCGTACCAGTGTTCCACCAAAATCTGTATAATTACGACTGCCGAGTGCATCTAGCTCCACACGATAGGCCGAACTGTACTCACAGATTCAGTTGGTCGTGTAAGGCGGTGGCGGATCGGAAACCACACTGATCTCCGAGGGCTGCGCAGAGCGCAGGCTGGGGTTTCTGTTAAGCTCTTCTTGCGGTGTTCCAGCGACCGCAATAGCCGTTGCAGTGGCGGCATGACGCGCCGAAGACGTAGCTAAGAACCTCAATGACTTTGCTCCCGCGCTAGCGCCCAAATTAACGTCATAACCGGTGCTGAAATCGAGGAGTGGGAGGCCGTTGGTGGAGGGTACGAAAGAAGAACGTAAATTGGAGGAAGTGGCAGAGTTCCGTGGCTCCCGAGTGACAGGTGAGGACGGGGCGTCAATAGGCAATGTTGTCGTTGCGGTATCTATGTTTGACGGCATCTCCTGGGCCATCTGAGTTCCTGTGAGATTTGATAAATCAGGAAGTGTTCCCAGTTCTGCATCCTTGAGAAAAATATACCATCTGTCTCATCTTCATCGGGAAGGAGATTGCGTTCGGAAGATGCATGTCCATTCCCTCGCGCAGAACGCTGCCTGTATCTATGCAATACCGCAAGGAGTATCAACGCCAACACTGTGACCCCGCCTAAGACGGGTCCAACAATGGCACCGATCGATACTGACGTCGTCCTGTGCAGCTCTGTCGAGCTCGCCGATGTTGTAACGGGAACTGCGGTTCTTGTTGAGGAAAAACTGGGCGACGTGGTACTGACGAAGGAATCTGTCATCAACGAGGAGGTGATATCCACTGTGGAGGGCGTAAGCGCAGTGCTTGGAACGAAGGAGCCCGTTGCAGGCAAGAAGGAACCCGTTGCAGGAAAGCTCTGATCTGCGGTGCTGCTGGGAGAGGAGGTGGGCGAGAAACCGGTTGTGGATGAGACACTAGGCATCGGAAAGTTGCTGCTGCTGCCGGTAACGGATGAGGGGGGTAAAGGAGAAGTGGAAGGGATAGCAAACGTAGGAGATACGTTGGTTTCATTGGCTGTGGATGAGGAATAGCTGCTGGGATTAATAGAGATGGACAGGGTGATGAAGGAAGGCGTGACATAGGTGGCGTTGTGGTAAGGGTCCCTAAAGGGGGGCAGCTGTAACGAGTTGATGGACATACTCAGTCAGAGGGAATCAAAACTATACCTCATGCTTTCGAGGGAAGAGAAGGAAGGAAATCGATGCAGGCCAGAAATGCGCACCCAAGCCGGCTTCTCATATACCCGCAATAACAGCTGTGTGCGACCAAGCTGCACACGCACCAGGTACCTATAGGCACTGCCTTCCACTCAAGATGGGTCCCATGATAATGATTCTTCAGGCTCATTGGACCTACCTGCAAGAATCTGTCGAGCATCATCGAAGATAGATGTCCATGTCCAAAGGCCGCTCTTTCGTACCAGTGCTCCCATCGACAACGATCATCTGGCGAGCCAAGCATTTCTCCTAGATCATGCCCGACAAATGGGCTCGCGGCAGGTGGCCGGCACGAGGTGATGGAGATGCTTCCGTTCATGCGACTCCGCGTTGTACCAGCGCCCCCACCGACAACGAACGCCCGAGCCAAGCATTCCCCTGGACTCTGCACGAAGTTGCATGTTCTGTGGGTGTTTATGTGGGTGCTGCAGTGGGAGATGTGGAGTGTGGTCATGTTGCTTGTTGCAGACATGTTCAGGGGGTTGCGCGGTTTTTTTGTTATCGTTGAAACGTAAGCTCTTCTCCGTTCTCATATTCGCACTGCGCGCGAGCGTGCCGTTGGCGATGGACGCTGAGGGGATGGCGGGGGCTATCGAGATTCCACGCGGATTTTCCGGTGGTGCGTCCGCTGAGTGGCAGTGCGTCGTGTGTTGAATGTTGTGTGCTGTGTAACGAGGTATTAGTACGCAATGACGCGAATACACTATCGACTTTACCTTCATAACTCCCTCCATCTAGTCTTCTCTCGCTCGTCCCGTACCAGCGCCCCGCAAGACCACTAGCGACGGACACTCGAGCTCGCGCGTTCCCCGCGTTCACTCCGACAGGCTCTTCCTCAGCAGCTCGGCAATAGAAGAGCTCCTGAATCCCGTTCGTCCGCCGCTGTTCGAAGGCCGTCCCTGCAATGGGCCTCTTCCGCTCGAGGCGTCGTTATATATGACGTGCTTGGTAGGTAGGGAAGAGGTCCCGGCACGAAGTGGCGGGGAATGTAAAGGTTGGGTACGGGTCCAAGGAGCTACGGGTTGGTGCTCGAGCTCGAGTTCTCCGTCGACAGACGGGGGCATCGACAACGGCCAATAGTACTCAGCGTGTTGCGGGACCACCGAGATTCCCGGTGGCCTTTACTGGCGGGGCGTCTGCTGAATGGCAGTATGGAGTGTGTTGTGAGCTGTGTGCTATGTAGAACGAGGCGTCAGTATGCAATGACACGAACACACTGTCGGCCTCACCTTCACCAAAGGTCGTCCCGTCCACCGCGTCGCCATCTCCATCTTCTAAACATGTCGCCCAGCTGCGCACCGAGGAGAGATATCCAGAACATGGCATCCTGCGACAGAAAGCGCATTCAGGAAGCGCGGTCCAGGCAGTTCTGCGTTCTCCGCTCAGGCTGAATCTTAGAATCTACGCGGAAGAAGCGTTGGGTATTAGTAATGCGTATTGCGAAATCGATCGCGCGCTCGCGGAGGCAGATCGAGAATCTGCAGAATATAAGAAAGAACGACACGAATCGAAAGACGTGTCGATCGATTTGTGTTATGCTTTCAGGTTTCTTCTTGACTGCTTATGGGTCGCCGTTTGTGGCGCTCCGCGCCAGGCTGTGTGAGATGTGGGTGCTGCCGCGGGAGATGTGGAGCGTGGTCATGTCGTTTGTGGCAGACTTGTGCGAGAAGTTGCGCGTTTTTGTTAGCGTTGAAACGTAGGCTCCTCCTTCTCGTCTCGTTGTCGCTCTGCGCGCGGGCGCGCCGTCGATGATGGGCTCCTATGTGCGCTGAGGGGATGGTGGGACCTCCGAGATTTGGCGCGGTCTTTCCGGTGGTACATCCACCGGGGCGGTACGTCGTGCGTTAAATATTGTGTGCTGTGCACTGTGCAGAACGAGTGAGTACGCAATAACACGAACACACTATCGCCTTCACCTCCACTTTCACCTCCACCGTCCCGTCCACGGCGTCGCCATCTCCACCCACTGCACCGTCCTCCGAACATTCCGCCCAGCTGCGCAACGAAGGGAAACGGCGCGTGTTGTCTCCACGCCGACGCGTCTCGCATCGCTCTGCGGTGGCGCAATTGAGGATCCGCCCCATCGCGTAGGTGCCCTCGCTGAGCAGAGTCACTGGTCCGCGCTCGACGTTGACGCCGTCCGGGCAGCGTATCGCCGCGGGGCGCTCACGCTCATGCTCATGACTTGTGTGCTGCGGTGGAGGTGAAGAGGAGGAAGAGGAAAAAAAAGAAAAGAAACACCGGTGACGCGTCGTGAGGATGTCGAGCGCGGTTGAAAAAGCCGGATCGTCGCATGCGAGACGCGTCGAAAGCCGCGGCCGTCTCGTCCGAGATCAAGCGTGACGCATGAAGCCTTGAGATCCGCGCGAGCATTCCACATATTGCGGGATCGGTCGTGCTGAGGATGGTGTGGGATATACGGAATAGGAAAAGGAAGAATGACGCGACTTGAGAGACGTTTTCGATCGGGTTGCGACGTTAACTTATTTCTTTCCTCCTCGGCTCCTTGTGGGTCGTCGCTTAGAACTGTGTGGTCAGCCGGACTGGTGGTCTTCTGGTTCAGTGCACGAGACGCTAGCGTCTGTCCCGGCGTAGTCAAGCCACGTACTCTTCAGGTCAGCCGTGAGCGCTGGCCGGGGAGAATGTCGGCGCGATGTGGTGCGCGAGCATCCTCCTCTCCTCTCTGCGAGCTCTGTACGGTCCGGCTCTCATGTACTTCTGCACTGCTCCTCCTCGCGCCAAAGCACAGATATGCACGGTGAGAGGAGATGTAGATAGCGATCGGCACTAGTACGCTCATGGTGGGGGTTCAGCTGCACATATTCGAGCCGCGGAGAAGAGAGGGTTGGGGGTTGGATGGAGGAGGCATGGATCTAGACGAGGAGATGGCGCGCGCGCGGTGGACAGTCATGCCCAGGCTCCTAAAACCGGCTGGCCTATTGTCGTCCTCCAGTCCTCCGTGCAGTCCTCGCCCAGGACGCCAGTCCTACCCGTCTCTGCGCGAGCGCGTGCGGAGAGAGCCCCCTTCTGTTCTGCTCTTTTCTCCCCGGTTCCGGCTCCGTTCGAAAGTGACATGCTAATCTGATCCAATGCCTCACTCCGTCGGCTTGCTGCGCAAGGCGCGAGCGGGTGAACCGACGAAGCACGAAGAGTGGGCGATCGCTCAACGGAGAATGCAAAGCGCGCGAACTTGGCACGTTTGCAAACTGGGAATGATACGCATGCTGAGCTGCGCATGTAGACGGTTGAACGCTTCCTCCCGACCATCGTATGTATAGCTGTTATGAATCGGACGGCCGAACTGTGTCATCATGCATCTCGTAATTAGGATATGAATAAATGATTTAGCACTCTCCGAGTCGGTCGCCTGCGGTGCCCGCGCGAGCCTGTCCGTCGATTGGCGTTCGCGCAATAGACACAAGGATCCTCGACCATCTTCACCTCCAAAATAAGAAGACTGCGCACCCCGTGATAGAAAACACTTAGCGAAACGAGAGGGCAGCGAGAGTCGGATTCGCGCGCTCTCTCTTCAACTTCGCGGCGCAGCGCCAGTGCGAGCGCCGGAGGCAGAAAATGCGCGACGAAATAGACGTAGACTGCGTCGATACCCAGCCACGCGAACGTGCTCTCCTGGCTCTGAGCTAATTAGAACGACCGTCGTCGATCGACGGAGGGACACTCACGCACGAAGACGCCGTACTTGAAAGCTTGACGTCCGCCCGAGCTTCCGCGGACAATACCACCTGTGCGGAGAACACGGAGGGTGGGAACAGCGAGGAGGACGTATGCTGTGTGGACACGAAGAGCTGCAGAATAGATCGACTTGAGAACACCGCCGTGAATGTTTGGAGGGCCTATCGCGGTGGTTGAGGCTTCGCACTTGACGACGTGTGGAGAACGACGTTAGGTAGGGAGGAACGGCTTGGTATAGTATTGCGTACGTACTACCTGCCGTCTGGATTCGAGACTACCGCAAGCACTACCCAAGCACTTGGCTACTTGCTGATTACATAATAATCCTATGGAAGAAAGGCTAAAGATTATATAATTACGGTCGCGCGGAATTTACATAGGGATTTCTGCCAAGTCCCACAGTGCGGAAGGCAGTTTGGCTGAAAAGGCAGGCGCTGAGGTAGGGAAAAATATATCTCTACCTAGAGAATGTGCTGATCTATTTACTGACATCAATAAATCTTGTCCGGAGACCATAGACGGCGGGGGAGGGGCAGGAACACTATTCCGAGCACAGGCCGAGCGGAACGGACGGAAGGGAAAAGGACTGTAAATTCAGCAGCACGTAGCTGGCCGAAATGGGGTCGATTTTGGCGGGAGCGTCTGCGAGATTACATCGTAAGACTCTAGCGTTCGATGCGTTTACAGTCGCCGGGTTTACAGTCCTACGGGATTTTCCCAAAACGCTACTCAACGCCGGCACGCTTCACATCGCACATTCTATATTTGGACTTCCTCCCTATGTCATGAAACTCCGACTGCAATTCCCCCTGCGTCTGCGACTGTAATTGCCCCTATCCCGACTGTAAACCCAGCGGCTCATCCCGCTCGTCGCCGTACTCATCCTCAAACCTTCAATCACAGTTTACTGACCATGGCTTGGTGAGCCTCTACAGCTAATTCTAACGTCACTGCGACTCAATATTGCGTTGAGGACTTCAGGCTTAAGCTCCTTACTCTTTCGCAGTTTCCTAAGGACAATACCCTAGCACATCATCTCTGGAGCACGGCGTGGGGTCAAGAAACGTTTGCCCCTTTTGACGTCGATGTCGTACGGGATGGTACCTTGTTGGTGGACTTGGACGAACCAATTCCTGCAACCTGCCAAGTGACCAATAATCACCCTTTCATATCTAAGCATTTGAAGCATGTGGTGGTACGCAATGAGTATGTCACGACATTAGATACTCTCATGGCGCTTTCTGTGGAGGTACCCAACAGTAGTATAATTGTAGTCGGTCATCCTGGCATAGGTGCGTGTGTCTTTCTTTCGCAAACCCTAGTCAAATTCGAACTCACGACATCGCGCACAGGCAAGACAATATTCCTATTTTATGTCCTGATTTATCGGCTCCAGCGTGGTTTATCCACCTTCTACCAGAAGACTGCCGAATCCGTCCTTTACTTCCATAAATCCGGTGTCTACAGTATCCCAGCCAATCAAGAGCCGGACTCCGTGGACTGAGAATCGGATGATATTTGGTCGTTGTTCACCTCAAATCGCACAGTGAAGGAACCCGGCGAGCTCATAGCAGGTGACGGGTCAGAATGGTTCCTCATCGAAGCCGCTTCTCGTCACGAGCGGTGGAGTGAGTGGCTGAAATACAAAGGCTTCGTAGACTTCTACTATATGAAAACTCCAAGTTTTGCGGAAGTCGTTATGATGTAGGTGTCGTCGACTATCTGCTTTAAACATTAACCATGAAACTTACCGCATTACTAGCCATCCACACGAGAAGACTCCTGTAGGAACCGAACAAGACTTGTACCGATTCTATCAGTTGTATGGCCCATCGATTCGTGATGCTTTCCGATATGCTTCCCCCAGTTCCATCTCGGCGTACCGAAAAGCTGTTACGGCTGCTCTCCGCACCCTGGGCTATGATGGTCTTGTACGGGCCATCCGAGGTGACATGGAGGCAGATAACCACAAAGTTTTCCTTGTGGAGGCGTCCCTCGACGACAGAAGGGACTGCGTCGTCTCTGTGATCACTGACGAGGTTATGAAAATGGTCTGGGAGATGTATCTGGAAGGTCAAACTCGGCAGGTTGCCGAATTTGCCACGTTGTTCTCTAATCAATCTTCCTCAAGGTCCACTGCAGGATGGATCGTCGACACTCACGTACACCCTATTTTGCTGCAGGCTGAGACACGGACGTTTCACCCGATGCAAGGCTTGGTCAAGGGGGTAAACATCCACTACTCGTACCCCGGCCCGACCGCCGTGCAGTTTCCCAACGTCGAAGTGCAGATCCCTGACCTCGATTACTATTCGTTTTCGATGAATGATTCCACTACGGACTTCAAACTCAACTGCTACTATCAGCCCGAGGAAAGAGATGACGCGACGTTCGACGCTCTTATATTCACGCAGGAGAAGGGTCAAAACTACGTCACAATGTACCAGGTTACGCTGTGGAAGGAACACGACGTCAGCGAGAAGGGGTTGACGTTCTTACAGAAATGCCTGGATCTACCGAAGGGAACTGCATCTATCCCGTCGCTGCGTATCCGCTACGTGTTGGTCACACTAAAGGGTGAGGAGGTGAAAAGTGTTTTTCCAAGGGATTGGTTTGAGAACAGATGGAAGGGCATATTGGACGTATACGCCCTAGAGATTGAATTCTGACTATTTGTTCTGATTAAGTAGTGTCATATTGTGTATCCTCATGCCATAGTGCATGTAGCTGTATGTAAGGTTTTTGATCTCCGCAGAGAGATTTGTGACATTGCAATAAGCATTCGGTCGTTGATCTTGGATATATCAGCAATAGCCGCTAATAAGCATTGCGCAGCGGTTCCCTACGTCAAGACAGTGTCACTGCATGGATTGGACATTTAACGTCAGGATGTTATAAATTGGGGAGAAATAATATATGCTGGGGACACCGATGTGACGGTGGAACGATAAAATGATAGCCGTGCCCGTTTCAATTTACTTGTGGTTTCTTGAGAACGAGGCCGCGACGTGTTTGTATTGGCGCTGTAGAGCGAGCCCCCGGGCGGGCAACAGGTGAGACAGATCCAGACAAGTGAGCAAGAGGGCGAACAAAGCAGGCGACACGGATAGCAGATCCACAAAACACCGTCAAAACAAACGCGGAGCGTACATCAGATGGTAGAACGCAAGTCCAAATCTACGCAGTCAAGCAGAGCAACAGCGGACAAAACAAAACGGCAGGGAGAGAGTAAGAAAGCGCCGGAGAGCGAGATGCATATACACGTCATATACTAGAAACCACGCACAATATTTGAGACGACAACAAGATACCACTAGGTAGCGAAGTCACTGGCGAAGCGCATACGAAGGCATGAGCGCGGCAGGCACTTCCTGTTGCACGAACGACGTCCAAGTTTGCGTCAGATTATAACCAGGCTGGACCTCCACCAGCCCCATCTGCGGCACTTGAATCTGGGTCGGATACTGCTGTGCACTCGGATGGCGATTATGCGAACGCTTGCGGCAGCTTCTCGTACATCCCAGTACCTTTGCTGGGCCGGGTATTCCTCCTGGTACTCCTGCGGATGGTAGTCCACTGGGTGGGCCTGCTGGTGGTATCCCTCTATAGGTGTCTCTGAGTACGTCAGCTCGCCCTCGTGGGCAACCCCAGCCCTGCCCATGCTTCCGCTGGAACGCATATGCGTGCAGGTTCAGCACATCTTCCTCCTGTGTGTGGGTCACCGAAGCGAGGTACCGGAAAGGCGCCTGGGACGCCGCATACTCTTGTGCGTGCGCGGCATAGTACGCATTGATCTGGCTGCCGAAGTTGCCGCTGAACGAGCGCACCTGGTCCGCGAGCAGTGGGTGCAGGGACGCGTCGTACGAGTCGAGCGCGGGGTACCTGTCGCGCGTCGCGCTCTGAGGCGACGCTGAGCCGGACCCCGAGACGGACAGCGAGATTGCAGTGAAACGGGAGCTCGTATCGGACCGCGCGCGCGTTGGGTGAGTTCGATTCGGTGTCACAGCTTTGCCGCGACGCGGGACGGAGCCCGCGGGGTTCGGCCGCTACTTGCCCGTTTTCATCGCGACAGTGCGTGGGGTGCGCTCGTTGAACGTTCGTCCTGCGGTTCCTCCTTCAGCGTTCGGTTGCGCGCCAGAGGTACGCCTTCTCGCACAGGCGTTGTATGATCGGCTGGCCAAAATCAAGGAACCAAGGGTTGGTCAGCTTGAGCCTATTAACGCAAAAAGATGACGCAACTGGAACCGTATAGAGCGTCCGCCGTGCAGCGCAGCCTTTTCGAATAGGTCGTACGCTAACCTAGGCTCGCCCAGCGCCGCCTGCGCAGTCTTCATGAGTCCTTGCGGATGGAACGCAAGTCCCTCGGCAGGAACGATATGCAAGGGCGCGCCAACTTATCTCCCTTCCAGAGAATGCAAGTCCATCGGCAGGAACGACATGTGAGGGGTTCAGGGCAGATGCTCCCGGAAGCAGTATACGATCCACTCTGTCCTTCAATACGCGCGTGTCGGTCTTGGCCTTTTTCGGGAGAGTTTCTGGTAGGAACAAGATTACAAGGGTTGGCGGAAAGGCAATCAGTTGCAAGAGCGCGTCCATCGGCGGAGTCTCCGCGTCCATCTCGGCCCAACCTATCCCTTCCGGAATCAACGGTCCATGATATTTGGGGGCGGATGCCCTCGGAAGCTTTCGATGCGTGCGCGTCGGTGTCGGCGGTTTGGGGTTTTAGAAGGGGATCATGGTGGCGAAGAGGCGTGTCGGATAAGTGGGTGACAGGCTCGGCGAGTAAGGGGTGCGCTCAGAAGCACTGCATGGTGCAGTCCGTCCTAGGTCAGTCTCAGCGGATAGGGGAGGCTTGCTGGATTGGAGAACCAGGTTCGCAAAGCTGGAAAATGGGCTGCCGTGTGCGGGCGGTGCTTGCAGAAGCGCATCCATGCATGCATGAGCGCGTGTCCATCGGAGAAGGACCCCCGCGAATCCACTGAGAGCTCCGATGCACCCATCCCCGAAAAATGGGCCGCCGGAGGCAAAATGTTCGATCTTCGACCCCCGAAAATGGCCAAAAAGTCGTCGAAAGTTGGGTGCGAAACACCCCTGAAATGTGACCCTCCAACCTGAGGTTAGGTCCAGAACCCCCGAAAACTAAGGTTGGCTGGCGGATCTCTCAGGTTTCGGAGGATCGGCCTACAATTTAGACATACGTGGTGGTTTGGGAGGAAATGTTTCGTAATTTGGTTCACAAAAGCTTCGGTTTTGCGCAGGAAGCGAAAAATTTGTTCCGCAGGCCGTCGAACGTGATTCTAGGTTGCCGAATGTTCGATTCCACATAACCCTGAAAATGGCCGACCCGCCGCCAGGTTGTGTGCAAACCCCCGAAAATGGGTGGTTGGCCACCCCCGAGAAATGTCGTCGCCGGGATCGGAGCTCTTAGTTGATTCGCGGGGGTCCTATCGGAGAGGGCTGGACGGCGAAACACCCATTGGACGTTACCTATAAATGTGAATCATTTCTGCAGGAACGTGGGTCTCAGGCGAAGGGGCGCGCTCACAAATATTCCTCTGGAAGAGATTGCACTTGACGGCGTACGGTGCACGGCGCTCAGGCTCCGTGATCACGTCGTTGTTCACCTCGTATTCGATGTACACGAGCACCTTGTCGAAGTACATTTCAGCCTCCTCGGCCGTCGGGCAATGCCTGTCCCTCAGAACTAGTGTACTACCGTCCACGTTGTCCTTAGATGCGGGATTCATTTCGTCTCGTACCCCGACGTTACTGTAGCGAGTAACGCACCACAGGCTCCTGAAACCATCCATCGAACATATGTTCTAGAGGATCATGTGATATATGTTTTATGCGAATTACCTGTTTTAGAGAGTAGTGCCGGAAAGGGATAGCCGAACAGAGCCGAGAGGAGGACACCTCGACCTCACGTAATGGAAGTTACTCATCCCGCTCGTCGCCGCACCCTGACCATGACTGAGTGAGCCTCCACAGCTAATTCTAAAGTCACTTGCGACTCAATATTGCGTTGAGGACTTCAGCTTCAGGCTTAAGCTGCTTACTCTTTCGCAGTTTCCTAAGGACAATATCCTAGCAAATAAACTCTGGAGCACGGCGTGGCGTCAAGAAACATTTGCCCCTTTTGACGTTGATGTCGTTCGGGATGGTACCTTGTTTGTTAATTTGGACGAACCAATTCCTGCAACCTGCCCACTGATCAATGCTCACCCTTTCATATCTAAGCATTTGAAGCATGTGGTGGTACGCGATGAGTATGTCGAGGCGTTAGATACTCTCATGGCGCTTTCTATGGAGGAACCCAAGCATAGTCTAATTATAGTCGGTCATCCTGGCATAGGTGCGTGTGTCTTTCTTTCGCAAACCCTAGTCGAAGTCGAACTCACAGCATTGCTAACAGGCAAAACAATATTCCTATTTTATGTCCTGACCTATCGGCTCCAGCGTGGTTTATCCACCTTCTACCAGAAGAATGCGCATTCCGTCCTTTACTTCCATAAATCCGGTGTCTACAGTATCCCAGCCAATCAAGAGCCGGACTCCGTGGACTGGGAATCGGATGATATTTGGTCGTTGTTCGACTCAAATCGCACAGTGAAGGAACCCGGCGAGCTCATAGGAGGTGATCACTCAAAATGGGTTCTCATCGAAGCCGCTTCTCCTCGTCGCGAGCGGTGGAGGGAGTGGCCGAAGTACAAAGGCTTCGTTCACTTCTACTATATGAAATCTCCAAGTTTTGCGGAAGTCGTTATGATGTGGGTGTCGTCGGCTATAAACATTAACCATGAAACTTACCGGATTACTAGCCATCCACACCAGAAGAATCCTGTCGGAACCGAACAAGACTTGTACCGATTCTATCAGTTGTATGGCCCATCGATTCGTGATGCTTTCCGACATGCTTCCCCCAGTTCCATCTTGGCGTACCAAGGAACTGTTGCGACCGCTCTCACGAACTTGGGTTATGATGGTCTCCTACGGGCCGTCGGAGAAGCGAAAAAGCTGGACATGGAGGAAGGCTCTCATAAAATCTTCCTCGTAGAGCCCTCCTCCGACAGCAGACGCCAATACGTCGTCTCTGTGATCACCGACGAGATTATGAAGATGATCTGGGAGATGTATCTGGAAGGTCAAACTGAGCGTGTTGCCGAATTTGCCACATTGTTCGCTAGTCAACCTTTCTCAAGGTCCACTGTAGGATGGATTGTCGACACTCAGGTACACCCTATTTTGCTGCAGGCTGAGACACGGACGTTCCACCCGATACAAGGCTTGGTCAAGTGGGTAAACGTCCACTACTCGTACCCCGGCCCGACCGCCGTGCAGTTTCCCGACGTCGAGGTGCAGATCCCTAACCTCGATCACTATTCTTTTTCGACGAATGATTCCACTACGGACTTCAAACTCAACCGCTACTATCAGCCCGAGGAAAGAGATGACGCGACGTTCGACGCTCTTATGTTCACGCAGGAGAAGGGTCAAAACTACGTCACAATGTACCAGGTTACGCTGTGGAAGGAACACGACGTCAGCGAGAAGGGGTTGACGTTCTTACAGAAATGCCTGGATCTACCGAAGGGAACTGCATCTATCCCGTCGCTGCGTATCCGCTACGTGTTGGTCACACTAAAGGGTGAGGAGGTGAAAAGCGTTTTCCCAAGGGATTGGGTTGAGAACAGATGGAAGGGCATATTGGACGTATACGCCCTAGAGATTGAATTCTGACCGCTAGGAATCGACCTCAAAATTCGTCGTTTTCACTGGGAGTCATGCAGCACGAGCATGGACAGTCGAGAGGTGGGAGAGAGTGTTGGGATGGGAATTGATGGTTCTCCTCTCTTGTTCACGTTCTCGCTTGCATTCTTATTCTCATCCTGCGTGTTGGGAACATCATCGACATTGGGCTCCTGTGCACACATGGGTCCTCTGTGCCGGCAAGCGGCCCCTCCTAGCAGCTCTCCCCTGAGTATTAATGGTATCGGTATGCGCGGTGTGGCGAGACGTTACTGCGCGATGACTGACTCTGGAACTGTCAATTTCGACATTTAATCGACACACGGCGGAAAGAGAATGCAGTGTATTTATCTCGACTGTAGCTACTATACATTGCATTATCATGTTTGCCAAACGGCTCTCACTCCTTGAGATCTTGCGATTCATCAGTGTCGCCTGGGATTATATCGGCGCCTGCATCTCCTTGTTCCGGTCGCGGCTCTATCGTCGTTTGTGAATCTCGTCACGCTTCTGCCTGTGTGCGCTTCCACGAGTCCGTGAGCTCGTGCTGTATTATATCTATATCCTCCAGTTGCCCACAGCAATACACGCGAGCTATCGCTGGCGAAATATACGCATCATGATTCGTGGCAGGATAGAGAACAACAGCGAAATCTACGGTGCCATTCTTGACCGGTTGGCGTGTACACTCTTTGTGGATTCGTTGCGGAAATTCAAGATTGATATCAGCCTCCGGGGAGCATCACAGCTTCCGCGAGATTTATGCCAGAAAGCTCGTCATTAAGGCCCCGGAGATACATGAAATCTGACAGGCTGTCACCTCTCCGTTTGCACTTTATTGTGTTACTCACGTTCAACCTAACTGGAAGAGAATCGGCGCGACCTTGCGTGCTGCGCCACGCACATCCTGTACCTGGAAGAACAGTCCAGTCGTTCCGCTGCTGGCCTGCAAACGCCCTTGTCTCCACTTCCTGCGTCGAACAGAGGTATAAGCGATCTTCAACGGGAGTTCCACACGGGCAGTGCGGGCGCGCTACACTCCTCGGATGATCACGCGTCTCTTCTCTCTCGACCAACTTTAACCGATGGACGGTGGGCATCTCTTATTGGTGGCGGGACACGCATGTGCCATGGGACCGGGACGCAGAGAGTGTTTTCTCCAGTCTGCGATCGCGAGAGCGCACGGGGGGTTCCCTCGTCAAGCTCGAACCCGGCCAATTGTGAGTGATCGGCTTCGGCGCGCGGCCAACACTGTCGACGGTGAGCTTCATTTCAGCTTGTTTTCGACCTGCTGTGCCTGACGGGAACCCTCCGTTCAGATCAGGCCATTATGTCAGAGCAGAGCCTCATGGGCCGCCATTTGCGCGGCCGCACTCGACGCTTCTCGCTGACGTGTTCTCATCAGGCCTAGGAATCCTGCGCCCGAAATCTGCGGCTCCATTCCCGCCTTCGCTGCCTTGAGTCGCACAGACCGTAGACAGTTCTGCGACAATCTGCACCGCGCGGCTCTTCTTCTCGCTGGCGAGGAGATGGTATAGGAGGGGCACAGGTTGTCGTCCGTCCTAATGATCCAGGTGACATCTTGTTGGCACTCATGCTCTCTATCTAGCGAGCGTATCTAGTCCTTTCTTCGTTAGACATACCAACATCGGTACGTCTTCGACGAACCCGAGCGTGAAGGGGACCCTCAGAGACTGGCAACGAGGCTGACGAGCATTGAAGTCGACGCGACGACCGTGATCGCTGTTCGCTAATCACACATTGAGCTCAATCGTAGATCTGCGATATCCTGATCCTCCAAGGACGGTTCGTCGCTCTGACCTCTAGCTTCGCCGGGCTTCGACGGTAGACCCGTCACTCCCACCTGTTTGAAAAAAACAGCTCAGCCGCCTACTGGATGTATGGTGAGACTGAGAGCGAAGGCGTACCTCCGCAAGGGTGACGAAACCAGCGCCTCCTTCGAGTCGCGTACTGCGGGCCTGGCAAATGAAGAAGTCCCCCATAGGCCGCGTGGAAAGAGTACGCTCTGGTCCATACTCGAGCGAAGACGTGATTGGGAAAAACCAGAAGGTAAGTGAACGAGGGGCGCAGTCGAACCGGAGAATTATCGGCCCGTTTCCGCTCGGTGGACCCACATGAGTCAATCTCAGTAAAAACCAGAAGTCAAAGTGTAGTCAGCCAATTTCAAAATTTTGGCGAATTTGACTATTAATGACTACTTGTGACTATTCTTATGGTTTTCTTATAGTGCATGACCTCATACAGTTTAGACCATGTCTGTACAGTTATGTTCCAACCCCTCAGCGCAGAAAAAAGCAACATATGAGCTTCAGAATGCCATGTATTCTGAGATAATCAACTGTGGTGCCTGACTTTTACAGACTAGGATTTGATGGCATTTGATCCCATAATTTCTTGGCATGATGAGTTTGGTGACTGTGAACAGACTTCTCTGGACTTTACCTGACCATGGTGCCAAAATTTTGAATCTGATTGACTTCAGCCTGACAATACCAGACTTTAATTGACTTTCAGTTTTTACGGAGAGTCAATAGCGCCACGTTGCCGGCATATTACTGGGCCAGTTGCGCTGGCACGCCATGCGAAGTCCATCTACGGCAAGTAATGGCACTCCCACTGACAGCAGCACATCACGCAGACTATGCTCCACCACACACGTTATCAGGGCTGTCTATACAGAAGCGCCGGGACTTCTTCGTATGGGATTGGGAACCGACAATGCGATTCGAGGGCGGTAAGCGGATTCTGAAGGAGCGTATTCTGGGGCTGAATGCAAAATACTGTGGTGGGTGGGGTCTCCATCTAGACGAGCGCAATCCTATTACCATGGCTAAGCTGTATGGTTGGTTAGCCGTCATGATGGAGGGCCCTTCTCCTTTCTGTCTCCGTCCGGTGGCCTTTCCTCGCGATTCACAGATATGTATTACACCGGGTGACGTTGGGATATTCTTGCCGGGTATGAAGTATTGTCGTGTCTTGATTCCAGGGCTCATACGTGTCGCTTACACAGGCGAAGGCCAGTCGAAGTGCCAAAGTCGGATTCGCGTCAACGGAGAGTATTTGGAGGACAATCACTGCCCAGAAAAGCCACGGGCGGCACGTCTTAATCTCAGCATACACAATCTCGTGCGGCTGGTTCACAGTATTACCAGAACATTGGATTGTGCATCCGTCAACCACTGACAAGATATAAGTTTTTACATTCTGTCCTCGGTTCTGTCTAGGCTGATAAGTGGATCGTTTGTGCTTAGGTGGAACGACTTGTTGCTCTCAGACGTGACTCCAATCCATACCGATATGACACCGTACCTGGTGATGTCAAATGCGTGGACACTACGCCCTGACGTCGCCGAGATGTTCACAAATAATCAGTGGGGAGTCGACGTTAAGGCACGTGATGCCCTTCCAAGATCTGCTAGACTGACCCCCGTGTCTCGAAAGGACTACTGCCGCGTCGTGTTTTTCGGTCTGTATGACAGGTACGCGGACTTCTTACCTTAAATCCCTTCGATTCTTCCTCTCGCTACAGAATCTGGTCCAGGTCGTGAACGTCTCGAGGAGCACTTCGCGTGGTGCCTAGCCTCGAATATTCTCGGCGGAGATATTCACGATAAGTACGATGGGTTTGCTTTGAAAGGGTATCTGGGATGATATGGGATACTACGACAATGGCATCGATATGAATGACCCCGAGTGGCAAACCGAGCTTGGACGAGAAGTCTGGGAGCTACTTGTCAGAAGGAGGCATGCAGAACGGTAAGATCAGTAAGCAAGAATACTCTCTCGTGTACTAGGACAAAGCTATCTCTCGCCCAGCGAGAACGAGGGGCTAAGTGCATAAACTTGAGAATAAATAGAAGATCAATAACGAAGACACAAGGTAAACCTTAAGACAAGGGCTCCGTAACGAGGGCGCGCATTGACATTGAACCCGGATGATCGTGTAGATGAAAACTTCCGCCTCTCCATGACACAAGAGGATCACAGGCCGGTGTATGGAGGCGCACAGAAATCCCATGCGGAGGAATATGCCGTGTCGATAGATGTGCAATGCAAGTGCTCACCTCACAGGCTATCGATTCATCCGGAGCTTGATGCGACGGAGTAGAGACCTGTGTACTATCCTTCTGATCTAAGCACGTTGTTCTCTATGGGTGGAGATGCCGTGAAGAATGATTCAGGTATTAGTTGTAGATATGTGAACTTAGCTGAAGAAGAAATAGCCTTGTGTGTGGCACTCGGAGATAGTCTTGGAACATATCTTGCATCCTCATGTAATTGAACTTGAGACAGGAAGACGTCATGCAATAAGATCTCCTGAGCAGCGACCTGCGCGTCGACAATTCGCACGTTGCCACTTCCTTGATACCAAGACTCCATGATGTTGACGTTGCAACGATGAGTGTTAAAGGCTCGACACGGACTCGATCTGGCAGAATTTGTGAGCGTGTAAGGAATCCGAGACGTCAGATCACCAGAACGAAGAGGGTCAGAGCGTCTCCGAGAGTCAATTTTGGAGTACTTGGAACATCTTCCGGGAAATTTTGAACCAACATGTGAAGCACCCACGTACTTTTAACATCCACGGGTATGCTAGTGTACATCAACAACAAGTGATCCACAACCTATGTACACAGCAAAATCTATCCTAGGCTGTTTATTGGTCGTCAGAGTATTGAGTATCATTGTATCGGGAGGAGCTATGTGGCCAAACACGTTAGATACCTTCCAAAATGTCATCCAAAAAGAATATCATGCACACCGATCCTGTAGTTCCTCGCACCTCAGCCTAAATCTCAACTCCCAAACCTCCTTCCCAAGCTCGGTTTGCCATTCTGGATCAGCCGGATCAAGATCGTCGCCGTCGAAGCATCCAAGATCTTCGAGGTAGTCCTTTACATCAAACCCATCATACTTGTCATAAATGTCGCCGCCGAGGATGTTGTAGCTCAAGCACCGAGTAAAGTGTTCATTAAGACGTTCGCAAATTGGTCCAGTAAGAGGTAAGTTCGAAGGAACTTGAGGTAAGAGATGCGAGTAATCATCGTAAAGGCCAAAAAAGACCACACGGAAATTTTCCTGTGGAATTCGCATGTCAGTTGGTGAGTCAGTGGCAAATTTCAAGAGGGCAGGACATACACCAACATCGATCCCCCACTTATTGTTTATGAACAGCTCTGCGAGGTCCGCACGGAGCGTCCACGCATTTGATGTTGTATGATATAGTCTAATGTCGGTACGGATCGGTTCCGAGTTCGGGCCTTCATAGTAGCCACCCTATGATAACGCGGTCTGCGCAGTGCACGCGACGAAAATGGAACTTGCTTACTAGTTGAAGCGACGACGGAAAGACCATCCAGCACACCGTAAGAGGTGCATCTGTGGACGATGTACCTGTGAGTACACATCGATACCCATCCCTTGTCTGCACCTCCTCAATGAATGACTGTGTCATATTGTTCTGGTAATATCGTGAGTCAGCCGCCGATCGAGAAAGTTATTGTGCACCACAGTACCCTGTCTTTTCTCTTTGGCCGTAAAGCCGTCTCTTCAGCGTACGTCACTTGCATTCCGGTGAAACAAATATCGTACTGAAACCTTGACTGACTGTCGCCTGACGGGAAAAACGATATATTTAGCACCGAGTACTATTAAACTATTGAAACCTCTACCTGGTAGGAATACACCGATGTCACCCGGTTTGAGATACTCCTGAGAGTCACGAGAGAGTGCATCTCCAGCACGCTGCGGTAGATACCTGAAGATGGCGTCGGTCGGTAATATCTGCACTGCGTGTAGGTTGAATTCTTGAGATCTTTTCTTCAACAGAAGCGCCAACCACCGATACAAGCTCGCAACAGTGATGGGGTTGCGTTCGTCCAGATGTAAACCTGGTTTCATGTAATCCAGAGTTCAGTCAGTGGCGACTCGGACATTCCATAAATGGTCTCTTACCTCCTACCAGTCGCAGAGTCGGCGACCAGATAAAGAAATTTCTACGCTTTTGAATAGATTTCTCCGACAATGTATGCTGAGGAATGTAGCAATGATCGAGTTTAGGCGTCATAGCTGGTCGAAGATGCACCGTCGGAGGAAAACAAATCGCTGGCGCTGGTTATAAAATTACACTGCAGCAGGTACAGCCAGTATGAAGTCGACTATCTTGCGTTTGCCATCGTCACCAACCCGATAGATGGTGCGTCGCTAGATGACACACGTTGACGACAATTGGAACAATATTTATTTGATTCCATGCCAGTGGACCTCGAACTTGAGCGCCACAATCCGGCATTGCGGCGTTCGCGGAGTTTCCGGGGTCTTCACCAGCTTCGACGCTGAGCGCTGAGGATACCAGTGCCTTGAGCGTTCATAGAGTTTCGCTACCTATGAATTGCTGCCAGTGTATGTTGAGAAACAAAACCTTTAACATTAATATGATGCTGATGCTACAAGGTCGTACTAATTTTCCAATGGAGACGGTGTCATCCGCATACATGGACCCACAATGGTGCGAAGATCCTATCATACACGACTTGTCTGCATTTCTTGGACTCGCTCAGTGAGCGCACCGTGTGCGCACCTACACCTCTCTCGGCCTCTTGTACACCCTTGCAGAGAGCACTAGCGACAGACACCGAGCCCGAGCATTCCCCGCGTTCACTCCGACAAGGCTTTTCCTGAGTAGCGAGGCAAATGGAAATGCTTCCCCGACCTCTCGTTCGTCCGCCGCTGTTCGAGGGCTAGCTCTGCGCGTGGCTCCTCCGCCGTGCGAGCGGCTGCAGTATTTAGCATGTTCTGTGGGGATGATGTCTCGGCGCGGCACGGCGGAAGATGGAGAAGCCTTGAAAGCGTGTACGGGTTCGAGAAGCTCCGCGTTGGTGGGAGTCTGACGCTCGAGCTCGAGCTCTCGTCCTCTGGCGATAGGTGGGGGCGTCAACGAGGGTCCCAGTGCACTGAGGAGATGGCGGGACGCCCGAAATATTGTGGGACCTCCTGGCGGAGTTTTCGCCGGTCACGGAGGAACGTCGTGTGCTATGTTGTGTGCTGTGTAGAACGAGATGTCAGTACCGACAGGGACACACTGTCGACGTCACTTTTGCCAAAGGCCATGGCAGGGGCGAGAGTCGGATTCGCGCTCTCTCTTCAATTTCGCGTGACGCGGGACTCGCGTTAAGAGACCCAGTGCCAGTGCCAGCGATATGACAGGCACGCAGATCTTTCGAGGACGAGCCCAACGTGGATACTCAGTTCACTATGTGCCAGGCTCTGCAAGGTGGAAAGCCGACTCGGGACTCCCCTCTTTCGCGAGCGTAGTTTCTCTCCGGCATGCGAGTGGCTTGGTTAGTCACTGCAAGATGCGTAAGCGTCGGACAGCATTTTTTTGCAGCCGTTGACGTGGAGAGACGCCGGTAGAGACATGCTGTGCAGTGTGCAGTGAACGACGCCGAATATGCCAGCACCGGAACAAACACGGGCTTCTCGCATCGGAATACGCTACAAGCCGCAACGGCTTGAATCTGAGAAAAAAATCGAGCGTGGATTACGCTTGCGCTACCCACGATCAGACAAACGGTGACGCTTTGCAGACGTCGCCGCAGAGAAATCAGCAGATAAAGATGAAAATGGATGTGCTTATCTCAACCGCGCGCCCACCCAGCCGTCTCGGACAACTCGTGGCGGGGCACTCTTAGAGCAATACCGTACGATCCCTAGCTGTGGCTGCGGTGCTTTCGAAGCCGTTGCTGTGCAAGAACTCCAAGTACAGGTCACGTGACAAACGCGTCGCGTTTGCCACTGGGCCACAGCATCTTGCAACCGTCCGCAGCCGTCCCAGCGTATTATAAGAGAGCGACTTACGAAGGCAATCCCCCAGTTTCTTAACCACACCCTCCACCGCTACCACCGCTATCACAAAATCCACCACGCCAATGCCCGTCGATATGTCTCCACCGCGTCTCCTGCGGACTTGTTCCGCCACTTCTTATGGGCCACGTCCACTTAATGGCCACGCCCTGGTCTTGCAGCGGAAGGATGCCTATTGGCAGGTCCACATGCTTCCATCCCACGGCGTGTATCCAAAGGAATGCCCATTCCCTCTTACCTATTCCGTCCTTCGCCATTCCATGGACGTCGCAACCTACCCGGTCCGAGGCCAAAGTCGAGCTGGGAGAGAAGGAATTCTCACCGGCAGGTCGTCCGGACGGTCTATTTTGGCTCTGAGTGGATCGGACCAGCAGACACAACTTAGTCGTATATGGAGGGGGCTCACGATCACGGCCTACAGGGAGGGTACCGCGACACGTCATGTGGCCTACATAATATGGTACGTTCTATATCTCCCCTCATGAACGCACCCTGACGATGAGATTTGAAGTGCTTTCTTGCGAGCAATGGCAATTTCCCTGCCACCCATAGGCAGCTGGTCGAAGCTTCTCGGGGATTTCTTCGCGGTACGTTCTCGGTCACATTGCACTGTTTCCGTTATTGACTTTGTGGCCAAAGGTGAAGGGACGGCCTGAAGGGCTGCAGGTTGCTTTGCACCACATCGGACGGCACGATCTCCGCCCACGCTCCACCCACCGGCGTAATCCGGTTGTCCTCCATCTGAGTGGGCGGGTGCCAGTGAGAGGCACCTGTCCCGGGGCTCGGGGAAGGCCTCGTTTCCGCTCCCTTTGGGTACTCTGGTCGGCGGGAAGGCGGTGAGCCGCTTTTTGGACACGCACGGAGGCCCCGCGATACGGTGCGCAGGAACGCCGACGGGCATGTACGTTCTGCGCACTTGGTGCGCGCGCTCGTTTGCCTCCGTCCGCCCGCCCCGCCGCGCGGGGCTCCGGACGGCGGCACGGAGCTGAAGCCCAGCGCAGCTCGGCCGGTCGGAGCGCTCGCGCGTGTCCCGGGTCCGACCTAGACGCTGCGCTCTTGGGAGGGGGTGCGTGTACGGATCCTCCTCCCCTCCCAGGGGCGGCGGTGTGCGAGATTACCTCCCCGCGCGGACGCGCCCTGACTCCGCGCTGCCCACAGGGATCGATGGCGTCGAAGGTGTCTGGTTGCGAGCGTTTCCCTGCTGCTCGCGAGCGGTTGGTCGGAGCGTCCCGGGGATGGCGGTCCGAGTACGCCCCCTCCGTCGTCCTGCGCGGTCGCCACCACTTACGTCGTGGTCAAAGGCGATCGGACGTGACCTGCAGGCGGACGCGTGCAGTGCACGAAGCCGGGACGGGCTCAGCGGACTAGCGCGTCGCCCCCCCCTGTCCGTCCGACTTGCAGAGCACGGCTGGCCCATGCCGCTCGACCAACCCCCGAGCCGAATACCCGCATCCCACCCCAGTATGAACGGACCCACGAAAGCCGAATGGGCTGCAAATGGCTGCATCGAGAGGCCCCGTCTACGCGTCCCCATCTCCACCCGCCGGCGTGACTGTAGTGCGCCCCCTTCTCACCCTGTCCCCCGCGCTGGTGGCGGTCAGGACGAGAAGAGGGCGCATCACACTGGGGCCTGCGCATCAGTGGTTTTCGCGGTGACGTCGTGCGTCATTTTGCGGTCGGGTACCCTCTGGCCCACCTGGAGTTTGCGCGCTGGGCAGGAGATGGGGTAGTGAGTGGGACGGGGCGAGGACGCCATGTGTGGATGGCGACGACGATAATGAGGAGCTCCATCCCCGCGGGACCGTGGAATGCGCATGCGTAGGGCGAGCGGCATGGCCTATGCATCTCCCGTCTGCGTTTCTTCGACTCGCTGATGCACGTCGGCCCCCCCCCTCTTGTACCGACGCCCTGCTGAGAGCGCTGACGAACACCGAGCTTGGTTTTCCGTGTTCGACGACGACGGGCTCTTCCTCTGCGGCGAGGGAACGGAGATGCGCCCCCCCGAGCTCTCGTTCGTCCGCGGCCGTTCCTGTGCGCGCTCCCTCCTCCGCGCGAGGTGTGCGCGGTGGGTGTCTGCATGAGCTATCGCCGCGGCGCGGCGGGAGACGCGCAAGGGGTGTGTACGGGTTCGAGGGAGCGTTGGGCGCCCGAGCTTGGGTCCTCCGTCGACGGACAGCACCGAGTGCTATTTAAACTATCGGAACGTCTGCCTGGCTGCCTGGTAGGAACACACCGACGGCACCCGGTTTGAGGTGAGTCACGGAGGAGCGCACCTCGGGCGCGCAAGGTGGATACCCGCAGGAAGATGGCGTCGGTCGGTGATTAATATTATCCGCGCTGGGTGCAGGTCGAATTCCTGAGATATGTTCTTCGACAGGAGCGCCAACCATCGATGCAAGCTCGCGACAGCGACGGGGTCGCGTTCGTCCAGACGTAAACCTGATTTCATATAATCCAGCGTCCAGTCAGCGGCAACTCGGACCATTCCATAAACCGCCTCTCACCTCCTACCCTAGTCGCGCAGAGTCGGCGCGCCCAGAGGACGAAATTCCTACCTCTTTGAATGGATTTCACCTGACTAGCGGTGATCGAGTTTAACATAGTTGTTCACCACGGCGAAATTACGTTGTCGCTGGAAACAAAAAATGGATGGTCGGAGGGCCCCGTCGTCGTCTCCACGCGCCGGCGCGAGTGTAGTGCGCCCCCTTCCCGCCGTGTCCCCCACGCGGGTGGTGGTCAGGATGGGAAGAGGGCGCGTTACTAGGGCCTGCGCGGCAAGGGAGGGCGGTGGTTTTCTCGGGCGGTGTTGTGCGTCATTTTTCGGGCTGGGAACGCCGAACTGGTTTGGGGGGGGGGAGGGAGTTACTGCGTTGGAAGTGGGGCCCGTGAGAGGGGACGGTGTGCGTTCTGTGGAGGACGACGACGACGACGACGACTTTGAGCGTTGATATATCGATATAGCCCCGACGGGGAACGCGCGTGCCTAGGGTGGGCGGTGTGGCGTACGCGACTTGTCTGCGTTTCTTGGACTCGGGTCTCTCTCTTGCGCCGGTGCCCCGCAGGGAGCACAGGCGGACGCCGAGCCGGCGCGTTTTTTGCGTTCGCTACGGGCTCTAACTGAGCGGCGGGGAGATGGAGATGCGCCCCCCGGCCCCTCGTTCGTCCGCAGCCGTTCCTGCGCGGCGCGCGCTCCCTCCTCCGCGCGAGGTGGCGCAGTATGGCGTGCTCGGTGCGACGCGGCGGGAGATGCCTAGAGGGTGTGTCCGGGTTCGCGTCCGTGGGAGTTGGGCGCTCGAGCTCGATGGGCGGATGCGCCATATGCCACGCTGGGCCAGGGCGCATCGCGATTAATCCGGGCGGCCTTTTTCTTGGGGGGCGTGTCTTGCACTGTGGCGGTATGCAGCCGTATGGTGTGTTGTGTGTACTGCGTAGAACGGGATGTTAGGGCCGACAGGGATGTAGTATCGACGGCACGTTCGTCCCGCGTACCGCGTCGGCATCTCCTCAGTGAAGCACCCGCCGTGCGCGCTCTTCTCGAGTCTTCCTCTTCCCGGTGCGCGACGTGCCGCTGGGAGAGTCCAGGAGAGGGTGGCGTGGTCGGGCTTGGGAGGATGTGTCGTCGCGCTTTGGAAGGGAACCTATTGCTTCGATGTCGGTATTCTGGCGCACTCCGCCTCGAGCCCAGATCTGCCGCCGCCCAGTGAGAAAGGCACGATGCGCCGACCGAGGAAGCGGACCGATACCCGCGCAGGTGGGCGCCTAGCTCGCTGGTGTTGGTTCAGCTGCACGTGTGAAGATGGTGGGTGGAGCCAATCTCTGAGCCTGTGCGGTAGGCGCGATCATGGACTTGTCGGTCGCGGAGCTCTGTCGGGAGAGATCGGTCCGCGACGCTGATCGATCGGATCCCCATCGGATCCACCTCACCGCATGCACTGCCAATCTTATTCGCCTCTGCGCGCCTTTTCCTCCCACCGCCGGGGCACGCCCGCGAGGTCCTTCAGCCGGTACCCAGCTGAGACACCGCACGAGCGGGCCCTGGCCGCAGGCCATCCTCCCCGCACGTTCAACGTTCAACATCTGTCGCCCTCTGCTTGACGGGCGACGAGGAGAGGTGGAGAGCCTCGCTTCACTTTCCCATGTACATACTCCATCCTGTCCTCCTCACCAGATCGATATCAGAATACCCTGCGCCCTCGTTGGGCCCAGGGCTTGTCACTTTGGCCCTAGTGCGACATTCCTCCTGTGTCCCCGTTCGCCGTCCCACTGCCGCCATTCGCTTCTCCACGTCTTTCCCTCCCACCGCGACGGCACGCCCCCAAGGTGCGTACCCAGCTGAGACACCGCGCCCCTCGGTCCTCCCCGCGCGTCCTACGCCCAGCATCTGCCGCCCTCTTCTTCTCGGGCGATTATCTGCCAGTTGGTGAGCTTCGCTTTCTTATCGCATGTGCACCATCCACTCATTTAACCGTCGCTAATCAGAACACTTGTTATCCCCGCGCGCTCATTGCAAAGCCCGTAAAAGACCCGCCGGGGACGACTCGCGCGTCACCAGGTCAGTGCGCATGCGATACGTCTCAGCCAGATCTCAAACGACGACATTTCGGCGTCGCACGGTGCAAGCTGCAAACGAAAGCGAACGTCGTCCGGCCCTTGCATCGTGGGTGTTGCCCGTCTCGGTGCGAGTCCGTCGCCTTCTTCCTGCGCAGCGTTGCTCGCCACGCCCAGCAGCGTGCGTACTGGTACTGTGCACATTGTCGCAGTTCTGGGCGCTGAGCCGGCCCGTTAACTATAACCTCGCGAACAGAGCACCCAGTACGCTCGCGCGTGGCTCGACTCTCGCCACTCCGCGGTTCGCTGTCGACCCTCGCTCACCGTGCGCGCCGCGGGGGCACAGCGCGCATAGCACCCGGCGTCCTGCCGCTTCCGCACTTCGAGCAAGGACGGGCTCGTCCCCCCGCCGACAGAGAGGCTCCGTCCCGCGATCCGCTCGTACTTGCCGACCCATCGCCGGCGGGACCTGCGAGGCCTGACAGGATCCGAATATACCGACCGGACGCTCTCGAAGCTGCCGCAGGAAGTGTCCATGCAAAACGGGAGGGCAAAGGGAATGACGGGCAGGGACGACAAAGTGGATGCGGCGGGCACGTCGACGTACGTGGGGCGTCCGTGAATGAGTTATAGGCGTACGCAGAGCGCACGAGCTAGTAATATTTACTTCAAATTATGGGAGAGGCGGTCATGATCGGCGTACGTGAGAGCTCGGGAGACGCACATCGTATGGTCGAAGCCATAGATAAATAAATACCTTCGTTTCCCACATTTCGGCCCCGCTCCTGCCTGCAAACGCCGTTCTCTCAACACGTGATGTCACATGGGCGTGTGGTCAGTATCGCGCGTTCACTCCCAATTCCGCGAGAAGGCTCGCATATTGCGGAACGCCTCCATATACCTTCTGATCAAGGCTGCAGGTTATAAGAAGTCTAGCTCAGGCCGGTATACAATCCACATCAATAGCCCGCGCGACCTGCGAATGCGAGGGGATGGCTGCTGTGACGATCTCACCCCCCCACACACGTACATGCTGAGCGTGCGCGGGATCACCGCAGAGACGACTTGGACGGGAAGGGGAATAGAGCGGTAACAGCGAAGCTACGATACTCAAAAAGAAATTCGCAAAAAAGCGCGCATTCTTGACACCAGGCAGGTTCCAGGCGGGGGGGTTCACAGACATAGGGGGGCCCGTAAACACAGGGTGGAATTTCGAGAGTGGAGACTGCAGTGAGATATAGAATAGGTAGGTGCTCGTGCTAGAAAACGGCTCGAGGACCAAGAAAGGGTGGGGGAAATGAGACCATGGTGGTTGGATGGAGTGTCAAGGGCCCATCGTTGCTAGCTGCGCCTGTAGATGTCGCAGTCCAAGGCAGTGTGGGCCAGCGATCACCGTGGCACAGCGAAAAGCCCGACGAAGGGAAGCCTATGGACGGCGTGTGCGATGGAGAGCGACTACGCCGCGATGTCAAGGTGGTATGGCAATGGCTGACTTCATATCCTCGACGTGGATGCCCGTGGGCAATCGCTCGCCCTCTCTTCAACACTTTTTTTTTTACTCTGGCGTTGGGGGCGTGGAATGTGAGCGCGCTTTGGAGTGGATGGCTTTGGAGTACGGGGTTTGGACTTTGAGCGTCGATGATGTAAATCGGATCTATGGACGTACTGACTCGCGAACGTACGGACCTGCGAACATACGGACCGGTGGACGAGCGGACGGGCCAATGTTCGGACATGCGAACCAAGAAACCTGCGGACGTTCGGACGTGTGAACAAATAAACCCGCGGGCGTTCGGAGGTCCGAACGCCCGCGGGTTTATACGAATGTACGCACCTGCGAATGTACGGGGTCACCTGCGAACGTACGGGGTCACCTGCGAACATACGAACCTGCGAACGTGTGAATATACGAATGCACAAATGTTCGGACGTGTGCACATACGACGTTCGAGTATACGCAGTAACCTGTGAAGCTTTGAAGCTGTAAGGACGTGCCAATGCTCGGACGCGCGAACCAAATGAAGGGCCTGCTGACGGTCGGACCTGCGAACGTACGAACGTAAGAACGTTAGAACCTGCCAATCTTGGGATCCTGTAAATCCCACCTGGATCACATACTTCCGATACGTACCTCCATGGTTTGCCGATATTGGGAAGCAAAAGATTACCGGCCGAATTTTTGCACGCATTTTATGCGGTTGGAAATCTCTGTCCGCCATTCTTTGCGAAGAGACTGAAGCACGGATGAGAAACCTCTCCTGGGTGTCCACTGCGGCGAGAACCTGGTCAATCAAGGTATATGGTAGCCAGGTCACAGACGCGGCCTTGGGCTTCTCGTGTGCGAGGTGAGCGTCACTCTGCGAGGAGGCAGCTTAATCAGAAGGGTGGCCACGACGATGGAGAGAGCCTAGACACTCACTCTCCACATTAGCACCCGGGACACACCCTCGCATTGTTGACGAACACCCAAATGAGTTCGCCAAAAGCACTGCGCTCGGCTTCTGAGGCAGAAAGCCTCACAGACGTCGCCAGGAGGTACGTTCGACGTGCAACCTCGATTTCGAATTGGTGCAGAAATTCGATCTGCTCAAGTAACGCGGGATCAGTATTGTTCCACAAATAGAGACAAATGCGAGAGGCATAGACAATGACTTACGGCTACGTCAATGCATATACGTTGGAGGAATGCCCGGAGGATGATATTAGTTGTGTGAAGCCGGTATTGTGCTCTTCGTGAGTGTAGCTCATGCGATCCTTCCGCCGTGTATCTATCGTCGATCGCATCAATATCTTGAGGGACCTCGGAATACAACAGGCAAATGTATCGAAAACGAACGAGACTTACTTGGTATCTCGACGTTCACGTTAATCCGCGAGTCCGTTCGGACTGAGAATGTCAAGATCGTCCAGTCGTACTTGGCGCACGCATGCACGTACCTCGCCTGTCTTCTCGTCGAGTGTCATGTGCGTGTGGCCGTAATTCTCGACCTGGTAGAACGAACCGCCGAGGCGGAGATAGTGGGGCCGACAGGAGATATATTGCACTCAAAAAGAAGTTTCGTACTAGGACTTGACGAAGCTGCCGTGGTCATCCACGACAAGACACGAAACTGAAATGGAGCGACTCCCTCGTCCCAACGTGAACGCGTAACTGAAGACGTTGTCCGCTCACCTTGTCCGTCAACCTATCGACTTTTGCCTCAACTTCGATGATGTCCGCCCTATCCGTGCGGGAATTGACCATGACACGGATGACCCAGCGGACGAATTGGCCAAGAGGGTTCGCATCTGAGATACAGTGTGAGCACGTCCATTGCAATTCTACTGTGTGTAAGAAGTGGAGGGAGCAGAAGGATCCGACGAGAGAGTGCGGCAAGCGCATTTGAACTTTGGACAGCAGCATCGGCATCGACGTAGTCTCTCTTGTCCATAGACCTCTGAGGTTTTCGGTGGTGCAAGTCTTCTGTCGTCGTCGGCAAGCTCGGGTCATACTTGTGCGATCGGGAGGATGTTCCAAGCAACAAGAGCAAGCACTGGCAGGGAACGGAGAGTACTTGACGCGAAATGCCGCGGACCGGGATCTCCGCGCCTGCATCCCGTTCGTCAACCCTACTCCACGTCCATCACAAAAAGCCCTGGTGGCATGTTTTCTAACACTAGGTACAAGACAAAATATCTCATAATAAACATGGAGGCCACCCATAGCAGCGCACAGTAACTGCACGTCCTATTACGTTGCAACTTTGCGACAAATCATGAGTGAGACGGCAGTAGAAACTGAAGTGCGGTACCAAAAGATCTAGCCGTGGAGTGCACTTTACGACGTAGACTTCCGTTGGTGTAATCACACCCAACGCGCCCAATGCGCTGGGTCATCTGCAGCTGCGGGTATCTGTGACTGCCACAGTTCTTTATGTAACCGCTGCTCCTCATATATTTCCTGCCACCCATATGACGCTTGCAGGAGCGCAGCCCACACATGCCAATTAGTTTGCTTCACAGGCAAAAAGACGGTGGGAGAGAGGCCGGCAACCCAGAAATCGTATGCCGTGTACTTCTTGTTCTGTATGCTCTTCTTTGCAGTGACATACTTCACACATGGTGTCTTTGCGGCAAGAGCAAAGAAAATACGAATGATGGGAATGGGGACTGAAGACAGGTCGAAGATGCCGAGCTCGTAGGGGTCCATGGCGTCGAACATGTCTGGCTTGGGATTAGCCGTGTAATGTGAGTCGTTCTTGCACTGCCACACGATGACCCCGATATTATCTTCGACGATAGAGTATCCCTGTAATAAAAAAGGAATGATGCCGTCGATGGCCCCTTGGGTTGGACAGCACTGCATTGCTGCTCCCCGAAGCATAAGGGCCATGAGATAATCAACGTTGATCAGTTTGAGCTGGTGCACCTGGATCCAGTGGCTAAAGTAGACTTTACTGTTGGTGTTCGTCATGTCCCATGGAAGCCGAGGAAGACGAGACAGGGCGCGTGCGTGGACGCACGCGCAGTGATCGAAGGGAGTACGAGAGAGGAAACGGACCTACTGAATATATACATACACGTTCGCTGTCCCATTCACGTTCGAAACAATCCCGCTCTTTTAGTTTACCGAAACCGATGCCGTAGCTACCTTATAACCTAGAGTATGAGTACGCACTCCCCTCAGTGTCCGAACGCTAGACGACGGAGCACTGAGGTGAGCTTACCTACTTATCCGCATACCCGAGTAGCTTACTGATGCGACGAAGACTCTCATTTATTTACTTAGGTATGCAATACACTTAGTGTCCGAACGCTAGACGACGGAGCACTGAGACTCTCATTTATTTACTTAGCTCCGTCGCTCGTGACCTCTAACAGGTTATGAGCCCCGCCGCTATGTCGCTCACCTCGGAATCCCACCTGTCTCACCTCAACATCGTCCCGAAGTTGGCAGCCGACGGCTCCAACTGGATTACGTACAAGGAGCGCATGTTCACCGTCATGGGCTCCCGAGGGCTGTTGCGACATCTCCAGGGGACGGCTCGCAGGCCGCCAAACCCTCCTCCATTCCCGATGCCATCGCCCGCGCAGGCCGCGATGACGGCTTCCACGACGCCAGCCACTGCTGCGTCGACGACCGCAACCACGGGCACCGGCACGACAACGACCTCTGCCACCACGACACCAGCCGCCAGACAGGCCCAGTCTTCTATGACACCAGAGGAGTACTTGAAGACAGTGGAGGCTGCTGAGCAGAAGTTGGATGAGTACGTGCAGAAGGAATATGCGGCGCGACAGCAGATCTACGGCACGATCAGCGACCAGCTACTTCTTCGCGTGAAGAAGCTGGGTACCGCGGCGGATGTATGGCTCGCCGTGCAGAACGAGTACGAGAGTAAGTCCGATATGTACTCGGGCGCTCTGCGGACTCGTCTGCAGAACACAAAGTGCGAGGAAGGAGCCGATGTGCGAGCCCACCTCGACACGCTCGCGAAGATGCGCGAGGAATTGGCGTCCATGGGAGCGCCGATTTCCGATGCCGACTTCTCTGCTCATGTCTTCGCGTCACTTCTGGAGACGTTCAGTCCACTCCTGCAGGCCCTCTCCACTGCCGCGCGCGCAGCGAAGACAACACTTTCTGCTGATGACCTTCTGGCCAGCATCCTTGAAGAGCACGACCGGCGGAAGGCACACCTGAAGCCAGAGTCCGCGCTCTCGGTGAAGGCAGACATGCGCTCGCGCTCACGTTCCAAGAGTCGCGGACGTGGCGCGAAGTCCAAGGACATGGAGTGCTACAACTGTGGCTGAAAGGGCCACTTCTTGCGTGACTGCTGGCGCGAGGGCGGCGGAAAGGAGGGCCAGGGACCGAAGGACCAGTCACCAAAGAAGGACAGCAGCGGAAGCAAGAATGCGAAGGGAAAACCCGCAGCAAACGCAGCTGTTGGTGACAGCGCGACTGACCACGCATTCACTGCCACCTTCGACAGCACTGCGCTTGCTGCAAAGCCATCCGAGGTCAAGGTCGAAGTCTACGACAGCGGCGCAACCCGCCACATGTCCCCATATCGTGATGCATTTGTCACGTTCAAGGCCATCAGCTTGAAGCCCATCACCGCAGCTGATGGGCGCAAGTTCCATGCGACTGGCGAAGGCACCATGAGGATCGAAATCCCAAACGGTGATCAGTCAATGACCGTGATGCTCAAAGATGTTCTGGACGCACCCGAGATTGCATTCGCCCTTATCTCAATTGCACGAGCGGATGCTGCGGGCTATTCCACCACCTTCGAGAATGGCGAGTGTCGTTTATACTCACGTCGACACTCCCGCACAATTGGGCGCATCCCCTCGACGAATGGGCTGTATAAAGTCGAGCACCCGAAGTCAAGGGAGGTAGCATCAGTCGCAGAGGAGAGCAAAGATGAGTGCGCTCTCGTCTCGCTCTCCGTCATGGACTTCCACCGCCGCATGGGACACATTGCACCTGCAATCGCTGAGCGTCTTGTCCGTGAAGGCCGAGTCAAAGGCATACAGCTGACAGACAAGGCCAGCTCAGACAAGAACTGTGAGTCCTGCATACAGGCAAAAATCACACGCCAGCCAGTGCCGAAGGAACGAGAAGGAGGACGTGCAAAGGAGCTCGGTGACTGGATCCACTCAGATGTCTGGGGCCCGGCACGCACTGAAACCCTTGGAGGAAAACGGTACTTCACTTCATTCACGGATGATGCGACGCGATGGACCGACCTCTACCTGCTGCGAGTGAAGTCAGGCGCCTTCTCCGCTTACAAATCATTTGAGGCACGACTGAAGACACAGGATGGCAAGGCCATCAAAGCCCTCCAGTCAGATCGAGGGGGCGAGTATCTCAGCCAAGCATTCAAGGATCACCTTGAAGTGCAAGGCACCATCTCCCGACTCACCGTCCATGACACGCCGCAGCACAATGGGCTCGCAGAGCGTATCAACAGAACCCTGCCAGAGCATGCCCGTGCGATGCTGATCACAGCAGAGCTGCCTAAGAGTCTCTGGGGTGAGGCACTTATGCACGCGACGTGGCTGAAGAACCGGACATCGACACGTGCGCTCGACGGGAAGACTCCATACGAGGCACGCTATGGCAAGCTTCCCGACCTCCACGACCTCCATGAGTTTGGCGCAAAAGTATGGGTACGCATTGAAGATGCGGACAAACTCGAGTCGAAGGCACGTGCAGGCCACTTCGTCAGGTATACTGATGAGAGCAAGGGCTACTGTGTGTACTGGCCCGAGAAGTGCAGCGTCTCAGTGGAGCGAAATGTCCACTTCATCAATCAGCTCATCATTGCTGATGAGGCTCAGCCCGAGGGGGCAAAGGAGACAGTCGTCCTGACCTCACCGGCAACACCTTCTGCACCCGCACAGGAGCCAGAATATGAGCCACGCACCTCCGAAACTCAGGCAGCACCTCCCGCGACATCTCCCACTGCATCTCTGACACCATCCTCTGATGCCACAGCAAAAGAACCTGCAAGTGCAAAGTCCGATTCTGAGAGTGGCACCGGACGCTCGCAATGCGCACGCAAGGCCTCTGCATACGTGAAGCGTCTCAACGACGGCTCAGGCGTTATGGATGGGCGCAAGAGTCAGCCGAAGTACCCAAAGGGGCTCCAGCCAGGGGACTTAATGGGTGCGACAGCCATGACAGTTGAGGATAGTGAGGACAGCGAGAGTGAGGAAGATGAACCCATCTTTGCAATGCCAGCCGCATTTGCAGTGCACGAAGGTCAAGAGCCGCGATCCCTCGAGGAAGCCATGCAAAGCCCGGACTGGCCGCAGTGGCAGCAGGCGATTGAAAAAGAGATGCAAAACCTTCGTGACCATCACACGTATGATCTCGTTGAACCGCCTGAGAATACTAACATTGTCGGTTCAAAATTCATCTTCAGGATCAAGCACAATGCAAATGGCGAGATAGAGTCCTACAAGGCCCGTCTCGTCGCGCAAGGCTTCACGCAGGTGCCTGGCGTCGACTTTAACGACACGTTCGCACCCGTTGCCAAGCTCGCATCGATCCGGATCATCCTCGCACTCGCCGCACGCCACGACTGGGATGTGCACCAGATGGACGTCAAGGGTGCATACCTCAATGCTGAACTCGAAGAGGATATTTTCATGAAGCAGCCACCCGGGCAGGCCAAACGCGGGAGGGAGCACTGGGTGTGCCACCTGCGACACATGATTTATGGACTCAAGCAGTCGGGCTGCCAGTGGTTCAAGAAGATTTCCACCGCACTTAACGAGATGGGACTCTCACGCAGCCTTGTTGATCACTGCGTATTTTACCTGGATGAAGACAATGACTCCATCACTCTGATCATCGCACTCTCCGTTGACGACACAACGATCGCGGGCATGAACAGTGCAGTACTCTGGTTCAAGACGGAAATCAGCAAGCACTTTGAGATGACTGACCTCGGTGAGATGCACTGGATCTTGGGCATCGAGGTACGCTGTGATCGAGCCGCTCGAACCCTGTCACTTTCGCAGCGCACGTACATCGACGGTATTGTGGCACAGTTCAACCTCGAAGATGCCAAGCCGCTCTCCACTCCCCTTGAACCCGGCGCGATCCTCAGCATTCGATAATGCCCCTCGACGTCGCGCGAGTTCGAGGACATGCGGAACGTACCGTATCATGAGGCGATTGGCTCGCTCATGTACGCGGCACTCGGGATGCGGCCAGACATCGCGTTCGCGGTAATGGCGCTCTCGCAGTTCATGCAGAACCCGGGACGTGCACACTGGGAGGCCGCGAAGCGCGTCTTGCGGTACCTGAAGGGTACGCGCGAGAGGTGGCTTACTTACGGGCAGACGCGCGATGGAGTCGAAGGATTCTCGGATGCGGATTGGGGCTCGTCTGAGCACAGGCATTCTATCTCGGGGTATGTCTTCCTCATTGACGGCGGTGCAGTCTCGTGGTCCGTGAAAAAGCAGCCGGTCGTCGCGCTATCAAGCACGGAGGCCGAGTACATCGCGCTCACGCATGCTGCGAAAGAAGCGATCTGGGTGCGCTACCTTCTTGCTGACATTCTCGACCCGGACATCAATAAATTCGCCCTACGACTCCACACGGACAACCGCTCAGCTATCGCGCTCGCGAAAGACAACGCGTACCACGCCCGCATGAAACACATCGACATCCGCTACCACTTCCTGCATGAGGCTGTCGACTCCGCCATCATCATCCTGCTCTACCGTCGCACAGAAGACATGCCCGCTGACCTCTTCACGAAGAGCTTGCCGCGTGTGAAGGTGGAACATCTCGCATCACTCATGGGCCTCCATGGCACTTGAGGGGGCGTGTTGGTGTTCGTCATGTCCCATGGAAGCCGAGGAAGACGAGACAGGGCGCGTGTGTGGATGCACGCGCAGTGATCGAAGGGAGTACGAGAGAGGAAACGGACCTACTGAATATATACATACACGTTCGCTGTCCCATTCACATTCGAAACAATCCCGCTCTTTTAGTTTACCGAAACCGATGCCATAGCTACCTTATAACCTAGAGTATGAGTACGCACTCCCCTCAGTGTCCGAACGCTAGACGACGGAGCACTGAGGTGAGCTTACCTACTTATCCGCATACCCGAGTAGCTTACTGATGCGACGAAGACTCTCATTTATTTACTTAGGTATGCAATACACTTAGTGTCCGAATGCTAGACGACGGAGCACTGAGACTCTCATTTATTTACTTAGCTCCGTCGCTCATGACCTCTAACATTTACTGTCTGCGAACGTTTCCTTCAGGTGTCTGGGAAACTCCGCCCGTCCACTAGGAGTAAGCTCCGATCCATTGCAGGCAAGTATGTCGACATGCTCCTCCGAGGCCGGTGATGGAGTGCAGAACAAATGTTCCAACAAACGAGGGACGGTGTTCCACCGTTGAGTCGGCATGCCAAAGCTATCAGGGTTGCCAACAGCCGCATCTCGAGCCATTGTGAATAGCAACATCACCAGGAGCTCGCCCCGTGCACCTTTATCAATAGAAAAACCGTGTAGGATTGACATGAGCGCATCAGGCGCGTTAAATGATTTGTCCTGCATCATCCAGTAGGCCGCCTCAGAGAGAATAGGCTCAGACGGTGACGCAGAAGTCATGCTCTCCAGCCCAGCATCGAGTCTGATGCAGACCCGCATATAGCTTTCAATCTGCTCCAGCTCTTGAACATGAGAGAGGTATGTGATGGATTTGAATTCAATAGGAAGTCTTTGGGCAAGGCATGCAAGTTTCTGTAATATCCCCAGTCCCTTGCTTCTGTCCACCATGCCAACAAGTTTCCTTACGGCAAAGGCAAGTATTCCTTGTTGAATTTGAGAGTCTGGGTAATCATAACGAGCACCCCAACTGTATCAAAGCAGGATTAGCAAACATGCTCCAAATACAACAGAAGCAATGCACAGCAGACGTCCAAGATGCGAGATATATTCAGTTGTGACAACGTCCAAGGGGCTGACCTTAGACTCAACGAACGAGATGAACCTCGCCAGCTGGTCTAAGCCAAGATCAGTGAAAGGGTGGATCAAAATCAGATCACCGAAGATAATTCGCAGTGAAGGTTCATTGTCCTTAGATGGGATGAATTGATTGATCTTCCTCGTGGTGGAGAGGAAGAGAGAAAATAGAGGGTAGTCACTCAGAGCACGGAGCGCCCGACATAGCTCTCCGAAATTTGACCAAGCATTACCACCACTGGCTGGCTTCATCAGCATATGCGATTCATCGAATTCTAACACCACCAGGGGACCTTCCGCTGTTGCCTTCTTCGATACAGCCTTTGTGGACAAAGGCGACTCTTCTTTCTGTAAGATCTCGGCCAGCTTAGCGAAGGACTCGTTAGGTGGAAACGTGCACACTCCGAGATGTGAAGGAGATACAGGTGCAGTGGGCTTAGTGGACTGAACAGGCTCGGCGGCGCCAGCGTTATCTGCCATGTACTTAGCACATTGCACTGTAGCCTGCACATCCTTTAAAATGGCACCATTACAGACAATGGCCCGGATGACATACCGTATTTGCACGGAGGATGACTCGCCTGTAAAATTCATTATGAAACTGTCCATGCGATGTCATGCTCATCCCGGCCATCATATACTCTCGGAATTGCTCCGAAACAGGTTTTGTGGGATGCTTGAGAGAGATCGGCTCATGCTTCTCCGGAGGTGAGACTTTGCCCAACAGCACCTCTGCAGTTTCGTCGAACAATGCCTTCAAGAAACCGCATGCACGTTCGTGGGCAGTGGTTGCAGCATCGGCTTGGCTTAGATATGTCCGTATCACATTGTCGGGGGGAGGGTATCCTGTAGCACAGGGACAGTCATTGACAGCACGAAAAGCAGTAGAGAGATGGCAGAAATACCTGTACCATTCTGTTCTCTAAGGTTCATTGGTATGACAAAGTGCTGCCTGCTCATCTGATCAACGGCACGAGATTTGCCCATCCCAGATGACTGTATGATGGCAGCATAGTGAGCATACACATTTGGGGTATGAGAATTTTGATAATGCGCGACAATGTGGTCCCACAAGGCCTCGGCTGCACCACCAATATAATTACATTTCCAGGATCGTTCAGTGGCTAGCCACAGCAGTTAGGACAGGAGATAACGCCTTAATGTAGGGGCTTACCGCGACACTGCACCTTGTAAGAAATGTCGTTGGTGAAGGCTGTTCACCGAGTAAACTGGTCATTTTCTTCACATAATAAAATTGAGAGTCATCTCCATGCAATAATTGCAATGACAAAGGGACATCTGGGCTTTGCGGGCTTTGCGGTGGTAAAAGGATTTCTGCAAGAACTTAGAAATCGTGATCGGACTAGCACTACCACAAAGGCTCACCTAACGATGCATCAGCGTGCATCTGGATGTCATGGTTTTGTTCTACTCACCTAGTTCGCAGATCATATCCAGATCACCCAATCGAAATGCCGCCACCACAAGCTTGTCTAGTCCTCAATTTTTCTCAAGAAGTGCCTTCAACTCCAAAGGGTCCGCATATCTCTTATGGTCATGGTATATGATGAGCCCTAGTATATCCTGAGCGCCATGAACATCTCGATTTCCGCGCAAGCAGCGGTAAATCTGCTGGTTCACGTCGTCTTCCAGGTCAGATCTGCTCCTTTGAGTTAGCCCCGTGCTCTTGAGTAGGGAATCCATATCTATATCGACAACAGGCGGATGCAGCATATCTGAGGGCTGTCAGCTTGCAGTAAGATCAATTAGCTACCGCAAGCGCACCTAAGTCGCGGACGTCGCGAAAAGTACCCTCCCTTAGAGCATTCGTCAACAGCCGCCCCAGTTCTGGATTTGCCTCGATAAGCCGCTCAGCTTTAGAGCGTGTCCCACACTTTTTAAAGTCGAGGTATGGATCGCGCATTACAATCAAGTGGAGAAGATCGGCAAGATCCACTGTTTCTGGTGGATCGTCCAAACAATCAAATACTTGTCGGTCCATGTCTTCATGCTCCTGTTTGGTGCGTTCAGTGGATCGCCTAGTCCTCGGCCTGGCGCACTTTTCATTCAGTTCAGAACCATTGGCGGGTCGCGGCTTGTTTGGCCTGCTACATTCGAGTCCTTGATCTTGAACTAGGCCGTCCAGTGTCCCAGTGTCAATACGCGGTGACATTGTGTGTTTCCACGGACTTGGTGGCAGTTGCATTTTAGTTTGGTTTCCAGTGGCCATCGATGGCATCCATCACTGGAACCGGGAAAGAATCACAGAGCGTCACATCAGTCACAACCCATCCGGAAGACTTGGGTACTGCATAATGCACCAGCAACATTTCTACCATTTGTAACGCTTACATGACCTAGCCAAAAATTGTAAGGCAATACACAGGTGATTGAAATTGCAGCCCATATTGTTTCTGGCTCACAATGGAGGTAAAATATTTTGCCGGAATGGGATCCACGTCACCTCGATACTCTGCGTGACACACTGTGACATTTTGTGATAGCTGTGACACGGGTCTCCAAATTTATCTCATCTCAAGAGACTCTCGACCAACTTCCAGGCATGTTCGGAGCTTCAGCCTCACTCGCGGGCTGCTTTCGATAAATACGTCTCCATCTGACGACCGCACTGGGCTGAGTCGAGGTGTGTTCCTCGGAGCCTACCCGTTGAAATTTGTTTTGTCAGCATAGTCCTGCTGTCGGCATAAAAGACGCGAACTCTGCGCTGATTTCCTTCGCCGCTTCAGCGATGGCCTTCATCTGTTGACGATTTTACTCTACAGTGCGCTCGTAAGTATGAGGCAAGTAACCCTGTATCTCTACCCGGAAGTGTGTTCTTACCGACACTGCGTCGAAAAGAGGTACGTGTTCTCACTCCAGTTAGTAGTACTCTACAGTGTGCTCGTAAGTATGAGGCAAGTAGCCTTGTATCTCTACCAGGAAGTGGGTTCTCACTGACACTGCGTCGTCGAAAAGAGGTAGGTGTTCTCGGTCCGGTTAGTTATGCGGTGCGTTTCGTATTTTGTATTCTCTCGTGAACTGTGAAGTGTCACCTTGCTGACACTGCGTCATTGAAAACAGGCAGGTGTGCGTGCTCCAGTTATTGGTATGTGGTGTGTTTCGTTTGAGTTGTGTCGCTTGATTCGAATCAGGGTGCGTCATTAATTAACCTGCTGTTCAGCTTAATTCCTCAAGTTGCAGCTGCAGCCATTTGAAGGCTTGCGTGCAGCGGGCGGCACTCAGGTGAGCCATGACAGGGCATGCATGTGGGGCTGCAGAGAATTCTGGATGCATCGAGAATTGTCGGTAGTGTTGTGAAATGTTCTAGCACTGCTTAGTCTAGTTTTACTATGTAAATGGTTTGAATGCATATGTTGGAAAGATTTCTGTGCAAGATGTGTGCATCTTCCCGGAACATGAGGAATCCAATTACCATCTATAGGTCAGTCGAAACCGTGACATATATTTTTCTGCATCTAGATCTGACTGTGTTTATAATGCCCTGCGACTAATGCTATTGTTATATTGGATTATGTCGTTGGGCAATTGCTCAGCCATATAACCCATCGTAGCGCTGGCTGTAACAGTTACAGGCGTTATGTAGAATACACTCGTTATAACTGTGTTATGGAATCTTCCCGGATTCAGTGATGTCAGTGAAACCGAAGATTTTTCATGTATGATTTTATCAGTTGCTAACTTGTGCAAAAATTATCTAAAAATATATTGCTTCATAATAGCCCGCAAAAACGGTACTCCTCGACACATTTTACAAGCGAACGGACAACTCGAAGGACCGCTGGCGGCGGCAGATCTTGCTCAGAGATGCTCGATGGTAATGACCAGGTGATAACGTGGTTAAATGGACTTTGTTAACGTGCGTAGGTCAGCAATACAGTTGCAATACGGACAGATATAATAGTGGGTGCATTAAAAAAAACCCACACCACAGGGGAAAAAGCTACCACATTTTGTTGGTCTCTATATGTTGGCGCGGTAGAGTAGGGATGATGATGAAAGTCTGTGTATTTATACTGCAAGCAGGTGCTCTTTCGGCACGCACGCATTACGAACATGGCATGGACTTTGGAGCAGCTCACGATCTGCTCGTCGGGCGCGTTATGGATCAGATGTAGCAGCTCTTCAAGATCTGGTCAGATGAAGATCATAAGCGGTAAGTAACCGAAGGAGATATACGAACAGACCTTTAACGCCAAACACGGCGCTCTTGCTGATAGGCTGTGCGGCCAGGCGCAGGCGCGCGGAATCACCCAAAGGATCATCCGCTACGTCGATCTCAAAGCCATTTTGACCGAGTGTATCCACCCGCTCTGTCGCTAACATCTCGTCAGCTCCAGTGAGCTCCAGTGGGAGGGGTCTGCAGATTATGGGGCATTAGTGGGTCAAAAAGAAAGGAGCAAACCAAATACGCACCGAAGGAGCTTCTGTGAGTCAATCTTCGTGGTTTGCTGCAACGTCTCAAAGTTGTAGCCGCACGCTGGTCCACATCGGGGCAGTAGTCCATATAAGAGAGAACATGACGTCATTCACTCGGGCTGAATACGACCGCCAGCATCGCAGGACGAAAGTGTCTTGCTCAGATGCACATTTCACCATCCATTGCATCTCAACCTCACGCGCATCCATTGCGCATTCGGTCCAACGCTCTTCCCACACGAAAAATTTGATGAATTTGACCTGCACTGAGACTTCCTTCCGATTTGAGAGCGCGAATAACCGGGTCTTGGACGTGCGTTGCAATGGGATTGGCGATGTTGGGGACGGGGACGACGGCATGGCGGGTGGCGGCATAGTAGTGAGCGATGGCGTTTGTGGAGTGGGCGGTGCGCCCTAAAAAAGGGCGAGACGGTAGCTGTGGGTGATGTGATCCTGACTCACTGTCGATGCGCTCGGGAGCTTGGATGCGGTCTTCGAGCCAACGCTGGCATTGGCGGCCGGACGAGCACGTTCCTTCTCCCTGTCCTTCTCCTTCTCTTCGTCCTGATCGTCCTCCTCTTCTCGTGACTTGATGGCCTCCAGCCGTGCTCCGATGTATAGTCCGTTATCCTGCCGATAGTCATACCCTGCCCGGCGGTATCGCTGGACTCGCCCGTGGAAACGCCTTGCTGGATCATGAGGAGCATGTCTTGGAACGCCGCGGCATAGCCTGCATTGTACGCCCGCTTCGACGTGGGTCGGGAAGTGCGGTATAACGTCGTAAGGCTCAGGGCGGCCGCTGATCGAGGTCAGGACAAGCAACTAGGCACGAACAATCGACTCTCACCTTTGAAGTTGTTGGTGAGCTCCTTCTCTGCATTGGCGAGATTGGATGGTGGCAGCGAGCTGGCGAGCATGTTGAGATAATTTTGAGCTCTATTACAAAAGGAACGACTGTCTTCCTGCAGGTAACTAGAGGTTGTATCTATGAGCCTAGCTCAAAATGGCCCTTTCGCCTTGCTCTCACCTGCGGGCTGGTGTGTCTTAGCGAAATCTGCCAGTACTAGTGACGTTTCCGCTGTATACGTTTGGACCAACACCACCGGGTTTAAACGCGCTCCCGTTCCCAAGCTGCAGTCCAGCGTGTTCTACTTGCTCACGGTACCTGTTAAGGCCTCACCTCCCATGCATGTCGTCCTACTGCCGCAATTCGCCTCTAATTATGCCCCGCTTTCCCCCGTCGCACCGCCAGCGCACGCCCGCAGCGAATTTTAGTGGGTTCCCGCTAAAACTCCTTGCGAGCGCGCCCTAGCATCGGCGAGCCCTTCATCCCTCCGAGTCGAGCCTGCATGCTAGTTCGACGTCTGTCGTGTCCCTCCCCTTTGCAGGTGACCGAGGATTATGGATACTAGTGGGGCGAGTGGGGCGAGCGGTCGATCTGGGTGTGTGCTTCAACTTGTGATGTATCTCGTTGTCAGTAGCTCATGTACCGAGACCACCGGCGCCGACGGGCAGCCTGTGGACTGGCGAGGACCACTAAGCTAACGTTGCCTAGCTCGGGATGATGGATATGCGCGGGGAATTGAACGATTCGACTCAGCTGGGTTACAGTGCTGCCAGGAGACAGTTAGCATCACCAAATCGTGACTGTCGAGGGCATCTTCGACTCATCAGATCGCGGCATGGTTCTGGAGAGGCGGGCACAGATCTGATTTCGAGGACGAGCCTAGTCGCATAGAGATGCAGTTGACTTTTGTAGTCAGGCTCTGCAGGGTGGAAAGGCGAGCTCCTCCAATCTGCGAGTGTAGATTTTTTCGTCGGCATGGTTCGTACGTGTGGCTCGGCTAGTCCCTGCGAGAAGTACACTGTGAGTGTTGGACCGAGGGCGGCCTTCTGCAGGCGTTGACGGAGACGCCAATAGAGACATACTGCCAGCATCGGAAAGAGCCCAGTCGTTCTCGCATTGGGCTACTACGCTGCAAGGTGAATCGCCACTTGAACATAATAAAAAATTCCCAGCGTGCATTTATGTCACCAACAATAGCAAGACTTTGCAGAGACGTCGTCGCAGAGGAATTAGTTCACGGAAAAAGATGAAATGACTGTGCTTATCTCAACCGTGCGGTCACCCAGCCGTTCTCGAGACAATATCGAACTCGTGGCGGGGCACGCTCAGAATAAAAATACCGTACAGTCCCCAACTGTGGTTGCGGTGCTTTCAATTCCGAAGCCGGTGCAAGAAACACCAAGTACAGGCCACGTGACAAACGCGTCGCGTTTGCCGCTGGCTGCGACGGGCCACGTCCACCGCCGGCGGCGTCCTCGTCCTTGCAAACTGCATTAATTCGTCGTGCTACAATGTCCACTCCGAAAGGAAATGATATGTTAATTTGCAGCGACAATCCCAGTCCACACAACAGGGTTGTTTGCGTCGACCGTCAACGTCTGTCGCCTAATGTCCACATCCCGCGCCAGGACCGTGCCCGCCATACGGCCATGGCGAAGTGGATGTTGCCAACCGCGCGTGGCTGAAATTATCCAGCAGGCCCCGGAGTTCACCGCCTGCGCTTCTGGCGTGCAGAGAGTTGGGGGAGCAGGTATCAGCCTTGATGGCTGACCTTAATGGCCATGCCCTGGTCTCGCAGTGGAAGGATGCCTATTGGCAGGTCCACATCATTCCTCCCCACGGTGTGTATCCAAAGGAATGCCCATTCCCTCTTACCTATTCCATCCTTCGCCGTTCCATGGACATCTCGACCTATCCAGTCTGAGGCCAAAGTCGAGCTGGGAGAGAAGGAATACTCACTGGCAGGTCATCCGGACGGTCTATTTTTTGGCTTTGAGTGGATCGGAATCCCAGATACAACTGATTCATGTATGGAGGGGCCTCACGATTACGGCCTAGACGGAGGGGACCGCGACACGTCGTGTGGCCTACATCATATGGTATGTTCCCTACATCTATCTCCCCTCATGAATGCACCCTGACTATGGCATTTGAAGTCCTTTGGTTGCGAGCAATGGCAATTTCCCTGCCACCCATAGGCAGTTGGTCAAAGCTTCTTGGGGATTTCTTTGCGGTACGTTCTCTGTCATACTGCACTGTTGCTGTTATTGATTTTGTGGCCAAAGGTGAAGGGATGGCCTGATGGGCTACAGCTGCTTTGGACCACATTAAACAGCCCATCTGCACGCCATCTCCACCCACTCTCCACCCACCGGCGTAATTGTAGTGCGCTCCCTTCTCGTCTTTGCTCCACGCTGGTGGAAAGAAAGGTGAGTAGAGGGCGCACTACTTGAGAGCCTGTGCAGGAAGAGAAAGGAGGTTAGTCGGCGTGCTCGGGCGGTGGTGTCGTGAGTCGATATTTGGGTTGGGTGCACTGCACCCGCTGGGGTTTTGCAGCATCAAATGGAATGCGTGTACATCGGGTGAGTGGCATGACTTACACGACTTGTCTGCATTTTTTTCGGACTCGCTGAGAGCCCTTACATCTCTCTCTCGTATCAATGCCCCGCTGAGAGTCCTGACGACGCACAACTGAGCTCACGTGTTCTCCACGTTCACTCCCACAGGCTCTTCCTCAGCAGTCGTCCCTGAGATAGAGGTGTTCCCGGGCTCCCGTTCGTTCGCCATTGTTCGAGGGCCGTGCATGGCCCCTCCTCCGTGGGAGGTGTTGCGGTATGTGGTGTGTTCTTTTGGGATGAGGTTTTAGAACTGCGGGAGAAGTTCGTGCAGCTGAGTACGGATTTGAGGAGCTGTGCATTGGTGGGAATCGGGCGATCGTGTTTGAGCTCGAGTTCTCCGTGGGTGTGCGGAGGGGTCGACGATAGGCCATAGTACTCAGCATGTCGCAGTACCTCTGAGATTCCTCGGTATTTCCTGTAGTAGCGGCGGGGGAATGCCGTGTGCTGTTGCCGTCGAAATATTTAGGAGATTGCGGCAGTTCTCTGATTCGGACGACAAATTTATGAAACGGAGAGATATATATCAGCAGGAGAAGTTGTGGACAAAGATTCCACGTGGTTTTCTGCTGTCAGTGACTAACGAAGCACACTCAATGATTTTTGCGATTGATACAACTCCAAGGTCGATAGCCAGACATAACATGGAGCAAGAAAATCGAACCCGAAGTTTGCAGACTAAGCCGAAAAGACGTGAGACTGGATATTGTACATACTAGAACGACCGAATCTTCAGCATTCACTCGATAGGAAGGTAGAATGCCCACCATCATCAATTCTCATTGGCCAGCTCTAACAACTCAGAAAGCAGTGCGTATTCATCGATAACGTCGAAGCGCTGCAGCCTCGCAAAGTTTCTCTGCTGCTCGTCCATCTTGGCACCTCTGGCCGCCAATACTTCGGATATGCAACACATGAGCTCCCGCAACACGTCCTTGGACACGAGGTACACTCTCTGTTGCGGTAAGTCCGCTCGGTGCAGACCGCCTTGGACGCAGATCCGCGTTTCGCTGATGCAGGCTTCGCGGGCGCGCAGATAACGACCCATCGCGTCCTCGTGGTCGGACTCCTCCATATCCGCCTGAATATTGCGGATGTGCTGGTCTGCCTTGGAGCGGACAATGAAGGTGGGAATGCCAGATTGAGCTGAGTCCCGGAGGATGGCGATGTCGGTCTCGGTGAGGCGCATGTCGATCAGCACGATGATGCAATCGAACACGTCGAGCCCTTGGGCTCTGAAGTACTGCCCGCCCGGGACATTCGGCGTCCCCGCGCCAGGAATGTCGTACCAGACCTGCGGATAGTGGGGATGCGGGTATCGCATAGCAGAGGAGGTGCCCTCACAGTTCGCCGACGTCCTGGCTGCGCCTCTCTGCCCGTTCCGCAGCCCTCGAAAGGCATTGATCAACGAAGACTTGCCGCTCCCGCTATTCCCGGTGACGGCGAAGTTGAACATGCTATCATCGTACTGCAGGCGCTCCCTGATCACTTGATCTCTCGTGGAAATGGTGAGGTGCTGCTCTGCTTGTACGGGTAAGGATCGCGTTGTGTGCTCTGCGGGGCGCGATGTATTCGTTTCGCCGATCAGTACCCCGGTCATCTGTCTCGAGCGCCTCTCACCTCGCCGTGAACCCGGAGGCCCCGAGATCATCATACGATATAGTTGCACTGCTCCTGCAATAACCACGACTCCCGCCATGCATCCGATGACAAGTGGTGTACAATCGAGCACCTGCAGAGAACACGCAAGGGAATGCTATCGTGAGGATACCTTTGTGACAGAGGAAGTACGTACGGCCGCGAGACAGGTTCCGGTAGTCCTGAGCGACACCTTCAACGTCAATGGATTGACCATTCTGTACCCAGATGAGCACCAGCGTCGCTGAGATCTAAGGGGCACTTACGTGGAGTAGACTCAGGGAGTTGCGCTCGACGCGATTGCGGACTGATGAAGGTTGATGGCACAGTGCAGACACATGCCTGCCGCGAGAAGAGCAAGATACAATCAAAGGTTCATTTATGAAACCTTGAGTTGTGCGAAAGACGCGCCGAGAGACAATTGGACGCTGAACAGTAAATAGATAACTAAGATCATCTTATCCACCAATCGTTCGTGGATCTTGTATTAAAGCCGGTCGCCTTTTATACGGATGCCAACGTCTGCTCACCAGCGCAGGATCTTCTGTCGCAGCATCCTGCGTAGAATATGCCAGTTTTATCACAATTGTGTGCCATCTAGGCCTACCTGGCAATGCTGTGATTTGAGACTTACACGCCGTTCGGTCGCCCAAGTGATATCACCTCCAGGTGACGCCATGACCATGACAGAATTCTTTCCGTTCCATCGCGGCTCTACTCCTGAAACTTTAGTAGAAGGATCAAGACAATCTAGCAACGAACGATGAGGTTTAACATTTCAGCATTCGTCTAATTTCTGCAACAAGACTCACAGAAGCTCTCCGGTAGCTAGGCTTCAAATTTATGGGCTGGTTCGTCGTCACTTGGAACGGAGGAGGAATCAGGCGCCCAGGCATAACGCCGGCGGCGGGCGCCTCCAGCTCGTCCGCGAATAACGAAAGCACATGAAATCGGAGTACTTCGGTCCTCCTGGCTTGAATGACGTGAAGATAAGCTCGTTCTTCTAACTGCTGTATTTGGGCTTCGTGAATCTTTTTCATTTACATTTCTCTCGGTACAAGCTGTCGCTGCGTGCCAGTGCGTACGAACAACGTGCTCGGCATGCAGATTCGGGCTGTCTGGCCGGAGTGTCCCGTCGTCTGACGCTAGAATGTGAGGCCGACGAAGAAGATATCTAAGCTTGGAATCCGAGCCAGAGACTGTGCTAGACCCTGGCGGATTGTGCATTGCGTAGTCACTGTAACATTTTCTATGTTCGAGCCTTAGTCTGATCGATTTACCTGCAGTTGAATGTGAGCCCTGAATTGCTCTGCTGCGAGGCGAAGATACCTGTATGGACCTTTGTTTTCTCTGTGATCTGCATCCGGGCATGTAAACCGACGCTCCCTTTGCAAGGAAGTGACGAGCGTAGGAAGACGGCACCCACTTAGACTGCGCAAACCGCAGCCCTGCCTCCCCATTCACGTGAGGTCTCTCATCGGCCACTCTTTATAGGTGTCGCCTTTTCTTGTGTGCAGTACAGGTTCGCGTCGCCGAGAAGCAAACTTACCGATGGTTCAGATCCAACGCAGGCGTGGAACAGTACGGCGCTTTGCCATGGCACTCCAGGTCAAATAGCGAGCGTCCGGCATCCTGCGCTGTAACCCCTTCTTCTTGAGCCAATAGTAGAGGATGTAAGTGCCACCTCGATTTTTATTGCCTTGTTTTCTGTGCAGGTATGACCAGTACCATCCCCAGCATCAACATTGATAAACACGGTTCCTGGGTGATGACTTTCATGGGTCACTGGGAAGGTGTCTTTTTACGGGGTCTGCAGATATTCCTCTCGCGAGGCGTTCTGCAGAACCGTTCAAAACGTTGATTAGCCGGCGCTTCCAGGTATGTGTATATCCAATCGTATAATTGATGGTACGCGCGACGGCAGAAAATTCCCCCAAATCTAGCAGATACGCTTATTCGAGGGATATCCGCAACCTTCCGAACGGAATACTGGCTATGGTGTTGGACAACATCAACGAGGTACTGGGCGCGATCAACCTCTTGAGCTCGTGAACGGTTAGTCCTCGACCATCGGCTAGAAGCGTATCCATACTCTCATTGTCGGCAGATCTGCTTCTTGGACAGGTGATCGTATCATCTGCGTCGGTTGCCGCTCGCAGGAGGACCACCTACCGCGTAATATGCTCACTGACATGGAAGCGTGATTTAGGCATGGCAAGGGTACAAGAGAATTCTTCTGGTGACCACGCGATCGACAACAACGAGCAAAGACGACCATTTCAACTCACCAGTGCCCTGCAATGCGCTGTGGATGTCCGAGCCGGCGCGAAGCCCCGTAACGTCCAGGCGCTCTGCGATGTGTCGAACCACGAATATGTCCATGCAGGCACGACTGCTTGGTTCCAGGACCCTGCTACGAGTGGCTCCGTCGTCGATGGCTTCATCGAGCTTGGGCACGTCCTTACCACGCGTATCGGATCCAATGCTTGGAGCTCGGCGCAAGGGAAACCTGCGCCAGAGCATGATTTAATCGTCGCTACAACGCTTGGCTGAATGCTGCTGGACGGTGAACGAATATTTTGAAGGAGGCCTTTGAGTTCATCGTGGTCGTGCCGATTTTTCTTATTCGGGATTGGCGTAATCTCGATCTCGTTGGTGAGTTTACATACGATGTACAGTCGAGCAGAAGGTTCCTACAGGCTGGATACTAGACTTGGGATGGCAAAATTATGCCATGCCGAATGATAACGCTTAGGCTCGTGAATCTTTTGCAGTATGCAATACCTAACGTTGCTCCAGTGTCTAAATATCCTCTCTCGTATGATGCTGCAGCATTGCGACAATACACCATGGAACCTACCTCGAAGGTTGATCTATGTCTTCTGTCAAATCGGCTGGTGGTATTTTCTTGGCCATAGTTGTTTTACTTACCATTGCCTAAGCCGCTTGTGCACGTTCAACACAAGTTCCCCACTACATAGCATCGTCGATGCAGTGGAATTTTTGAGCATGCTTTAGTACACTGCCTTGTTTCATGATTTGAGCTCTCCGAGTAGACGTGCGCTCTGAGTCCACCCCTTGATACGGCATAACTGGCGTAATCCACCCTTTCAATTGCATAACTCATGCTCGTTTCTCCTTCATTGCATCGTTATTCGTGCTCTTAACTGCGATCGGGGCATACTTGCCGCGTATTAATATTTCGACAACAAAATTCAATTGTCGGTGGGTGGCCTCACGGAGCCGAGCAATGATGTTCGTGATGGGCGCAGCGGCGTGAAGTAATGCTGGATCTCTTTTCCGGGATTCAGGCCATCATTCAAATCCAACAATAAGCTCATGAAGCCCGGGCACCAACGAACATGATAAATTGAGTAGGTTCAGTACAAACGGCCTACAGGACCGGCCGGAAACACATGCATTACACTTTCCTCCATCTCATCCTGTTTCCATGATACTCCGCATCCCAGATGTCCACCACGACGTCGAGCATCTCCTTACTGACATCCTTCCATTCAGTTTCGCCGCCGCGCATGCGGCCGATAGTAGTGATCTCAAAAGAATCACCAGCCCACCTGCCGCGATGAAGCGGGCCCTTGTACGGAGTTCCGGATGAGGGATCCCAGGACCAACAAATCTGAGAGACGAGCACCTCGCCGAGACCTACCGAAGCGTTAATGAAGGGCCCCTTGGCAATAGTACCCGTCAGTGCGGCCGTGGCATCGGCACGGACATATTCGCGTTTGTAAGGTTGCAAAGAACCCAAGCGGAGGCATCAACTTGCTCGCTGACCTTGTCATCGTCGGCACTAGCTTCCTCGCCATTATTCTGCTCGGTTATTGAACTCTCATGAGTATCCGTACTCTCTTCAAGGATAGCATCGGTGTCGTCCGTGTCTTCATCATCCGTGTCTTCATCATCCGTGTCTTCATCATCCGTATCCTCCCACAGCGGGGTCGACAATTCTTTCAGTAGCTTCCGTTCGTGGGAGGGCATTTCCCACTGGCGTTCGAAATCTTCGCTATACGACTGTAGCCGCAAGGTGCGGAAATGCTCCATGGCGAAGTTATAAAGTTTGGTAGCGCATATTTCCAGATGTCTGTGATCGTACTCGGTGGGGTCCTGGAGGTCCTCTTGTGTCGGCTTGACAAGCATTATATGCTCCTCCTCTTCAGTAAGCATATCCACTGGAAGATCGTCGTTGTGCATATATTCGCCCAGACACACGATGCGGTAGCCTGCCCACGGTGCGGTCGTCTCGACTATGAGCCTCTGTATGCGCTTGTGGCCCACGGAACGGAGGGCCGTGTTGGTAAGACCGAGACAGATAGCATCGTGAAGGTCATCAACCTCGTCGAAAATGCAAAGTAGAATTTCTCCCGGGAGTTCGAGACGGCCGAGGGCATTCGTAGGCGTGAACAACTGTCACCAGGTAGTAAGCATCTTGTCAGTTACGATTTCGTACACATACCGTTCTCGTAGGTGTTCCGGAGAAAGGGATAGCCAACAGCTCTACGAGATCACTCGGTAATGAATCGTAGAAGAGCCACTCGCCCAGCTTTCCACCGTCGCAGATCACCTGCCACGTGTCGAGATTGAGACTAGTGGGGATGTGAGTACTGCTGGTTTGTAAGAAATGCAGCCCATAGTATCACGCACATTCGCCAACACTGTCCCATCTTCTCTGTATAGCAGAACCTTTCTGTCTGTGGAAGTTGAAGGGAGTTGGCGAAAGCTACCGCTTAGTACGGCGCCGTTCAATTGGCTGCATCACGTGCGTAGTTCGCGTTGGTGGCTGAGCATACTCGAGCTCATCCGACGCAGAAGGTTCACGCAGGATGATCGATGGGTACTTGAGTGTTCACAGAGCATGCATCGGCGAGATTGAATTTCTTACATCTAGAGAAGCTCAACGTTACAAGCATTGAAAATTTTTGAACAGAGTTGTGTACGAACATCGGTGACCTCACTGACCTATCAACATCGTCCGAAAATTAAGAGATGAGCCGGTCCGAAATAGACCTATGCCACCCAGATTAAGATTCATTAAGGTGTGAATTGGTGCTGCATCAGGGGTGGGGATAACTGGAGAAACGCGAGATGAACCGGTAATGGTGGCGGTTTGGCCGCACAAGACTATCCACAATAGCCCACAGCCAGCAAAAGCAGAATAGAGGAGAGTTATGGTTATGAGATCCGCAGCATAGAAGGTACAAGCTAATCCGAGAAGGACAGTCAATCGACGACGAAAACTCACATACGAAATCGACATAAGCAGTAGTGCAACACCGAGCTGCGAAGTCTCACAGACTACATACCGAGCACCGACCTTTATCACTCTACCGTAGATGAGCCTCGCGTAGTACTAACAGAGGTTGTGCAAGGCACCCCCGCGTGTCCCGGACACGGAATGACCTTCCCCGGCCCATACCTCAAGCTCAGAATATCGTCAAAGTTCCCTGACGGAACCGCGATCGTTACCAGCCGAACACACCAACGCAGCTCTTCCATCATTCCAATCTCCATGCGTACGCGTGTTCCTAGCCGCAGACACACGAGGGGGGGACCCATCATCGAGCGAAAGCGAATAACACGAAGCAGAATGTACTGGTGTACTGGTCCACATTATCCAGCATCGTCAGCGTGATTGTGCGCAGATCATCCCAGCATGGCAATTGCGTCAAGGAGTTAGGGTTCTGTCCAAGCTGCGCCTGCATTAATGTAGCAAGCAGCACGAGAAATGGAGTCGAATGGGTGTCTAGGAGCTTGAGATGACGCAGCGAAGGGAATGCACGAAAGAAGTGGACCGTAAAATTAAACTCCGGCGGTAGAGCAATCACGAGCATTTCTACCAGAGGGAATAATGGGGGGTTTACTGGGGATTGGACAGTCTCGACAAAGTCCATAAATTCATCTAATGAGATGTCTGACAGCTCCAAGGAGGTCAGCATAGGCATCGAGAACGTGGTCAACACCGTTATGAGCTTAGCTGTGCAGTCTAACCCCAGGTGTTGCAAGACAGGAAATGTGATCGGGGCATCTTCGATGACGGAGTCACTCAACGACGCCCGACATAGACGGCCGTGTGAGGTGAGAAGATGTCTGCGGCCGCAACTGGATGTTGATGAAACCGAGCTCTCTATCATGCTTGCTCGAGAGAAAGACATCTGTGAGGTTCGCGAAATGGGGTCAAACCGAGTAGTTCCATGTTTGTAATCCTAAGGTGGGATAGCAGGGTGCACCGTGCGAGAAGATAGGAGTGAAGACCAGGCTGTCCAATTCTGAGTCCTCCCTATTAAAGTATAGTTGCGGACACTCAAGGGCTGGGGGCATGAAGATCGCTGATACGTGCAAGTATCTTCTCCATGGATTCTGTATGAGACGCAAAGAGAGAATTGCCGCCATCGGAATACGTGTGGACAGAGCATATCCATGTAAGCCACGAACAATCTCCAGCTTCCCTTGAAAAACTCTTCCCAGGTATATTCCATTTCACAATCCAAACTCAAGATGAGTTCGAGAGGTTGTCGACGCGAGCGCGCAAGGAAAATCTCTACATATTCTACCGGCTGGCTCCCGGTGAGCATGAGGTAGGTCCAAATAGTAGGCATGTCTTGAGCAACTGCACGCCAACGCTGTGAAACATGAGAGACTGTCACAGTGAATGTGGTATGATTCTTATATCGCGGCTGTTGGTAGCCAAACTTGAAAATCAAGGATAGAATCTCGTCCGGAACATAATGAATCGGCGCGACGTTGGCCATGGCAATCTGCGCTTTGCGCAGGGCAGCATCGATGCTGGTCAGCTGGCGTACAAGGTTCATGCGGGTATGTTGTAATCCCTGGATTTTGGCACTGGTGTCCGTGATTGTCTTGCGTCGTTCTTGACTTAGCATGTCGCTGTAAATACGTGAGCACCTGTACTCTTATCGTCTGATGATTACGCTACCTTATGTCAAGAAAAATGCCCGAATGTATCGGAAATTAATATAATTGCATCCACAGAAAAAACTAGATTGGCATCAAGGATATTCAGAATGTGGAAAAGGTATGACAGACTGCTACTTACCACCAAGACAGAAGAAAAAGGAGCAGAAAATTTTCAACCGAATCCCTCAAATCGCAAGCGTACCTTACAAACGGATGAGACAGGAGTATAATTGTAGTGAAACAACGTAAGACTCACTAGGGGAGATGGCTGGATATCGTTAGCGAAGTTTATAGAGCGATATCGTATTAAGTTGACCAGCGAATACCACTCAAAGGCCGGGAAGAAAAGTCGAAAATCGAAGTTGAAGAGACTCCAAGAGCAACCACGCGACTCTGTCACATCACGTGACATCGTGACTGTGACTGTGCTCCCCTATGTCGATAACGCGCAGGTGTAGTCTATTGTCTGCGACTCTCGCCCCCGCAACAACGTTCTTGGTGCACACTTTGAAGGAGGACTGGCCGCCGATCTCATCAAAAGATGACCGTCAAAAGATGCACGGAGTGAATCCAAGGAATGCGACGGGTCTTAGTAAATATACAAAATTTGTTTCTCACTATCGGTATGAGCACTTCGGCACTCAAAATTTTACTTGAAGTAGAATCTTCGGAGGACTTTTATCGAAACAGATTTTACAGTGCTAAACCTACGTCACAGCGTGCTATAACAGATGAAGAGACCGGAGGGTGAATCGGCGATGAAGACATCACTATAGTCTCCCAAAGGCAGACTGACACTTTGCTTCGACCTTCGTTCCTCAGGATATCCGTGTCTGGCGTCTGCTATCTATAAGGTGGTCCTTATCGGTAGGTTGGGTATTTTCATCTCCGCACATCACGTGCACGCGACGCGTCAAAACGCATTCTCATCTCCCCATGCAAGTCTCGCGTTTCTGACGCATCCTCATAGTTCTCTGGTGCACAGGGTGTTCTCCTGTTATGTACTGTCTGTAGAGTGAATATATTTTTTTAGAAAATCTATGCCTCAGGGCCCTTAGAACAGCTAAATCCACTAGTACTGTATTTTAGGTGGGGATACCAGTATGTTGCACTGTTTACAACTTTGGTAGTGGTAGCCAGAGTGACTCCCAATTAGCCTTATAGATTCTTCAACTGTCTTATGCTGGAAGGAGTAACAAAATTATTGGGATGTGACAGTGTCCAAGTTCAAGCCAGAACTTTCACAACCCATCTTCAGTAGTTGCTTCTCTTGTTACCTATTGGATCTGTTTCTTTTGCTTGTCGCCTACAGCTTAAAAGGCATACCATTTGACTGAGATATCTCGAATGTAACAACGACCGCTTCCCTGGAGTATGAAGTAGTCTCTGCGCACCGCGAGCTTGAGGAGCGCTTGTTCTCTCATTTCTAGCTCCGACTCATTTTCTTGCAGGCGAGTTGATCGGTCACATAATTCCTTCCTTGCAAGTCCAAGCTCCGAACGAAATTGGGGACCTACCGATAAGCCCCCCGCGTTAAAAACTAGACTACATCACTATTTTGATGAATACGACGCATGGCGTGAAGTCTGCGACGGCTTGGCCCTGACACGACGAGAGTGCGCCTCCTGCAGTATATCGCTGAGCAGATCGACCTCATCGATGACATCTTTCGGCGTCCGCCCTTTGACTACTTCACACAGAACCTCCTTCGCCGTGATGAGGTATGCCCGCTGCCCGGGAAGTCCTGCTTCGAAAAGATTATGTGCAACGCTGTCGCGAGTCTCCGTGATGTATATCTGGCGCGCGGTTGCACGGCGACTAGCATCGTCTTCCTCTTCCCCGAATTCAAGGTCAGTCAGGAGGTTGGCGATGTGCTGATTCGACTTGGAGCGCACGATGTAAGTGGGGATCTGGAAGAGTGCGGCGGTTCGCAGTAGAGCGACGTCTGTCTCGGTGAAACGGTTGTCGAAGAGCACGATGATGGCATCGAAGACGTATAGGCCGTGGTCGTTGAAATACTGCCAATCGGGAATAGCCAGGGTTCCCGCGCCTGGGACGTCGTACCAGACAAACGGCCTTTTGGAGTTCGGATCCGGGTACCGCGCGATGATCTTCGTGGTCTCGGTGACCCCAACCCGCGCTGCATCCTTGTGTCTGTTGCTGATGCCACGCAGAGCGTTGATGAGTGACGACTTGCCACTACCCGCAATACCAGCGACCGCGAAGTGCAACTTCCCCTCTCGATACTGCAGCCGCTCCTTGTGAATGCGGATCTCCTCTTCCGTCGGCAAGACAACAGGACGTATGCCCGCCCTCAGATTTTTCTCGGCCTCCTGCTGTGCGCGTCGAGCCTCTTCCGCAGCCTTTTCAGCTGCCGCCGAGGCACGTTCCGCATCCTCTTTAGCAGCGGTCGCTTTCTCCTTGGCGTCCTCTGCTCTTTTCCTCTCTGCCTCAGCGTTCCTGCTCTCTGCTTCAGCTCGCTGCCTGTTATTCTCTGCCTGTTGTCTCTCCTTCTCGGCGTGTCTTCGTTTCTCATCGGCCTGTTGCCTCTCGTCTTCAGCCTTCCGGCCCGCCTCCTCAGCACGACGTTTCTCTTCTTGGGCCTTCTGCTTCTCCTCATTCGAGCGGCGTTTCTCCTCTTCAGCACGCCACCGCTCCGCCTCTGCGCGCTGCCGATTCTCATCCGCTTGTCTCCTCTGTTCCTCGGCCTCTCGCTTAGCGTGCTCCGCGTGCTGCTTCTCTACCTCGGCGCGTCGCCTCTCACCCTCCACACGCTGCCGCGCCTCATCCGCGAGTCTTTTACTCTCTTCCGCCTCCCGTTTCTCATGCTCCGCGCGTTTCTTCTCCTCCTGAAGACGCACCGTCTCGTTTTCTGCCCTTTGGCGTGCCTCGTCCGCGAGACGCCTCCCTTCTTCTGCCTCCGATCTTTCACGTTCGACTTGCTCGCGCTGAGCCTGCGCCTCCCGAGCGCGTTCTTCTAGTTCCTGTATCACGGGATTCGGAGCGATCTGCTGCCCAGACTCTTCTGGGGACTCAAACTTGCGGATGAGCCCAATCAGTCCAAGCACTGCAGTGGTGACCTGCGTTTACGTGTCAGAACCTTCACGTGTGCGAGCGGCTGGACTAGACATACACTGACAACTGCGGAGACAATCCCGCCCATGGAGCTTTGCTGTAAGTAGTATGAGATGCTGGGGTGATTCGTATCTGTACGCACAACTTTAGAGGATATGGCTAGGAGAAACCTCGTGTCACTTACTGGATGCCTCCGTATGGTGTTTGAGGGTGATGTAGAAGAGCGGGGTGTGGTCTGTAAGCACGGCAGCCTGGGCAAATATGTAGCTAGTCGATAGCGCCGTATGAGAACCAGGGAACCAATCCCATGAGTACGCCGCGTTGCAAACCTTATACGAAATGAGGCCTGGTGTAGTCTGTAAACATAGCAGAGCAAATATATATCTGGTCGATAGTGCCGTCTGAGAACCAGGGAATCGACACACCATGAGTATGCCTCGTTGCAAACCTTGTACGAGACGATCCATCCATGCGCACATATTAGGTTAAATAATTGGAGGAGCACGTTGGATTGAATCATCCCGTGTAGTTCTCAGAGCTCAGGAATGAGGAAATTCCGTCGTCTTCATTCCTGGGAGTGGCGCTGTGAGAAATCGCGTTCTGGAACGGCGCTGGTATCGTACAAGATTTTCTACAGATCTGCGTGGAGTACATATCCTGACCACATTCGCTAGATTTACAGGCAGTTCCGCGGATTATGAGCGTAAGCGAAGGCATCTCGTTATTACTCCAGAATCGATGTTGGCAGACTGTCATATACTCATGGCAGAGCCGAACTCGGTTCACTAAACTGCTGCGCCGTACGTACGGTAGATGTAAGTTACTGGAGCTTTGCGCACAGTATGCGGGCTAGCTGTGCGCAGGAGGCGACGGTGCGAGCCCAGTTGCAGGCCAAGGACGCGTGCATGCAAGTGGACGCGTTCAATTGTGCCACGATCGCGGCGGAGTGCAAAAGCGGTGTGGTGACCAAACACCATAAAAGCCAGCAGCACTGCCCAGCTGAGAACAGCGAAGAGTAAGCTCAACTGCCCACGTCGCCTGGAGCAAGCGGAATACGCTTCACCCGTCCCTCAAATGCCATGGATGAAGAACTTGCAGGACTCGAGGACTCTACCGCACAATTCTTCGCCGCTTGAGCATCCGTTCCACAGGGTGGGGCGAAGACGACGCCTTCCGCTTACCAGGCCGTGGTGCTGTATGGTGCTCCACCGCCCGCGTCGCACTGAACAACGCCAGATCTGCCTCATCCCGCTCGAAGTTCTTCCGCCTATCCTGCGTGTGCAGCTTCCGCTCGTGCTTATTCAGGAACTCAACCCAGAAGTCGTACAGTGGCAGCGGGCTCGCCCACTGCGTCTCGTCTGGGAATACCGCGTCCCCCACCTTGATCGCGCCTGCACACTTCGCCCGTGGGCAATTCAGGTCCATCGCGCCCTGCAGCCACAACGCGAACGGTTTCCTGAAGAACGCGGGGTTCACGTGTTTCCTGCTGCGCTTGTTCTCCATCTTCCCCTCGCCCGGAGCCATCGAGCGGACCGTCATGCCTTCGCCGTCACGCCCCACCTGTACATTGTAGAACAAAGCCTGCGCGGCAGTGTGCGCGCCCCGCGTGCGGTGCGGCAACCAGTGCAGCCCGCAGTATGCGACGACGTAGAGGAGCGACTCCATGTCGTCTCGCATAGTCTGCCGTAGCGGCGCCATGCGTGTCTGCAGGCGGTGCGACATGAACGCGTCCTTGCCCTGCGCAGGTACGTCAGCATCAGCGGGGCAGAAGCGCCATGGAAAGGGGCAACGCGCACCACCGTCCATTCGTCTAGTGCTTCCTTCTCTTCGGTCATCTGCGAGGAGAGCTCCCAGTTGATGAGGTAACCGTGGCGAAGCCTGTCTTCCCCCTCCCTGACCAGAATGATGTTTTCCAGGCTGACGTCGCGATGGAGCGTGTTTCCGTGGAGGAAGGCGTAGATCATCCCTGCGGCATGTCAATATACGTGAGTGGAGCCACGCCGAGGGCCACTCACCGCTGTACACATCGAATGTGGCGGACAAGAGCTCTTTCGTCCCTCTCAATGCGTGGAGCGGATAACCGACAGTGCCGAGGACCAAACGGTAGTGCACACGGGAGCGCACCATTATCTTGCGATCCCCAGTGCATACCCAATTTTCGCTGACGTATCTATCCGTCTGTGTGTACTGGAATTCTACCGAAAATCAAAATTTATGAGGATACATTGAACCGTAAGAAAGAAGACCCTCACCTGCAGCGCACTCGTCCGTCCGCTCAGGGACATCGCCATGGCACACAAGGCTGGGGATGTTGTGCACCCCCTCCTTATGCAGCCGTTCGAGAATCGCGCCCTCTGACTCCTTCACGAGCGTCCACTCGCGCCAGGTCTCTTTCACAAAGACTATTTTGCCTCGCATGACACCCCAGTACCCACGCATACCTCCACGCCGCAAGGAGAAGAATTTCGAGATCGGCCGCGATACTATACAGCGCGCGACGGTACCATCTGGCTGGACGATACCGATCGCCGCGACGCGGCCCGGCTGGTAGTGGTGCGCGAGTGCCTGCAAGATGTACATGAGATTGCGGCGCAGGTCGAGCTGGTAATTCACATAAGCCGCGATAATATTTTTGAACATGCCCTCCTCTAGTGCCGTGGCGGGCGAGACCGTTGGGTCGTATCCGCGCTCGGCGGTGGACGCATGTGCGAACCGCCAGAGGAACTCGCACAGGATCTCCGGGTACTCACACACATCGAACGCCTCTGAGGCGATCATCCCGCCCATGTCACAGCGCATGAGCCGCGCAGACGTGCCGTGGAGCGAGATCGAGAAGAAGTGCGTGCGGAACTGCTGCCCGCACGCGTCGGTCGCCCACCGCACGTTACGGCCAAATGCCTGGCGTGCCCTCTCTCGGCCCGTCTGCTCTGCATGCTCGAGTAGTAGCAGGAACTTGTGACGCGACCTGTCCACACCGCATGGGGGATCACGCATGAAATCGCCCTGTGCAGCGCCTTGGACGTCGATGTACATTTCTGACTTGGCGGCGGGGACGCTGTCGGACCCATGCGGCACGCACACCAGCGCGGGCATCTCTTCTTCATTTTCCGGACCACTGTAGCGAAAGTCGAACCGTGGACACCGGTCGTGGTCCGTGATGGCCTTGCACTACAAGAGACTCGAGTCGGGACTTAGATGGTCAAACGGACGTGCGTGCCACGCACCAACTCCAGGGCTACATTACCGTCTGCAAGTTTATCGAACGCTCCCGCAGAAGGGGGCATCAGTGCCACGTTCTTCGGAGGCAGGAAATTGAGGAATTTCTCCACAGGCATGGGCCCGACGACGTAGCTGTCGGCGGCCTCGGCATGGCGTTCGTTGATAGTCTGTGTGGTTTCATTGAACGGAAGCGCGGAGCTTGAGCTGGGGGCTTCTGGCAAGTCGGACCTGCTGGAGAGCATGGGCCGTGGGGCCGGTTCAGGGCTCGGTGTATGAGAACGAGCAGACACCATGGGAGAAGTGCTGAGTGGATGTTGGAACGTAGAAAGTAATGCGCCAACAGACACCGCCTTGAGCGCATATAAGCCGCAAGGTAGTCATTGTTTTTCGGGGGTACGCTGATTTCGCCACGTGATCGCGTCAGAGACAAAGAGAACGCGTTATTCCACTTTCGATCTTTTTTCTACGATCGAGCCTTTTGTGCCCCAGTGGGCGAGGCGGTTGCTTTCAACGTTGTCTCACTCGACATCAACACACTCCGCGACGACGCAACGCGAAAGCAGTGGACGAAACGAGACAGTCACGAAAACAATGAAAAACGGGGTTGCCAACGCATTCAGCTCACCACGCGACACAGCAACCCAACTACTGGCTTTCTTTCGCAAGACATGGCAAGTATCGACAGCACTTACTAGTTATCATTGTCGAGACTAATATGTGATATCCTTCATGGTATCCTTCTTGGACATCGCTGGGCGGTTCCGCCTGCCATCCGACACTTCGAGATAGTTTTGAGCGGTGGAAGGGCGCTACTGACGATAGGAATAGCGGTAGATGTTTTGATTGAGTATCAGTAACCGCAATCGCTTGACTGGTGGGAAGACATCCTGCTAATTGAACAAGACGCGCAAGGCGTCTGAGTTGAGGGATGAAAGTGTGATTAGTGGAAGTTCAAAAACACTGCACAGACGGTACCTCGCAGTAGCCCCGCCAGAACTCGTCACATTGGAAGAAACGAGGGGGCTCCTCGGGGCACTTGCATATGAGGGTGTTTCGACCTAGTAAGCATGCATTGTCAAGGCGTCAGCCTACTATTTTACATCACAGCAGAGCAAGGGGCGTACCGTACGCTCATACCAGCGGTGCGCCATAACTGTACCCTTTGACAGCTTCGGGAGGCCCGCACATCGTCTGAGTGGGATGGGTGGAGAACAATCTTGGGTGCTCCGTAAAAACGGTGGATGGAGAAGCGTTGGAGGCAGCGCTGCATTTCGCCAGTTTCTCTTGTTCTCTGTCTGATTTTCTCTGGCATATCGGAGACGAGGGTTTGGCGAAGAAGCATTAGCAGGTCAGACGCTGAGGATAGCCTGGGGTCCATGCAATGTCATTACATGTACCTCAAGGTATCCTGCACAGTCTCAGTCAGCCCTTGGGAGACTAAGTAGCAGACGGCATGTGGTAGGTACCCCAGAGACGAGGGCCCAGGCTGAGTTCTGCAGCCGGTCTCAGTGAGACGCGCTCAGACCGCTTAAGTTTGGCGCCGGAGCTCCTCCACCTCACGCAGCATCCTTGGACGTTTCGACATTGGAAGAAATACACGTAGATAGAACTAGGTACTGGAGATGATAGAGACATTGAAATGCGACATGGACAACTAGGCTGGACAGGGACGACGGAACACAAGGGTGCGCTCGCGACTAGTCGTCGCCAATTTTGGGTGCGAGGTAGTATCGAATGAAGCCCTGGCCAAAGTCGTACGACACCTGCGCGTGGAAGCGTCAGCATTAACGCTGATGCGGGATGGACGAGGCAAGGACTCACGAGCAAGGGCACGTCGTTGCTCATCATGAGCTGGACGACGTTCGAGAGCGAGGTGCTCTTCGCAAAGTTGACTAGGTATTTCAAGCTAAACGTGAGCGTCACCGTCTGGTTCATCTCGATGCGCACGCCCTCTGGTGGCGCCCCGTCGTCGTCGCCCTTCTTCGCCTTTTTCGAGGGCTTGCTCTTCTGCCGGAGGGTCAGCTTAGACTGAGGTGTAGCCGCACAGAGCCGGAGAGCATACCTTGGCCGGCGCCCGCTTCCGCTTCTTACCCGATTCCGAGCCCTCCTCGTCCTCGTCCTCAGCTTCGTTGTCTTCCTTCGGCTGGAATTCCTCCTCGCCCTCGTCCTCGTCGTTCTCGCCATTCATTTCGACGTCCCCGTCCTCATTTTTTACCTTCTCCTTCTTAACCTTCTTCTTTGGCTCGCCCTCCTCGTCCTCATCGCCGTCCTCCTTCTCCTCGTCATCATCCTTTTCCTTCTCCTTGTCCTCCTCCTCCTCACCATCCTCCTCTTCATCATCGTCTTTATCGCGCTTCGAGGACGAGCCCTTCTTCTTAAGCCCGGACGGTGCAGAGTCCGTCTGGCGGAGGAGGATGTTGCCATTGGCGGCCTCGCCGTCGCTGATGAAGCGCACGCCCTCCTTGGAGACCTCGATGCGGACGGACTCACCGAGCAGCGAGAGGTCACGCACGATGCGCGCGAACTCGGGCGAGGGCATCGTCACCCGCGCGTCGTAGTCCGTATCCGGGATACCGAGCGTGTCCGAGTCGATGTCCATCAGCTTCATCTCGTACTCGGCGATTCTGTCAGAGTCTGTGTCACGCGAGCGTCGATGTGGGTGCATGGAGGAAAGGGAGAGAGACGGGACGCACTGCGGGCCTCGTAGGTGAGGCTGAGGATGTCGGCGTCGTCGGCCGCCTTGAGCGTGACGACGTCGTCGTCCTTGGCGCACTTCAGGACCTTGGTGAGGGAGACGAGGTTGACGCCGAGCGGCATCGGCCGGTCGCAGCGGTAGCGTTTGAAGCCTGAGGCATCGAGTCTGACGGCGACGAGCGCGACGTGGGAGTTGTCCATCGCCTGGAGTGTCTGCGGCGAGAAATTGGGTGAAAGAATCGGGTAAGACGTGAGAAAGGCAGGAGAAAGGGCGAGGAGGACGTACGATCGCCTCTTCGTTGCATTCAAAGTTGGCATCGGCCACGAGCTCTTTGATGGCTGCGACGACGCGGTGAGGTCAGGGGACGCCACCACACTTAGATGCCGTGCTCACCGTCGAGGAGACGCTTCAGGATGGCGGCTTCGGAGAGGCGTGCTTCGAGCATGGCTGTGGAGGTGACAAAGGGAGGGACGCGTCTGGTGGAGGAGGGAGAGAAGGCAACACTCGACGCGTTCTTCAGGCGGAGAATAAATTTGGACGCGCTCGTCACGTCACACCAGACTGTCACGCAACACACGCGACGTGGCGCCGCTGCCGGCCCGCGAGACTCACCTTTCAGCTAGTAAACTGAGGACATCCCTCAGACTCTGACCAGCGCGTCGTACAGAATGCAATGTGAAGTATAAGCAAAGTAGTTGGTCTAGTAACTGTTCTACAAAACCATGATTAACGACGCAAACAGCACAACTCCAAGACACCTCAGTTCTTCGCGGGCAACACCCCAATCTCCGCATCCACCTTCTCCTTCTCGTCTCCAACACTGCCAGTGCCCACGCTCGCCGTTCCCTCGTCATGATAACTCAAGCCGAGGCCGAGGCCCGGCGGCGGCGAGATCCAGCAGATCAGCCAGAACGCCGTGAACGACACCGACAGGCCTGCGCACAGCGTCAACAACGCACCAGGAAACGGGAGACGCGCACGAGGGGGGGCTCACCGACAAGGAACGTGATGTGGAACGTCCGCACCCACCCGTTGTACGCCGCCGGGTTGCGCACCGTCATGATCATCCCCGGCATCGTCGGGAACACGCCAATCACCCACGCCACGAGCGCGCGCCAGTTGAACCCGTGCCAGTACCTGCGCCGGCCCACATCAGGATCAGGATCAGCGCATCAGGGGAACGGGGCGGGGCGCACCAGTAGATCGAGTCGCTGTTCCCGATGTAGCAGTCCTCCAGCTTGATCACGCACCGCCGTACAGCGAGGTAGTCCGAGAGCAAGATCCCTGTGAATGGTGCCACTGCACCGCGCAGCGCATCAGTACCCGTCACGCCGCACCAGAGGGCACACGCACAGAAGATGCCGAAGCCCGAGAGCACTGTCAGGAACGTCGACGCGTTAGAGAGATACTGCCACGGGTTCGACGCGAGCCCGAGCGCGGCGAGGAGGTACGCCCCACGCCGGATGTTCATGTACTTCCTGCACGCGTGCAGAGCGTAAGTGTGCATGTGCGGTTAAAGCGAGGCTGAACTTACGGTGAGAGGCCTCTGGTGGTTATCGCGGTTAGCAGTCAGTGATGGCGGTAAGCGGGGGGGTCACGAAGGGGCTCACGCCAAGTCCATGCCTGCGCTGACGGAGTTGAGCACGATGCTGATGCCCAGCTGTGCGCAGACGCAGCCGAGGCCGGCGAAGAACCTGTGGCGGCCGGTCAGCGAGCTCCGTTGCAACCGAGAACGAAAGCGACTTACACTCCTGCACGGGCTAACGATGACGAAAAATATTAAATCAAAAGTGGTTCTCCGCTGTGATCGATTGGCACTTACCGCGAGAAGAATCGTGACTGAACGAATCGTCTCAGCCAGCGCAGCAGAGCTCGCAAAGAAGAAGACGCACTAGAAATCCTGCAGAGCCGCAAGAAGCTGGAACGGCTCCCAAATGAGCCTTCCCGTGATCTCCTTCGCACACGACGTGACGATGATCCCGACGATGGAGCACACAATAATGCAGAACGGGCTGCGGACCAGAACGTCAGTCGGAGAGGACGAACAAAGTGGATCGAGACTGACGCGGCGAGGAGTTGCGAAAGCGTCGGAGCATCTGCGAGACGACAAGATGGCCGTCAGCGCTGAACAACTCAGACCGGAGGCTACGCGAAGGCACTGACATGGGCGATTCGCGTAGCGCGTCCAGTCGCTCTGGCCAAGCGTTCCGCCGCCCCTGCGCGCATTCGTTAGTGATCATCCGCTAGCGCTTCCGCGAAATTACCCACCAGGACCCGAGGACGGAGGTAATGCCGAACATCATAGCCCTATTGGCATCGTCACAGCGAGAGTCCAACATAATGTCGCAGGGAAGACGCACCATCCGATGCTACCGTTCGCCGGAGTGCCTTTCTGCGTGAACAGCGGGCCCGCGCTGTGGGTGTTCGACACGGCCCACGCGAGTAATCCGATCAAGCTGTGTACCAGAGGGATCAAAACGCGTTCACCCTACAGCGAGAGAGTCACTCACGTGCCAGCAAACATGATCGAGGAGACGATGAACGGCCTCTGGAGTTTCTCGGGCGGGATGCGCATGATCGAGATGAAGAAAATGTAGTAGATGCTGCGATAACTGGATGTTATACGGCTTCAAGTGAGAAGGGACGCGTGACTTACATCATGCCGACGAAGTCCTTGGTGAGGAGGGCGCCGTCCGCCAGGGTGTGTTTCCTGTTAAAACCCATTCAATACTGACATGCGAAGAGCGTTTGACAGACGTACATGTGAGCAAAGCCTAGCAAGAATCTTGTCATTTACAGACGCTACACGCTGTAGTGGGACGAACGTACCTGGGATTACGGCGCCAATGGTGACCTAACACACAGCAAGTCAGTTATCGAATCTCCTTCATGGAGCAAAATGCTCGTACAGCCATTGCTACAGAGCTTGTCAGTCCTACGCGCCGACAAGAAATAAAGAACACTTACCCTGTCCTCCCCAGTATGCTTGAAGGCCGTCCCAGCTAGAATCCATGACATCAGGTCAAAATTCGAGAATGTAGCGAGACATGTCTCACAAGATAGTCCTATGACGATGAGCAGAGCGTCAGATGGTCTTGATCGTGAAGAGGGCAGGAAGAATCTTACGTGAAAGATCGTATAAGAATCGGGAAATACGCTCCTCTGAAGGGTAGAGTAAGTTTCCATTCGGAGTCTTCAGTAGGGAAGACGGACCTCATTCCCCAGCTGAATCGCGACGCGACTGTGAAGCCAATGTGGTGCCTACGGAGTCATAAGACGCATATCAATGAGAAAACGCCAAAACGCACCTCTCGCCCATCCAACCGCAGGAGATAGACAAGAAACCAGTGATCACCGAGCCGACGACGAGCGCGCCGATGGCCTGCTGGGCGGTCAGGCCGTACGCCAACATGGTACTACCGCTGGTGTACGCGGAGATGCAGAGGCCACTGATGCACCAGTAGATAAAGTACGACCAGATGGCGTACGTGCGCCGCTCGGCGGGCATGGGGATGAGGTCCCTGTTCGTCCAGTGCTAAACGTTCGCGCAAAGTTAGGTTGGCCGAGAGAGACGCGTCGGACAGACTGACATCATTCTGGTAGTCCGCGTCTTTGTCGATGGGCACCTCGATGGCCTTGAGGAACCTACGCATGGGGCTCTGGGACTCGGCGGGGACAGACATGTCGACTCGGAGGACGAAGGCGCTGATGGATCTGCGGCCAGGTTGCGCCAGAATGCATGTCGCTTAAGTAGAGACGCTCTGGAAAGGGCATATCAGGACTACATGGGGGTACGATAAGCAAATTGGTAGATGGTAAAGAGACGTGACCAAGATCAGAAGCCTACCAGTGCGAATCGAGCGCTCCGCCAATCGGCTTAGGTTGTTCTTGATCACCTTCCGCGTTTGGCTAGTGCTGTAGATGCGTGCATCGCAACCCCGACACCTTCGGAGAGTCCTCCTGTGTGCCATAGACCGTACCAGCGCAGGTCGAGAGGGTGCTTATCTACCTTATAAGTCTTAGCCGTCGCCCTCGACCGCCTTCTCTCTGCAAAACTCTTTTCACTGATCTGCATTTTGGATATTCACGGATCAGCGGAGAACCTCTCCGGCCTACTTCATATTGCGTGTTATCGCCTCCCAGTGCTCTCATTTCCAGGAGCAGCATCTTGCCAAAGTACCGCGTTCACTTGCAACTATGGGATCCGTCCACGATGCCATGTCTTCGCTGCCCATCATCGACTTCGCCAACTTCGGCGATGGTACTTCACCAGTGAGTGTACACGACGCGAGAGAGATCCCTGTGCCAATCTGACGCGATTTCGTGCAGGATGCACGGAAGATCGGCGTGCAGTTCTACGAAGCGTGCCGCGACGTGGGCTTCGCGTACTTGATCAACACCGGTATCCCCCAGGAAAGCATCGCAGAGATGTTCGCATGGGTCGGTGCTGCGCACTCTGCGACCGAGCTGTACTCACCGCTTGCGCACAGTCGAAGAAGCTCTTTGATTTGCCTACTGGGATCAAGCAGAAGGCCCCTCATCCTCCTGAGGGCTCGTACCACCGTGGATACAGCGGTGTCAGTCAACGTCACCGCACCGTCTCACAGAATTGCTAACCGTTACATCTACGGCGCAGGTCGGCGTCGAACAGGTCTCCCAGATGGTTCGGTGACCCTATCGTCGCAGACTTCATTCTACTCTGACGTCCGTCCCAGGTTTTCGACCCCAAGGAACTCGCGGCGATCCGCACGAAAGCCCTCGACTTCAAAGAGTCGTTCGATATGGGCTACGAGCTCGGGCCGCGCCTGAAGAACATCTGGCTCCCCGAGGACGACCTCCCGGGCTTCCGCGCGTACGCGGTCCACTTCTTCGGCCTCTGCCGCGCCTTCCAGACGACGAAGCTCCTGCGCGCGCTCGCGATCGGCATGCCCGGGCTCCCCGACGACTTTTTCGACCAGTACCACGAGAAGGCGGACAACCAGCTCCGCCTGCTGCACTACCCCGCTGCGGCGACGGACGTGTTCACCAGCGGACAGAAGGGCCGCATCAACGCGCACACGGTACGTTCTCCTCTCAGTCCCCCCTGGTTCCGAGCGACTCGCTGAACGGGCGATGAAAGGACTTTGGCACCGGCACGATGCTGTTCCAGGACGACTGTGGTGGGCTGGAGGTCGAGTCGCCAAACGAACCCGGGAAGTTCATCCCCGCTCCGCCCATCCCCGGCGCGGTCGTCTTCAACATCGGCGACTTCCTCATGCGGTGGTCCAACGGTACGTCCCCCTTGAACCCCGTATTCGAACTCTGATAATGCTCGCGCAACGGACAGACACGCTGAAATCTACGCTGCACCGTGTGCGCGCCCCGCCGCCCAAGCCGGACGAGAACGGCATGACGCGCGAGCGGTTCTCCATCCCCTACGTGCGTTCGGTGCCCTGTCTTCTCTCGCACGGCTCACGCGTTGGTGTGCAGTTTATGACGGCCGATCGCGACAAGGTCATCGACTGCCTGCCTGGCTGCTTTGGGCCCGAGAAGCCCAAGAAGTACGAGCCCATAAACGCGGGCCAGTACATCGACATGCGCCTCAACGCGACATACTAGGTTTTCGGTGGGGGGCGCTGAGTGCCTTCGTGTTCCAGGAGACGCGCGACACGGCTCGTGAAATTGTGCATGTTTCCCGTGTAAACCCGTTTCGGCGGTGTGGAAGGGAAAATCTGTGTAACTTGTATCTTTTGAAATATCACAATGAAGTCCCCTAGGATCTGCGATAAGCCTGCACACCGGGTTTGCGGTGAAAAATATCTAAACGCCGCCCCTCCTGTGGCGTCCATCTTGTGGCTGTGGCATGACTCTGATACAGGCACAACCTCGTCACGGGAAGAACCCAGGATATTAGGGTACATTTAAAAGGGAAGACAATCTCAGGCTGAGTTAAAGAATATGAGTCTCGAACAAGCTCGGCATGTAAACTAACGATTTTGTATTACGGGCCTTATCGCGGGGCAGGCTAGCTGCACCAGCCTGGAGGGGCGGCCAGGGGATTTTCCAAGTTTCTGGGGTGGGTTGTAGGAGGGTAGCAAGACGTCTTTCACGCCAAGCCACTCGTGAACAAGTGCCTTTCCGGGCTCGGTACCGACATATCTTGCGCAGATCTGTATCTCGATCGCGGGGGATGTTCAAGTCGCCATGCTGTGCTCACACGACACGGCGGACGGTCCGCCCCGCGTCTCCATTGCTATCTGCCCTTGGCAGAAAGCGTATCTCCAGAGAGACTTATCGATGTGACTCCTTCTCGGCGCTCCGCCCGCTCCTTCTCCACGGCTGATAGATGCAGCCAGTACTTGGAGCAGCGCAGACGACTCTCGCTACTGACAGCGCTCATACCTTCCACACGGCCGCCATGACTCTGACCAGCCCAGTACTCCGCCTCGGTGTTGACGTCGGCGGGACGAACACGTGAGTGCACTACCAGCCACCACTTCTAGTGTATCGTCTTTGACGCCTCGACGCAGCGACGCCGTTCTGCTCGACCTCTCTCCGGGCCCGCGAAGGGGCTCCGTCCTCGCGTCGGCCAAACACCCCACCACCCCAGAGGTCACGTTGGGCATCCGCAACGCCATCCAGTCCGTCCTGAAGCAAGCAAAGGACGTTTCGCACATCCAGGCGCTCTCCATCGGCACCACCGTGCGTGCTCCTCCCATTCGTTCAGCTCATGCGCTGAGATTCATGGATGTCTTGTAGCACTTCGTGAACGCTTTGGTGGAGAGGGACCCGCGTAGACTTGACAAGGTCGCCGTCATTCGTCTCTGCGGTCCCTTCAGCAGAGGAACGCCGCCCTTCATCGGATTCCCCCGGGAACTCAGAGACCGTGTGTAGTTCTACGCCATAGGCTCTTCTTGCATTCGCTGACTCGCACTCCTAGTGCTGGAAGGACCACATTTCTTGCTCTCGGGCGGTCTCCAAATTGATGGCAGCGAGATCTCGTCGGTGAATAGGAAGGAAGTAGAAGAAGCATGCGCAGAGATTCGCAAACAGGTAAGTCGTAATCCCTCTCTTCGCGCCCGACGCTCCATTTCGCCCACCTGAATTTCCGTGCAGGGTATCTCGGTCGTCGCAGTCGTCTCCGTCTTCGCACCCATCGACTTCGAGATCAAGCAGGAGGAACACGTCGCGTCGATCATCCGCGAGCTGCTCAAGGACGTCAACGTCGTCTGCTCCAAAGAAGTCGCGCACATCGGGATCCTAGAGCGCGAGAACGCGTCGATCCTGAACGCGTCTCTCCTGCGCTATGCCAAGAAGACCGTGACGGGTTTCCGCAGCGCTGCGAAGGCGCTGCAGCTGCAGTGTCCCGTGTTCATCACGAGCAATGATGGCACTTTACTGAGCTGCGAACAGGCGGCTCAGCTCCCTATCCGGACTTTGTGAGTATCTCGGGAGACACGAGTGGTTTCCCATTGTCCTGACGCGCTATAGCTCCTCGGGGCCTACGAACTCCATGCGCGGTGCCGCGTTCTTAGCATCTCTGGAGTCCGGACATGCCAAGGGGGAGTCGGCTTTAGTGGTCGATATTGGAGGAACCACGGTAAGCGTTCGATCCCACGCTGGCAATCTACTGCTCGAGCTAACTTGTATGATCAAGACCGATGTCGGTATGCTCCTGTGAGCGCTCATACAATCTATTTGTCTACGTCTATGTCTGACGCGCGAGTCGTAGTCCGAGCGGATTTCCGCGCCAGGCTGCCGCCCATCACGAATTCTGCGGCGTCCGCCTCAATTTCTCCATGCCACACGTCACCAGGTTCGTTCTTCCCCTCTCTCGCGCACCATCACACCGTCCTATTTACGCCCGCAATTCAGCATCGGTCTCGGCGGTGGCTCCATCGTGCAACAGAACCCAGCGACGCAGAAAGTGACGATCGGGCCCGACTCCGTCGGGTACCGCATCCTCTCCGAAGCCCTCGTCTTCGGCGGCTCCATCCTCACCGCGACGGACATCGTCGTCGCATCGGGGCACGCGCAGGTCGGCGAGGCGTCGCTGGTCGGGCACGTCGACGCCGCGGTCGTCGCCGCCGCGGAGGCGCGCATCCGCACGATGCTGCAGAACGTGGTCGACGCGATGAAGACGTCGGCGCAGGACGTGCCCGTGTACCTCGTCGGCGGCGGCTCGATCCTCTCCCCGGACGCCCTCGAGGGCGTGAGCAAGGTCCACCGCTTCCCGCACTTTGACGTCGCGAACGCCGTCGGCGCCGCCATCGCTCAGGTGGGTGTTTCCGCGCGTTTTGGTGCCTAGCTTCATCCGCTTCGCCCGTGCAGATCTCTGGGATCGTGGACTCGGTGGAAGACACGTCGGCCTCTACGGTCCCGCAGGTGCGCGCTATCGTCGAACAGAGGGCTATCGCGCGTGCGATCGCGGCGGGTGCCGATCCTAAACGGGTCGCCATTATCGAGAGCGAGGCTATCCCCATCGCCTACACCCCCGGCCGCTGCCGCTTCTACGTCAAAGCCGCCGGCGAATGGAGCGGCTCGTCCTCAGCCACACCGGACGATTCGGGACTAGAGCCCGTCGACACCGCTGAAACGGTCCCCACTGCGAACGGGGACGCGAAGGCGCGCACTCACGCGGTGGAAGCGCCGGAGCTTGTGACGGCGGACGACGTCCTGGCGTACAAGCCGAAGGTGCAGCGCGGGGAGTGGTTCCTCTCCGAGGTCGACCTCGAGTGGATCTCGGAGGGCTGCTACGTCCTCGGGTGCGGAGGGGGCGGGTCGCCGTTCCACACGTTCCTGCATCTCCGGGAGATGGTCCGTTCTGGGGAGGTCATCCGTGTGATTGACCTGTCCGCTCTGGAACCCGACGCGCTCGTTGGCTGGGGAGGTGGGATGGGTAGCCCCGAGGTGTCGGCGGAGCGACTACTTGGGGAAGAGTGCGTGCTCCCTTTTCTCTTTGTCTTGGGAATATCCATTCACCTATATTGGCAGATACAACGAAGCCACCGATGAGCTTCTGTCCTTCCTCGGGGTAATCTTCTCCGATGTTTCCGGCGTACTCTACTGACATTCACTGACATTCACCTCGCCGTAGATGAAAAAGCTCGCAGCCTTCTGCGCTCTAGAGATTGGTGGCGGGAATGGGATGATCAATGTATGAAACCACTGTTCCACTTATTTTCTCCCGACTAAATGCTTCTGATCAAATTTTTCGCCATCATAGATGATCCCAGCATCAACGAAACACTACAACATACCGTGTATAGACGGCGACTTCATGGTAAGTGCGCCTTTGTCCCGTCCGCGTCGCGACTAACAATTTGGCTATCAGGGCCGCGCATACCCGACAGTAGGTTCAGCAGTGATCTACCCCGATCTCTCCTGATCAGTAGTTGCTATTAGGGCTGGCAAACTACACCCAATGTCTATGACCCGAGTGGAAAGGGCCTCAATTTGCTGCCTGCGGCTATATCCAGCGGTGATGGCAACGTTATGGTATGTGAACTCCCCAGTGGAGCTACGATATCGTCTCATGGCGCCTGGGTGCGTGTCGTGCTCAGATCATGATGAAAGCAAAGAAGGATACCGAGATCGACCGCGCGCTCCGTGCGGCCTGCGTCGAGATGGGGTACGGACCGTGTTCACTTATAAGTCTCCTTCCTGCCGATTAATCCGTTCTCTAGAACCCTTGTCGGACAGGCTCACCGCCCTTTAACTGCAGAATTCCTGGAGACAAGTCTCATAGTAAACACCGTATCGCTAAGCTGGCGCCTCGGGCGCGCTCTCGCTCTCGCGCGGAGGCAGCACAGCATCGCGCGCATCGGCTCCATCCTCGTCGATGCACTGGGCGGGAGGAAGTCGGGCCGTGTGCTCTTCAGTGGAAAAATCACGGATGTGCAGCGAACGTGAGTCCTATATTATGCTGGAACCTCAAGTGCGTCGCGGGTGCTGATTCAGTGACAAGGGTATATAAGGGCCATACGATAGGCAGCGTGCATATTGATGCGTTCGCTGTGGACGACGATCTCGAGGAGGATCCTGAGTATCCCACCGAGCGGTTCTCGGGGAGCCTTGTCATCCCGTTCAAGAACGAAAACCTGTACGCGGAGTACCATCCTGGAGATGGGGCACCTTCAAAGGCGCGTTTGAACCTGGTTTCACTGGAGGATAATATATTTGCTGACATGATTTTCTAGATCATCGCGACCGTACCAGACCTCATTTGTGTGCTCGACGCGCAGAGCGGGGCTGCGCTAGGCACGCCGGAATTTAAATACGGTCTACGCGTCCTCGTCCTCGGTATCACCGCTGCGCCTCAGTGGACGGACACCCCTCGCGGGCTGGAGCTGGGCGACCTGCGTGCGTTCGGGTAAGTTTGCGGGCTTTCTGTGTCACACTGACTCACAGGGCTCCGTGTGCGACAGGTACGACGATATACCATACATTCCTCTGGGGACGTACTCTAAGCCCCGGTCTGTCATCGAGGAGTATAGCTAGCTGCGTACACCCTGTAAGGCAAGTAGAACAATGTAGAGAATTAGAATAAGATAAATCTCAAGAGTGGAAATCGCGCCGCAAAGAAGTGTTGGGACATAAGAGCACTCTGAGCTGTTATCCTGGTGGACTTGTCAACGACAGTATCCAATAGCGCGCGATGGTGTGGGCTGTAGCGGAGGGGTCACTCTTTGTTGCCATCTCTATTTAACTACTTGCCTCCTGGGAAATTATTACGGAGCTATCGTGAGCAGCATAGGAGAAGCAGCATGAACCTGACACAATAACCTACTGTGAGCCTGTCGTCTCCATGTTGTTACAGAGTAGTACCGGGGATGAACCCTTATTTGAGCGTAAGGGGGCCACTCAGTAACAACATGCATGCATTTTTATATCTACACTGAGTACATCCTGCGCGCATTCTCCCTCGCCTCGGACATTACTCGCTCTGTATCCCATTGCTCAGCACCCTCCGCACCATTCGCTACGGTCGCTACGAACTCAGCAGTCCATGGTATCATTGCAGAGTGTGATAGCGGTAGTTTTCCCCTCACATTCTTGAGCGTCCCGTACAAGTTCGATGGCGTCATGAACGGTGCATCTGTTTCGAGAAGGATACGTAAGGATGGACTCGGCAGCCTCGCCATATTACGAATCACGGCAGAGGTGTTGAGGTTCGTCGAGTATGTAATGACACCTGTACACATATTCGTTCAGGGCACACTGTAGCAAAGACAGGATTGTCAACTTACCCGTGATCCCGATATATAGGTTAGGAAAGTGATCTAGCATCCGCGTCGCCCACTCGGGAGAGTCGGTATAGCAATGTATGTGGATCTATCGGCGAGACTAGTCAGACTGCAGATACCTACACGGATGTGGATATACACACCTTATGGTCCTTCGGTACGTGCTCCTTCAATATACGCTCGGTGTCTTCTTCTGCCTCGCGCGTGTGGATTGTCAGCGGCTTGCCAAGACCAACTGCGCGTTGCAGCTGCCGAGCGAAGACGGATCGCTGGACATCTCGGGGTGAATTATCGTAGTGGAAATCTAAGCCAATCTCCCCCCATCCCACGCAACGAGGATGGGACATCGCGTCTACTCTGAGGAAATGCGCGGTTAGTACTGCGAGCGAATCGCAATGGGAATGCGTACATCTCCTTCTCTACTTCATCAGTGTACAACTTGGCCTCATGGCTGCAAATCTGTCAGATAGTCAACTCAGCGTCAGGACGAAAGATACGCACGGATGGACACCTGTCGCAGTACAGGTGAAGCGTCCGGGGAGCGAGCAATGCTGGAGAGGACGTACCCATAACGAACCAATATTCCAATCTACCCCATTTTCGCTCCCTGTCCTCCTCCGTCAAGGCCGAATCTGCAATTTCTCGCCATACCTTCCGCACCGGCGCCTCGCACCAGACATCCACGATCGCCTCTACGCTGTGGTCTTTGTACAGCTCGCGGATGAAGTCGTGGATAGTCTCGTGCTTGCCCGAGCGGTACTTGCTGCGGTAGGATGAGAAAGTTGAGACAAGATGGGTATGCGTGTCGACAATGGCTGGTCCCGAGCCCGGCGTTCTTTCGGGGTGTGAAGGCAACACGAGATGTACCTCGTCAGGCAGCGCAGCCTTCTTGTTTTTGCCCATCGGCGCAACAGGGTAACGGGGATTAGTATAAGATCTGCGAGAGAGAAAGGTGGGAGTCGGCCAGCAGCGAGAGCGGAAGCAAGACGTCCGTGCGCTGATCATGAGCAAGTTTACTGAAGCTTCGACTGATTCGAGTCATTTGAGCTTCATTTGAGCTTCATTTACACGAGTACCAACTGAGTCTCCATTCTCTAGAGTATCGCGTAGGTACAGGAGACTGTTAAATAACAGTGTCTGCAAGGTATCGTATAGCCTGACGTGGGGATAATTATATGACATATAAATGCGTGATGTACATCATTGCAATGGCGGACCGGCAAAACGTATGCGAAAGCAGAGCAGAAAGTGGATTGACAACCAATTGACAACAGCAAAATGCAACAAAAAAAAACACATTGAGTGTCTGGGTAACGAACGGACGGACATGCAGTCCATGATATCAACGCATCTGCGACTGAGCCGGCCCACCATTCACAGTCAGCAGAGCCTGAAGCTCGATGATGCACTCGCTGCACCGTGCATGCACCTCCCGCGCATTCTCCAACAACGGTTGGATGTTCTCCGGGGTCATAGACAGCCTCGACTCGGGTAGCGTACCAAGTATAATACCTGGACCGTGGTGCGCCAACACCTGAGGGGGCGCCGAACGCACAGACCCCGACGGGCCACTCATGCGGCTGCGAAACGGCCTATATCTCGCACTGGGACTGGGTGTGGGCGCGTGGTTTGTGCTCCTTGACGATGGCCGTGGCTCTGGAGGCGTACCGTGCTCAGCGAGTTCCCGGACATTCGATAACTTAGGCGACCGCGTAGGCAGCAAATGGAAATGGCCTGCGGGGGCACTTCTGTGCGGGGACGGCTGCACGTTCAGCGATGTCTGCGACACAGACGGAGAGCCCCCCGGAAACGGCTCTTGGTGATGCTGCGAATAAGGCGACCGGTGCGTCTTTCCCCTCACCGTCGCCGCACCGTCTGAAGGCGCTCGTCCTGCGTGATTCATCTCTGAGATCGCCTCGACGCGATCCCAGTCCTCCTCTTCATCCGCAACCCGTAAACTACTTGCATGCTCCGAGCCGCTGCTCGGGTGCTTGAGATCGTCAGAGGATTGTCCCGTACTTTGAGAGGACTTGCTTTTCTGGCCGAGACGGAAGATGGAAGCTAGGGACGGGCGGCGAGGCGATGACCGATGCTTGAGCGAGACAGACGTGGCATACGGCGAATTAGGGTGCTGTTCTCGAGAGGACTTCATAGACTCTGGTCCGGTACTGGTCCTCGCGCGGCGTCGCTGAACGGAGTCAGATTGATGCTCTCGGGGTAGGTCGAGAGAGGACTCGGTGCTTGCCAGAATTGACGTCGACGACACAGGAACAGGCGGGAGTGGGGACGGCCGCTCGGAGTAGCTTCTCTTCAAGGACTTGAGAATATCCCTAAGTTTCCGCATACCGAGGCGTCGTTTCTTGCCGTTCAATGCGCCAGACCCGGACTGCACTGACTCCTCGCTCGGTAGGGTGATGGTACTGTTCATGGCATCCCCCCATCGCCAATTGCGGTCGATCTCCTCTTCCGATATGTGCGGCTCCGCGCTCAGGTACGTCGATGAATCTGGGTTATTGAGCAACTCACGGAGCAGGAGTAACTGGCGCTGAGTCAGGTCGTGCCGACCAGTCGATGCGCGCCACTGTGCAGGGCTAGGCGGGTTCGCGATAGGCGACGTCAAGGTGTCGGCAGGTAATGGAACGGCAGGCTTAGACTCGTCTCCGGCCAGCGTGATTGCGCGCTCACGACTCTTCTTAGGATCAGTGGCGGCGGGAGATGTCATGGGCGGAACCGACTGCGAGGACGGGGTAGGAGATATGGTAGCAACGGGGGCGCCACTGCCGAGGTCGATGAGCAATTCCACACACTCCCAAGGAATCTGGTATTTCGTCTCGATGAGCTGGAAAGCGACACTAAGTTCGCGACGGTTGTATTGCGGAATGGGCGTTGGATTTGTGCTGGAACGCATGCGAGAGATGGGTTGCGGGAGATTGAAGAACGTGGGGGAGATGGCGCGAGATGGTGCGGGCTGAGAACTTTCGATGAGCTCATGAACTTCGCCAACGAGGGTGTTGTACGCGTCTTGAAGCTGCTTGAGCTCTGAAACAAAAGATTAACAAGATTAGATGATACATAGTAATAATATATCAAAGGCTTACGTTCAATGCTGGCCGCAAATTCCCTCACCATTCCCAAGTCACGACGCAGACTGACCTGCGCCTGACTGATCCTCGCCGGTATCTTGAGATCGCCCAGGGAATTGCGCCGGGGAGGCATCGAATTGTTATTCGCCTGCTCCTTCGGCGGTTGCGCGGCACGACCGAGTGAAGCGGATTGCGGTGGCGAGGATGGGACCTTCGGTCTAGGTGGCGATGCCAAAGGTGATGGTGGAGGACTAGACAGTGGGGGTTCTGCGGTAAATTTGGCCGACAACGCTGGATGGGAACGAGAGGCTTCGAGGAAGGGATGCGGGTGGAAGAGGGACTCAATGGTCGAACTCGCAGGCGCCGACACGCTCGGTGGAAGGCGTAAGGGTGCTGCGGGCTGGAGCTCTAGCGGTGGGAGCAGCGCGTCCTGCGAGCGGCGCACTACCCGCGACGGTGGGCGCGGAGTAGTCTGATCCTCGTCGGGAAACGCCCGAACTTTCGGGCTTGAAGGTGTGTGTGGTTCCTTGCGGTCGGGGGTCTGCATCAAGGTCTTGCTCCGCCAGTGCTTGTTGCTGCCTACCAGGCTGAGTCGCCGCATTCCACCCATAAAACTACGGCTCCCCTGGTGCTTCTCCGTTTCCTTTTCTTTCCCCTTACCCTTTGCCTGAATGCCATCCTTCTTCCCTTCACTAATCCTTGCTGGCATCTCGTTGACGTCCAGGTCTTCCACGCTGGCTGAGGCGGATGCCGAGACAGAGCGCGCCTTCGAGCTTGACCTGCTATCAGCCGTTGCGGGACGCTTGACCATGCTGCGTCCATACGACGCATGGCGCGGGACAGGCGGTCTTGAGCCCCTCGAACCCCAGCTCGAGCTAGAGCTCGCAGAGTTTGTCACCTGCATAGATACCGGCCGGCGCGCTCCACCGAAGAGCATCGCCGACCGGACCTCGTTCCCGTTCGCGGCGCTGCGCAACTCGCGGGGGAGACTTCCTGCAGCGCGCTCGTCCCGCTTGCGCGAGGGCGTTTGAGGAACGCGGTCGAGGCCTGCTAGGGAGAGGAGCCTGTCCATGCTGGATTCATGCTTCAGAGCCGACGTGTGGGCGGGTGGCGAGCCTGGCCCGGGGCCTGCGCCACCACTTCGAAAAAACCAGCTGCTCTTGGCGGACGGTGGGGACGACGAGAGCTGAGAAGGTGGCCGAGGCGGAGCATCGTGCTCGTGCGCGCGCTGCTCACTGAGCGTAACCTCGGACGGGCCGGTACTCGCTCGCTTCTTGCGCGCTGTGCTCCACTTCTTGCCTACCGAACCGATGCGTGAGAGCAGCGGTGTCTTCAGTAATGTGGACGTGGATGGGTGGTGATCAGCGGAAGAATCGTCAGGAGACGGAAGCCCTGGGCTGGGCTTCTTCTCTGGCGTAGACGGCTGAGATGGCGGCAATGGACGCGGAACAGAATTCTCCGCGCGATCATCAAGCTCAAATATATCGTTAGTATGTGGAGTCGGACGGGATTTCTTGCGCAGCCTCCGCCGTTCGCGGTGAATAGGCGGACTTGGGGGCAAGAGGGCGAACGCAGAGCTACCACCGGAGATGGTCGGTCGAAGGGCAAGAGGAGCAGTCGAGGAGTATGAGTACGCATCATGACCATGGGACGATGGGGGCACAGAAAAAACAGAGACGGTGGGAGAGCGAGGAAATGGGGATGGGAGTGGTGGAACTGGAGGAATGTCAGGGATGGTGAGGGGAGCACCGCGCGTACGAGAGGTGACTGTGCGATCCTCCTCTCTATCCGCAAACCTGTAATCATCCTCCTCGTCAGACGAGGCCCACGTATCCTGTCGGCTCCCTTTCCGTGGAGGGGACTGCCCGTGTCTATCCTCTTCGAAGTCAGCATCCCAGTTCTCGGCCTCCTGTGCGTCCTGCCGCTGGTGCGACAAGCGGCGGACCGGCGAATCTGTATTATCTCTAAAATCGTCGTCCCAGTTCTCTACCTGCTCGCTGAAACGTCTGATGGGCATAGACGGTCCCGCGTCTGCACAGTGCTGGACGGTATTCTTCCTGTCTTTCAGTGGCGATTTAGTGACGTCCATGAGACGCATTTCCGGGTGTGCGTCGGCACGAGATTGACCACTCTGCTGGAGCTCAAAGTCCTCGTCCCAATTCTCCGCGCGATCCACTGACAATAAGTGGAAGAATTGCAGAAAGAGAGAATGACAACTTACCTGCAGAGGAAAGAGGAAGAACTGCCATTCATACGGAGAGTCTCTGGAGGATTTGGTCGTTGTTTCGTCGTCGTTGACCTAGCGATGGTTGCAACAGAAAGTCCCAAGCTCGGGTAAAGAGAGACAGTCTGGCTGTGTTGTGTCGAATTGGGCGCCCGTCGACGTGCAGCCAGCGCCGCGTCACCGACCATGCCTAATCAGGCAACTCTGGTATTCCGCCGACACAGCTGGTAATCGACACTCGCTACATTCAAACTACTAACTCCTACTTCTGGGTGGAGCGTGCCGTAACTACCTGCAGTAATCCTGCGCCGTTGTCAGATAATTTCTGTCTTCGCTGTTCACAATCCATAAAGCATACACGCTTGTAATGTGACATACAGATGGGACCGCGGCTCGACCTAAGGATATCATTTTCTGTCGAAGTAATTACACCACTAGGCCCTGTTTTCTTGTCCATAAAAGCTGACGATTCCCTATTAAAGTTACAAATGACGACACCACAAAGTGCGATTTGGATAGCGATGCGACAGTGGTTGTGGAGGCCGCAGCACATACACTGTTCCCAGTTCAGGATACGCTCGAGAACACACCCACGGAGCTAATAGAAATGAACGCGCAGAAAAACACAGAATTGTTGATCTACCAGTCAAGCTCTAGAAAGGAGGAACGAGAACGAAGTACCCCGCCCAGTGCGTTCTCCATAGAGTTGTTTTCTTAAGGCCGCATTGCTCACAGCATCAACTCCATATTGGCTAACAGGACACAGTTGTGATCAACAAGATTTCACGCCGAGTATTACGGGCAGAAAAAATTTGGCTGTTATTTGTGGACATACAGCTTGGATGAATTGGAGGTCCAACTCTGCGCAGAGAAGCCATGTTGGAGTTTGCAGCGAGCAGACTGGAAGCTTCCAAGGATTCAGAGGTATCCGATGATTGGAAGGCCGTTGCGAGCTGTGGGGCTCTCAAAATTCTGATACCCCCCAACTGCATCTAATCCCGTGCTTTCGCTCCAACCCTCGTCATCGGAAACACTCATCGCAGAGAGTATGCAAGTCTGGGCGTTGACCGCTGATCGGGACTGGAGCGGTATGATTGCGCTCTTCGCACGATTCTGGTAGAGATCCCATCCAATGATAGCAACCCAAATTTCTGTGCGTTTTTCATTTACCATCGGTGCATTGCATCCATATAGCGCGTGAAACAAAACACAGGCGGAGCACAACCATGAGTAAATTCACACTAGGCACAGGTAGGGTTGCTGTTCGACCGCATCTGCAACGATGCGCTAGGCCAAAGGTTCAGGAGAAAGCACGGTGGACGTTAACGGTGAACTCGACCGTGTATTAGCGTCATTGCATACTGATGTCTCGTAGCACGCACAACACCCAACACAACGACACAATATACTGCCAGTTAATGGATACGCTACCACAGGAGAGACAGGCACCGCTTGCTCGCTCGAAGTTCCCGCGACCCCTCAATGCACTGGGCCCATCGTCGCGCGCGGCTCCTCGAACCTGTACACACCCTCTTCATCTTCCGCTGCGCCACGCAGAGACTTCATCCCCATGGAACGCGCTAACTACCATGACGCTTGAGGGGCCACTCGCAGGGACGGTGCTCTCGAACGGTTGCGGACGGAGCCCAGGAGCTTCTCCGTCATCGAGGAAGAACCTGTCGGCGGTGAATGCGGTAGAACGCTAGGGCGCCGGTGTTGTCCTAGCGGGGTGCTGGTGTTGTCCTAGCGGGGTGCTGGTACAAAGAGAGCGAGAGAGGCCTAGGTACACACACCGGACGCTCAGCGACAAGACGCGTAAGCCATACCACTCACCCGAGGTGCGCGCATTCCACGGTCGGGGATCTGGATCCTCATTTTTTGTCGTCACCGCCGCCCACAGACGCCGTACGCCCGTCTCCCGTCTCGTCCTTCCGCCAAAACCCCAGGGCAGGACTTGCAACCCCCAAAACGGCTCACGACAGCACCACCCGAGAACGCTGACCATCCACCCACTCCCTTCCCATCTCACGAGGCCCTCATGTAGTGCGCCCTCTTCTCACCATGACCGCCACCGATGTGGGGGAAAGGGTGAGAAGGGGGCGCACTACAAGTACACCGGTGGGTTGTGCAAATGGGAAAGTGGGGTATGTGATACAACCGAAGGGAGTGTCGAGGGACCAGCTAGGAAGGTTCAGCCTTGCAATGAAGCTCGATTTGATACATGGTAGAAGGGCGAAATGAAGGTGGGATATATGCTATGACCGAAGGGATTGCCAAGAGACCAGCTCTAGGAAGGTTCGGCCATGCAATGAAGCTCGAGCTCAAATATATCTGCCTGCATGTAATGCAGGGCAATGAGCTGAAGGCCATCAGGGGGTCCGACCTGTTTCACCTTTGGCTACAAAGTAAATAACAGAGACAGCACAGGACGACAGAGAACGTACCGCAAAGAAATCCCCAAGCAGCTTCGACACTTTGCGAGCCAACTGCTCGCGAGTGACGTGGGAATCTCCTTGCATCACGGCCACGTCTTTTTCTACCTGTTCGCAACCAAACCACTTCAAACGTCATTGTTTCCTGTCAGGATGCATTTGAGATGGGAGATCGAAAGAGCAAACGTACTGTCCAGGCTACACGAACTGTTAACAGTCCCGTCTCTTCCATGACGTGCTCGTGAGCCCCCTCCATACGAGAGTAAGAGGTTTGGTTGTTTAGTGGAACGTCCGAACCACTCTCGAACCCAAAGTACACTGTCTGGACGACTTGCTGGGGCGTATTTCTTCTCTCCCAGCTTGCCTTTGGCCTCGGACTGGGTAGATTGAGATGGATGAAGAATGGCGAGGGCTGGAACAGGCAAGGGGTAATGTGCGCCCCTTACGAAGACGCGGCGTGACGTGAAAGACATTGTCAGTCCCACGGCCAATGGACGTGTACTGTTCTGTGACTCGTGGGGCGTGCAGGAGATGGCTGATCGCGGTAGTCCAGCCTCGCTCCATTTCGCCATCTGTTGGTCAGTCAGAAGTATCGTCAGTGGCTATAACAACTCTGTAAGGGGACTTGAAACTTTCCTGCGGCACGGCAATGGACTCCAGGGGCAACCGGCGAACTGCGTCCAAGTGCAGTTGGCAAAGTTCACTCGGGCCACGAGCGAACGGCGGGCACGATCCTGGCGCAGGACGCGGCCGCCAAGTGGTCGGAAGGTGCAGTGGGGATATGTCGACGAGCATTGGGGTAGATTTGGTGGTTGTGGTTGTGGTGGTGGTGGTGGGTGTAGTGGAAGGAACTGGGGGAATGCCTTGGTAAGTCGCTCTCTTATATGCTGGGCCGGCTGCGGGCGCTTGCAAGATGCCGTGGCCAGTGGAGCGCGACGCGTTTGTCACGTGATCTGTGCTTGGAGGCATCGGCTTCGCAACCTGTGCATTGTTCTACGCGTATTCCACGCCACGCAGTGTTCCTCGCAAACCCATTATCCAAGGTTGCTGTGCTGCGCCGTCGATGACGTACTTCGGTGCGTTTTATCGATTTTTCTATTGTTATTCCATTTTTCAGCGTTTCTGCGTCATCGTTTGTCTAATGTCACGCTCGAAGTTTTTCTCTCAGGTTCAAGCCATTGCAGCGATTAGCTCCAAGTTTGTCCCTTTAGACTATAATAGCCCGACACGAGGGCTACCGGGTCTGTTCCGGTGCTGGCATATTCGTCGTCGTTCACAGCCTGTCTCTACTGGGGCCCCTCTACACCAGCTGCTGCAAAATGCAGTCCAACAGCTACACTTTTTGCAGTGGCTAGCCAAGCCGCTCGCACGAACTATGCCGGAGAAAAACATTTATGCTGGCGAACGAGAGGAGCCCGGCTTTCCACTTTGCAGAGCCTCAGTGGCCGCCAGAGTGAACTGCGTCTCTACGTGGTTGGGCTCGTCCTCGAAATCAGATCCACGCCCGCCTCGCCAGAACCATACCGCATTCTAATAGTTGAAGATACCCTTCACCTCATATAATACCGGTGCCACATATGTGTGCGTACTTTGCCGCAAAGCCCAACCGTGACTTCACAGTGGCCGCGAAGCCATTCAACGACTTGCTGATGTAATTTTATCCTTGCACTCTAACCAATCTTACATCGTATAAACGTCCGAATCGTTCAGATGCTAATCCGCATTTATAATCCCGAGCTGGGATGTTCGTTGAGGTCAGAACAACATTTTGTTGGTGCTCCGAGATTGCCAGTCCAAGTGCTTCTGGCGTCAACGCCGTTCTACAGGATGCTCATTGGTCAGATGTGCGTGATGTTATGTTGAAGCTCCGGGTTAGCTCCATCGACGAGACATGGACGTAGGAAAACTTTCGTGTCATCTGACGACGATGCAATTACGCACACAGCTAGCGTCAGGAAAGCAAAATGCTCACTCATGCGCCTCGGAACACGAGTGATCATTGTGCTTTCCTGAACTTAACGCTCACCGGCATCCCACCATGATAGCAACCCACCAAGGTGCAAAACACCGGCGGGAGAATCTCCCCCCCAACGTGCCGATGAAGATTATTCTAGATGTAGAACAGCAGATTGCCCGAGTCTTTCATTATATGTCACATTTCTGAAACTTCTTACACCGTGCACTGATGCTTGTGTACAGATTAAATCCGACATCGCTACATTCGAGATAAATACAATCGGTTATGTTTTCGCCACACGTCGGTGAAGTCGATAGCTCCAGCGTCAATAATCGTGCTGTAACGTCTCACCATACACCACGCACCGCATACCGCCACTCAGGGGACGTGCCACTAGGAGGAGCCCCTCGCGAGCACGGAGGCCCGCGTGCGCACAGGACCTCAATGTTGACGATGCTCCTCGCGTGTAGAATGAGAATGAGAACGAGAGAGAGAAGAATCTCCAATTCCCAACAACAAAGTGCACCTCCTCGAACATGTCCGTACACGAGTCTTGCCCATCGTCGCCACTGAATACGCCAAATACGTACCTTAACGCAGGGACGGCGCGAAGGCACTCGCCCTGCACTGCAGTGACATGGGGCGTTGGGGCCTAAAGAAGATCGTACCGGGCATCCGCAAACCGCAGAGCCCAAACTCGAAAATGGACTAATAGAAGGCAAGAATCAAGGACAGAAGGCAGGGGAAGCTGAGAAAGCCGAAGGGAAAAGACGCACGCCTACCGCGCGTCCCCCATCCCTAGCGCGCATCTTCGCAAGCCGCCTCCCCTCTGCCTCACAACTCCGCCCGAGTCACCGGGCGCGCTGCGGGGCGTACTGTCGAGGGCCTGAACGCCAAGCGAGACGGTCTGACCTGCGGCTCATTGTGACTGGCGAGCGAACTTGGACTGGATGTGGATAGTTGTGCAGCGCGCTGTGCTAGATGGGGAACGACTAATAATAGTAGACTCTTGGTCTACGACATCGACATCAAAGCCGCCGGTTCAACGGCGGCGCTGCAGTGCAATCTAATCGGCGTGTCGTTGAAGGTATATCGCGGATTGCAATATCCTCGATGATGAGCTTTGTCGACCTCACTGCTTGGACGTTCTTGATGCCATCGTCTCCCCTGCCCACGACTGATGCAATCAGCCTTACAGCGCGCGCCCGCAGTCTGTACTCCATCGCTATACGCCAACCCACCCCGGAAGTATAGCTGGACGATTCAAACAGATGCCTCAAGTTCTACTTCTTTGTTGAGAAGGCACCTGCGCGCGTGTCCTCCACGCGCTCCCTGGAGGTCACTAGTCCGGCATACGTGTTCCTCCCCGACCTTCGGCAGATCGCCCAAAGCGACGTGATTTGCTCTGCTTTTGCACGTACATATTCTCGAGCACGCTACCCAATCGCGCCGCATCGTTCTGTCTTACGCCGACCTCATCCTCGTGAACAGTCGCCTTGCGAACGCACTCACAAACTCTGTCATCTTGACGACATAACACTGAATGAAGATATCGCGCTGTCCCAGCTACAGTGCAAGCCTCTTAGACTTAAATTTTCCATGCAATGCCGAAACACCAGCGTTGCGATGAGCTTCATCCCTTTCCAGAATCTCCAGGGGTTCTCTTTCAACGGGAATAGTACTGGCGATCCCGCGGATGTCAGTGGCAGGTTGACTCAGAAACGGCCTACCGTACGCGTTCTCTCAATCAAATGTGTTCGCGGGGATGTACAATCGCTCTTTGTGCATGCCTTTTCGAATGTACGGCTCGTGTGCCTGAGCTTTATCGTCGATCGGCTTATCGAGCGCGTGTATTAGCTCGAGCATGACTCACTAAACCTCAGTCTCCCTGGTCCAACCGTCTTGTCCTTGTGCGGCCGAGGTATCTTTTCAATAAGTTACGTTTATGTCGTGGGCTGTCAAGTGCTTGGAACTCTTGTGGGCTTACCGATTCTATTCAAGGTGATTCCTGGAGACTTGGTTCATGAGCGAGTCATACGGTAGAGGAAGAGGCCAAGCTCGTGATATTGGCCTACCGTACGTGCATGTTTCATTGCCTTCGGGGCAGCGCGTAGATCACTGGTACTTACCGAGCACTTCTTCGTCTGTGTTGGTTGACTCCCGGTAGGTAGAAATAAGACACTTAATCGTCATGTGGCTGCGGAGCAGCTGCAGAAGAGATTTGCGAAGCTTCCTCACAGTACTGGGCTGTCCATGGGAACTGGTATTGCGTAGAGCATGCAAAGACTTGCAGAAGTCATCTAAGCTCATAACGTCAGGAAAGTGCAGAACATGCTCACATTGAACGCGTGGACGTTGTACAACAGATTATCGATGATAGGTAGTTATAGGTCAAGCCTTGTATGTGATGAGGAGAGCTAGAGTAGTCGGCCTGTTCGGCACAGAACTCCACCGAATAAAACACTGGGTCGGACATATGGCCAGTCGTGTGAGCGCCTCGTCAACCTGTTCCAGCTGAGACATTCTCAATGGATGAAGTACTGTATACGTATACCTCTGTGTCCTCTGTATATTCGAATACTTTACCCTCGCCATCCGATATCCTGTACATTGGAATTTGTGCGCCGTCCTCGGCCACACTATTGGTAGCTTAGAAACGAATGCCGACTGTGAGCCTGACGACCTACAGCATCTTCACGAGAGATGGAAATGGGTGAGAAGAAGAGCTGCGAGAGGCTTTGAAAAATGTCGGGCAAGGTGGGGATTGAAGAGCAACTGTGGGGAATTCACAAGGAGGCACGCGCGTCTGTTTCCATATTTACCGTGACCGAATCATTCACGTCTTTCGTCTTCCCAACTCCCTCCATAGGGTGGTCTCAACTTGATTTGAGTAAGCCTATGTTGAACTTCATCATATAGCTCAGAAATACTTACATCATGTTGCTCAGTGGGCCTCATCCAGTCTGCACAAAGTCATGACAATGCTCAGAAGTGTATTCCCACCACCGATGCAACTACGCCGTTGCCGCAACGAGTGCACAACCTCCGACTGCGTGATTATAATTGTATGCTCACTGTGCCTTATAGGTGGGACAATATTGTACTTCAGCGTGGGGTTTTGCCGGCATTCTGTCTTTCCTCATTCGATGGACACCACTTCGCACTCTATTAGACAAACCTGAGAATGTGACTGATGTCTCGGAGGTAGGAGGAACTGCTTGGCGTATTATTTTTACTAATGTTGTAAAATTGCCGCAGGAATATGCTGCGTTGCCGACCTCCATCGAGTTATGGAAGAGTAAAGCACTCGATGAGGATGGATTCGGGTGGCAGTGGGAAATATTGCGCCCTTTCTTTCTTAGGAAGGGTTATGATTTGTATGTCAGTCGAGGCTGCCATGGGCTCAAGGCTCGCGAAGATACGGATCCCGCAGCGAACAGTTTTGATTTATATGGAGTTCGAGAGAATTTCAGTAAGAAACCACTGTTCGCAAGCTTTGTATGAGGTGGTACTCTTCTGGATTGCTTGAGATGGGCTAATGTATTCTCTTCTTCCGTTCTTGCAGCACGCGGAGATTTGGGGCGCTCGCGACCGGTAAGTCTTATACTCTTTGAACTGAAGAAATTTCAGTTACACGCATTTCAACACAGAGAAAACCGAGATGTAGTTATCAAACCTGTCAGCTACGGTGATAACCCGAGTAACGAGCTTCAAATACTGAAGTATCTGAACTCGGACGCCACATGCGCCGAACAGATGACCGCTACAGTGCCTATTATTGAGTTTATTGAACATTCCGGCTGGACTTTCGCTGTTATGCCGCGATGGAGTGATTCCACGTACCCGGAGTTTGTCAACATCGGTGAAGTTTTGGATTGGGCAGTGCAATTGATTGACGTTAGTGAATACCGTTGTCCTTTCTCACCGGTGCCTTGTTGAATGTTCTTCCAATTCAGGCTGTCGCCTTCCTGCATCGCCATAATATTGCACACCTTGTAAGTTACTCCTTTTCGGATACTCGCTACGTCCATATAAAAACATATTATAGGACATTTCTCACGAGAACGTGCTGATGAACTTCTGGGGCGTTGTTCCGCCGTCAAGAAATTATGGCACTCTGGCCCCTGAATTGCGCAATGGCTTCCCTGTAAAATATGCAGTGATCGATTTTGGGCACTCTGTCAACTTTTCTGCAGACTCAGACCCACAGAGTCGCAGAGGAACTTGGCCAGTTCCGAGAGAGCAGAGTGCACCGGAGACGAAACGCAGGACCCCATTTGATCCTTTTGCGGCGGATGTTTATCAGACCGGACGCACGATATATGGATGGTGTCAAGTAAGACAGACTTACTTCCACTGTTCCGAAGTTCTTCCCACTGAACCGGCATTATTCACTCATTGCAGAAATTCGAAGAAGATGTTCCGGAAGTTCTAGCTGTTCTGCAGGACATGACACGGCGCCGGCCTGAATACCGACCTACTGCGGCTGAATCACTTGCGCAGATGCGGGCGGCTGAGAAGACGGTTCTTCCAGCCACAAAAGTGCGGGAGGTGCCAATATCACTGTTGGGTGAATTTTCTCCTGTACCTTCTCGAAGAAGGATGTACATATATGGGCATTCACCGTACTAGCGAGTGTAGTATTTCCTAGGCATCCTGCCAGCTGTCATGTCATGCTAGTGGCACTAACTCAGCAACCAGCTCCATGATCATTCATTACCAGCTGTTTCAAGCTAAGCTCGCGAACGAGGCTTGAGATAGACATGCAAAAACACCACCTGATCCTCCTCTTGAACAACAACGACGCCATGTTCATCATATGTGGCATTCAATTTGACCATGTAGCGCCACGATGATATGTGATTTCCCTAAGTGCATAGCTCTGAACAAGGTTGACTCTGGAAGCAAGAGTAACGCACGGCAAGAGTTGATTTCCGTCTTATAACGACACCCTTCCGCCCTTTATACGGACCACGAACTACCTCAACTTGACCCTACAGCAAAATTTACTGGGTTGTATAATACATTGTAGCAAAACTTACATCGTGCGGCCTTTGGCTCCAATTCGCCTGAATTTCCCCCTCTGAAACATCGCTGGGGGCATCAGAAGATGTTGTCGAGATCTTCGATTCTCGATCGCTCATGATGTCGCAGTGTACAATAACGGTACAAGAGGAGTAAGACGATCACTTCGAGGACTCAGATGGAACAATATTATTGAGGCCACAGACGAGGGATCGATGCAAGCCCATCTCGCGCGTGACTGACTGGCTGGGCTAAATTGCGATGCGTCGTCGCCGCCAACCAATGCAGCAGTATAGTAATTATGAGGACCAAGCAGGCACGCAGATCAAGAAGAGGTGGGAACACAAGGCAGAAACTCAAGCGATAGTGAATGTCGAATCCGTGAATGAAGATGGAAGCCGCAGAGAGCAGCGAATCCGCTGTATCTAAAGTGTCACCTCGTCGTGCTCGAAGGATGCAGATGTGCAGTTATAGAAACAATGCAACGTACTTCATGAAGTGCGGGATCGTGCAGATCGTCACGGAAGCATATCGAGATCGAGCCACCGCCACCGCCGACGTCACATTAAGTACTTCCACGCAGACACGATGTGGGGTAGTAAGAATATCTGCTACCATCCTAAAGATATGATAGCAGGCGGATGACGCAACCAGCCTACACACAAAAAGAAAACATGCGCAGAGGATGACAGCTCCACAAGTGCCATTGGCCTGCGTTGACCACAAGCCAAGCTTCCGGTAGCATGTATAAGATCACAGTTGAAGACTCACAAATCCTCCTCGTGATAACAATCAATTATTCGAAACGGACTCGAGTGTTGATCATACCTGAGATAACGCTGTACCGCCAGTTTCCCGACAGTCGTGCTCCAGGTGCTGTCCATGGGTCCGCGCGCCCATTTCAGCCTGCTACTATAGACAAACTCATGCCAGACGAGTGTCCATCTTCACTGGTGCAAAAGGGTACTGCCACCGTCAGATGGCGCATATATCCTATTGTGAGTCCACAGATATCGAGCTGGCCATGCGCACCGGTGGCACCGATAAACTCTGAATGCACAGAGCGCTAGCCTCGAGCTAGAGATAGAGGAAAAGATATCCTGCACAGTCGGATTTAGGACGAAAGGACGGAGTGCGAATGACACGTTCAATATATCGATATATCGATACCGCTCTGCACATCGTAAGCAGCGGGACTGGTGATTGAGAGATGCGGCCGTCGCACCTGTGCGTGCTCTGCTTCATCATTTCTATCGATCTTCGTCACTTCGAAACCAGCGCGCAAATTGTTTGGGTCTGTCTAGAATGATTCCGCAAGCTTAGAACGTCAATTCCGCAGAACAGCAAAAATATCGCAGAGCGTAATTAGAGTGGGCGGACAACCCGAGTTCAGCCCAGAGCGGCAATGACCAAAAGCTGCGTAGACGAAAGGGGAAGGCCGCCTTCCGCATGTGGGAACCGTGGTGGGCATCCTTTGGACGAGAAGCGCGAGGAAGGAAAGTCGTATTCCTCGTTGCAAGAAGCACAGGCCTACACCATGGTTGATATGCGGAATTGGAGTACAATAAGTACTGTTGAGTAGTCGGGGAGATGTCAGACAACGAGACCTATATGGGCCAGCATGGGCATGACTTACCATGATCACTGAGCGCTCCACATCGATATCCAATGACAACAATATTAATGTTCGTCAATTCACTTCCCGCTTCAAGCATCACGCTCATATGCGTCTCCTGTAGCTAGCTGCGGTAGGCTTCCACAATGATGGCGGTGAGACGATGCGCAACAAGGGCAAGTCACCATCAAGAACGATAACTTCGCAAATACCCAACTGACACCCCAGATTGAGAAGCTTGGCCACTAGATGGCCATGGTGGAACACAGTACCGGTGACAAGCGCTGGACTCCGACGCATCTTCCTCCCAGCGTCGCTCTCAGGCTCTCAGCAATCGTCACCCTTGGACGCCCAGAGACGGCAGGCTATAATTCTGTAGGTGAATCCTTGAGTACTGGATATGAAAGCACTGTGCTTTGTTGCCGACGTACAGTCTCCGGTTTATGCGGGTGAAAAGGAATGCGATGCTGTCCATGCGAAGGTCTCGTACATCTGCATCCAACTTTGGGCTCCAGAATGAGCAACAAACATTCCAGTGCTAGAGGAGGTCCGGGATTTCCGTTCTCTCCGCATCGGCCGTTCAGCTGAATGAAAACCGAATACCCCGCATCCCTTGACGGAGGAGGGTATGTTCATTATCCCGGACTCCCCGTTGATATTGGGGTTTAACAGAAATCAAGGAATACGTTTTGTTGTATGTGATTGCTGCTCTAATGCGGTCCATAATGCAAGGTTCGACGGTGTTGAAGTGCACGGCGCGAATGGGTGTCTGTCCGATCGGTTCTGTGTCAAACAAGCCGCCGCACGAGTTCCAAGCTAGTATGGTACAACCGTCAGTGTGCGCGTCAACATCACGCTGACGATGCGAATTCAGGACCTCGCACCGAGATTCAAGTATGCCTTGTCCTAGACTCGGATGGCTGAGGTGTTTCCAGACTTTGCGTATATCCACTTTACCAAGCCCAGGGTTTCGGCTCTCTCTGCGCGATGACGTTAAGGCAATAACACGACTGTGAACAGCTGGCGCTTCCGTATCACTGACTCACCTTTCGCAGTGTCGGGCACCTCTCGAATGAGTTGTTTGCGTACCCAGCGACACGAAGTTGAGTGCAAGGGGTTGGACGATTCTATCTCGCGCTTTCGACTGTCTTCAAGGCGCACGATTGGTGGAACGCGCGGACAAGGAGAAGGTACTTCTGCCGCGTTTCAAGGATGAAGTGCTAAGGCAATTCCGCCACGCGGAGGTGGATGCGAAGCCGCAGCTGCAGACGATGTTTTCGGAGGTATATGGCGGTATAAGGCTCTTGCGGCCTGTTGGTCTTAGTGTCGCCAGAAGTGCACTGAACCGAGTGTACTCGAAGGCAAGCTTCATTATATAGCCACAATGACCTCGGCTAACTCCGGCGCCCGACTCCTCTATTTCTGTATTTCTCCTTAAAAGCGGCGAGGATCCGTGGACGATGATCTTGCCCTTGACCGTCGTACTAGAACACTTACAGCTGATGGGCTTTCATAGACGGAGACTCGGAAAGAGTTCAACCAACTATTACAGAAGTACAGCAAGGTGTGATAAGCCTGTTCTGCTGGACCTGAAAGACTTGAAGGGTGCAGCGAAGGCTTTGCTGGAGGAAGGGGGCACGGCAGAGTACATAATCCGACGTGGTTGCCTTGTAATACCATGCCGACATTTGATCAGTGTGATGTTCAGTATGTGCTTAGCCATACATACCTCTTCTGCACTCGACCTAAGTACAGCAAGACGAGTTCCCCGGTAAGAGGTTAAAGTAAATGTACATGGCACCGGGTCAGATCTTCGTGAGTGACCCGGGCTATTAGTACATGAGTGTTTCTCTGTGAAGCGAACAGAGAATATCTCAGTAATGAACACGTAACAAAAATCAGTACCAATCAATTTGTGTATGCAGCTAACATCCTCTATGAGACATCAAGCCCTGCGAAGATAGCCATTACTGTCCTCTCTCCCTTTCCATCTTATTCTTCTCGTAGCATTCCAGTGTTATGCTCGACAAGAAACCCGGGATGCACTGCTCTTTCTCGACCCAATAGTGCATCAGCTGCGGGAGATCTTCGGGACCGCCATCGCCCTGTGCGATGAGCTGCATCTTCATGCCATCGCCTGCTGCACCCGTAGGCTGAAATACGAACGCGGCGTTGAGATCGAACTGTGAGGTGACGCGTACCTGGCCGTTCGGGTAGAACGCCAGCTTCACACCCAGGATCGAAGCGATGGCCTCGCGGAATTCAGTGCTCTTTGCTGAAAAGACCTGTGACACGTCGACTAGAGTAAGATCACCACGTTGGAGACGACGAGATGGGGAAACTGTACCTGCTGCAGCCGCATAAGCCGCTTGTCCTTTGCCCTGAGCTCGTCCTCGAGTCGCGTCTTCTCCTTGTTCGCTACCTCCAAGCTCTCGCGTGGCACGAGTTCCTCTCCCCCGGATTGACCACTGCGGGCTCCGCTAGCCTCGAGCTCTTTGAGTCGCTTTAGCAACGCCTCGTTCTCTCCTTTCAGTCGGTCCATCGCAGCCTGACTGAGGTCTTGCCATTGTTGTGCGGGATTATCACGCAGAGAGAGTACGCGTACGCCGGGCGGAAGGTGTCTGCCTGCGCCTATCTCGCCCCCTAGGTCGAATAGCTTCTGTTCCAGCTCCTCGATCTGCTCGAGATGCTTCTCGCTTGCCACCTCGGCGTCTCGTTGAGCTAGTTTTGTATATCAGTGTCATACTTAAATGGCGCGCTGTGTAGCCGTACCTTTCTCGGCCTCAGCACGGGCAGCCTTCTCGTGCTCAACTTCGTCCTGTAGCTCATGTCGAGCGTGCGCGCCGCCGGGCTCGTCACCGAGCTCCCGAAGTTCCTTCGTCAACGACTGTATGGTTTTCTTGTAGTCTGCCACGAGCGTCTCGAGGTGCTGTACACGATTCGGTAACGCTTCTTCGACGTGAACGCCACCCTGCGTAGCCTCTTCAGCAGTGAAGCTCGTGACCATTGCCCGCAGGAACGCCGCTTCACGATCTGTCAGCTCGGCATTGTGCTCTGCACGCTGCAGCTCCGTCTGCAGCGTGCGCACCTCTGCCTCCGCGTTTTCCAATGCAGAGTTTGTCTCTTCGGCGATCCGTTCGGCGTCGGAGAGTTCGAGCTCGCGCCGCCGCAACTGCGCGAGATTCGAGCCGTGCTCTTCAAGCAAACGTGCGTAGGTCAAACGAAGGTTAGTAAGACTTTGTGTGACAGATACGGGCGTCTTCGACGGCGTCGAAGGCTGTGCGTTCTCCTGTGCCCTATACGAAACACAAGAATAAGTACGGAGCAACACAGATACAAAAACATTCATACCATTCTTCTCTTTCCCGTCTAGCAGCCTCAAGTTCGGCCTCGAGCCGCGCAACCTTCTCACGCACGTTCTCCGCATCCTTGACTTTCCGCTCGAGCTCGCGCTTCTGTTCCTTCAGCACTTCGACACTGGCTTGACGCTCTCGCAGGGCGGCGAGCTCCGTGCTCATGCGCGAGTTCGCGCCCTCGAGCGTACGCATGTACTCCGCCTGATGGTGCAGCTCTGCGCGGACGACTGTCCAATCCTCGTCGTCCGACGTGTGCTGCATCGAGGTGTCCTGTGCGTCTGCAAGATCGTCCAGCTGCGCTTGCAGTCCAGCCAGCGTCTGCGCACGCTCCTCGGCGACGCGATGCGCCTCCACGAGCTCGGTTTCAAGCAATGCACTACGCCTGGCACGCGCTGCAAGCTCGGCCTTCTGTGACTCGATCGTGTGGTCAGTGTTCCTCTCGAGGGCATCGTGCGCAGACTTGAGGTCCTCGTGCTGCTCCTGCAACACCCTCAACTGGCTGCGGAGCGTGCGCAGGTCGTTTTCGTACTTGGTCTGTAGACATACGACGTAATTTATTAAGTGATATTCGGGTGTAGGACAAACGGTGGCGTACCCTCTCCTCTGTGCGCTCAGCGCGTTCCTTTTCCTTCTCCTCTTTCTCGGCCGCTTCGCGTTCAGAGAGCCAGCGCAAATCGCTCTGGAGGCGTGTGACAACCGCATCGCGTTCGCGCAGCTTCGTGTCGAGCTCGGTCTTGGCGGTCTGCGCGGCGAGGAGCTGACGCTCTAGCGATGCGTGCACCATGGTTGACGTGAACGCCTGCGAGCGCTGCTGGCGCTTTGAGGACGAAAGCTGGGGGTCTGAGGGCACGGACGGGTCTTGGCTTGAGCGATGAGCGTGCTGGGACTAACGCGGGGAGAGGGCTCACCGCGTTCGAGCTCTGCGGCGAGGGAATCACGCTTGCCAGCATGTGTGCGTAGCACGGAAGGGGTGAACCGTTGCCGGCTGTTGACCGGCGTCGTGAAATCGTCGTCGTTCATGATGTGGAAAAAGTACGAGGGCTGATATCAATCTGAAAATCGGCGGAAGTGCGCCAGTCATTCGTGAGTTACAGATATAGTTTTAGAGTAGAACTGGTCCTGTGTATTATCCGAATGCACAAAGTCATACTCAGGCGTCCAACTCTCGAGAACGCGTTGTTTCGTACACCGCATCGTAAGCCGGAAGAACATGGTAACTCGCAACACTTTTACCTTCTTGGACGCGTGTCTGAGAGCTTGCTGCCTTGTGTGCGCGGGCGGATATTGCTCACTGACGATGGACGCCACCCAAGCGGCGAGACAGCTTCTCGGCGAAATGCATCGCACACATGCAAGCATTCGGACAGTTCGCATGGGATAATATACAAGAGTCCAGAAAGATTAAGAAATACTCACCCAAACAGGTTCGTGCAGCAGACACTCCGGCTGAGTGTCTGCGGCGCAGATAATGAAGTAGTTTGAGAATCTTTGAATTACAGTGTAACGTTGGCAGGAATGGCCTGAATACGAGTGGAATTAACTGCGTTATGTTGGGATGCTGCGTTAGGCCAGGCATAGAGATGGCAGAGGCATTCTTGACAGAGCGTACCCTGTAACTGCGGGTACTCGCAAAGGACTTGAAGCAGTCGGAGCAGACACCCCCACCAATCTAATCTTACAGTAGACGTTCCGAATATACGCAAGTCCAGAAGGTATTGCGCCGAGAACACCAGAGACAGAGGAGGTGTCGAAGTCAAGACCCAAGCCGTTGTGGAGTGTTGACGCCCATTACGCCTTCCTCCTACCACCACAATCTCTTGAAGCCCCTCATTCACCATGTCTTCCGACTCGGACTTCACGGACATCGACGAGGAGGAGATCCCACTCTCTTCCTTAATCTCCTCAAGGAAGAAGGGCAAAACCGCTGACGGCAAGGATATGTACAAGATCAAAGGTGCTCTGAAGGTACCCCGCACGACCACATACACGACACAGGCCCTATACGGTCCGTCATCGTATCTGCCGTCTTATCTAGATACTCATCTCTTGTACAGACCAGCTGCATCTCAGTGACATCGACTTGAACGCAGACTACCAGCGAGGCAAGTGTTGAACCACTTCTCGAATCATCTAAGGTCTTCCGGATCCCTCGACACGTCCTATGCGATCTCACGTAGAGGCCGACTTCGTTAAAGCGTCCATGCAGAGCATGCAAAATCCAGGTGGCTTGGGTATTGACAACGCGTGCGGATAGGGTTCGCTGGATCATGGAAGGTGTTCCTGCGTCACGATGTGTGATGTAGGGCACCTCAAGAGGCGACATTGCAGCATGGTTGAGGAGGCTTGGTGTAGTCTTAAGATGTTGTCCTTAACCAACTTGGCTGTTTCGTCGTCGGATGCATGGGGGATATATGCACGATTAGTCTTCCACTCTACTGACTGCCATCATCTTAGGCGTCGTCTGGAACGACACTAAACAAACAGGTGCGTGTTCTCCTCTGTTGACTTTCGAACGGCAAAGATTGATAGTTGGGCCTGCTGGAAAGGCCTGATCGACTCAATATTTCGCAACTTCTACATCCCTCCTCTCATTTTCGGTGCGTTATATGCCCCTGAAACTCTGTGGCGTGCCTTACATCCATTCAGTGGTCAAATACGGCGATGATGGGTCGGAACGCCGAATATGCGTTGACGGTAAACAGCGTTTGACATCAATATACAGGTGCGCTGTTGTCTGGGTTTTCATGCTAGGGGCAGGAATTGACGTGTCAAATGGTATCAAGATTCATGGATGGCCTGGTGAGTGCTGCTGTACAAGTTGACGGTTGGAAGCTCACTCTAATTACTAGATACCGTGTGAGTATTCTCCTCCTGGTGTCGGATGTGTTGCTTATCGTCTTGTCGTCACCATAGATAAAGACGCGTACGTACTATCTTAACATTGCTGGCAATTTGATGACGTACCACCTCCAGATTTACGAGCGAACGCTTCGTATTCAAGGAGACCGGCAAAACGAAGGGAAAACTACTTCCTGAACGATACAGGAAGATATTCTCTAACAAGCAAATTGTGTGGTGCTTGCTGAGCAAATTCATGTGCAGAGCTGAGTGTACGATTTGTTAGGTCTGCGTGGAATATCAAGACCTCACGGAAGACGACGAGCGCGAGATCTTCCAGGTAACATATTTGATGCCGACGGTATTCGCGGATCGCTGACCGGAAATTTTCACAGCGAGTGCAAATGGGAATGGCGCTAACGCCGGCAGGTCATTATACTAGTCGTCATCCTAATTGCTTCGTCTCACCGCGCTACGAGCAGAGAAACTGCAGGCAATTAGCAGCCCGACGGCGTCGTTCATCCGCGAGCTGCAGGACCAGTACGTGGTAGATGAACTTGCTCAAACGCTCGACTGGGATACTGCGCGTGCGGGAGATTTCCGGGGCCTTGCATCTGCGGTGTACAATATGAACAAGTGGCCTGCGCTCGCAACCATGGCCTCGCTGTCGCAGGTCGAGAAATGGCTGCGGCAACCGGCGGAGCTTGAAGAACGCTTTTGCGACCAGGCGCACGCGACGTTCCATATCTTCGTGCTCCTCGCGCGAGACTCCCAGTACAACAAAGCGTTCCGGCTGACGGGCGTGAAGAAGGTGTCCCCCGTCGAATTCATGGCCGTCACCCTACTCATCTTCGTGTACAAGAACAAGCTCACGCTCGCGCAGCTCTCGGAGGCGATCGCGACCATGCGCCGCGAGATTCGCGCGAACGAGGTGGACATACGCATGAATGCCCGTGTCCTGAAGCAACTGCTCGCGTTCATCAAGGAGCTCAACCCTGCCAAGCTCGCGCCCGACCGCGGCCAGCCGCCCGCTGGGAAGCTGAGCAACCTTAAACGCAAGCGGACCGCGAGGGCACAAGGCCATGACGATGCGGATTATGTCCCGCCCCGCCGCCCGGCCCCACAACAGCTCACCGCCTCACAGGCGCACTCGCCGTGGCTACCGCCTAAGCCCGAGCCTTCTACGTCACGACCACCCTCCGGCCCAAGACGCCCCTCGTCCGCGAACTACCAGTCCGCAACACCCTCTGGCCCAAGACGCACACCCTCTCAGGCTACTGCTCCTCCGTCCACCCGCCCATCGTCCGACCGCCTTTCAGCGATCAAAGACGCCAAAGACAATTCCCCACCCGCGCCTTCCCCGCGTCCACCACCCACAGGCCCAGCCCTGCGGATCCCATCGACGAATTTTGTCGGGCCGAGTCGACCTATGCACTCACCGTCGCTCCCGTTCTCTTCCCACTCGCCGACGCTACCCTACCCGACGCCGCCGTCGACGCTCCCGCCTCCTCCGCCATCTATCCCGCCGCCGCCGCCTCCTCCAGCCCGCTATGACGGGCTTGGGGACTCGCTCATGGCGCGCATGATGTCGCGACCTATGGCGCCGCCGCAGAATGGCCGGGACATACACCAGCAGCAGGGACGCCCGGCTTCAGCACCTGGCCCTTTGCCCCAGGATCGGTATGGAACGGGGAGAGGAGATTGGCGGGGGTATAAGTGATGGAATTGCCAGCGAGGTGATTCGGTCGCCGGCGCGCGAGCGGTCGGTCTATCTTGGCGATTGGCAGGTCGGGGTTCGTATATTCTGCGTAATCCCGAATGCAGTTACGTTCGTCGGCCTTGGACGTGTAGAGTTCTCAGTTGGAGTCTCTGCCTCGTTGAAACCGGGGTTCAGAGACCCACATATATTGTAGAATCAGTCCTCGGCAGGCAACAAAGGTAGATTACGAAGAAATAATATTCAGATATGGCGTCGCTAGATCGTATGCACTGGAAACCAGAAAGAAATACACAAAGAACGAAAACTAGATGGTCAGCGAGACAGCCGGCTCTCTAAGTTGGCTAGCGAGGCTCGCTAGCCAACCTTCCAAGCCCAAAATGGCCCTGCGGACAATCAAATATCTATCAGCGCGCCGTAACTATCACACGAAATACCGAACATGTACCTAGCGGGTCCATGCGCTCGTGCTGCGCGCCCGTCCACATACCCAGGACGCCCATGGCTGAGTTGAGTCCGCCTACCTGGAGACCCTCGGTCACCCACTCGTCCGCGTCGCCGCCGTCCACCGTGGAGTACTGCGTACGAATATTAGCTCGCTCAACAGTGCGAAGGGGAAAACTGGGGAATCGACGAAGACGTCCGTGCTTCGATCCAACTACTCACTAGGCACCACCGCACGCTCCCATCCGCGACGACGCCGACCGTGCCGTGCAAGCGGCGCACATGCCCGCTCGGCGAGGACCCGGAGGTCTCGCCCTCGACGTGCAGCGTCGGGCGGTCTGCGTACCCGGGCACCAAGCACGGCGAGCGCGACGCTACACGCAGCCGCATCGGCACGATGCGCACCGCCTCCGAGATGTTGTCGCTGAATTCGGTGGAGAGCTGCGAGGGCGTGGGCGTCAGCGGACCCGAGTTAAAATGACGGTGTGGGGGACTCACGTTGTGCACTGCGATCGGTGAGAAAGTCAGCTGCGTTCGTATACAATATGGGGCCCTGCTCACTGATAAGGTCACGATAGTCCATCCAGCACACGCAGCGCCTGCGGGGGGAGAGATCAGTCAGCTCACCGCACGCAACGGCTTACTCACTTCCACTCACCTCCATACGCCAGTGACGCCGGCCCAGTCCCAATCGTCCACTCGTCGCTCCTCTTCCTCCTTGTCTTCATTTC